TCGTTCTTCATTTGTATCTTTTTTTTTCTTCTTCTTTTTAAAAATTCTTTCTTCATTTGTATCTTTTTTTTTTAATTCTTTTTCTTTGAAGTCCTCATTTTGCTTTTATCGTATTAGGTAATATTGCTAGCGTTATTTTTATATCATCTTTTTATATTAGTTTCGAATATATGGCGGCGTATGAGGTAACGTTTATACTTTCCAATTATTTCTACATTTAAAGAGATGCCTTGGTTCAAGTTTCGAACTCGAGACTTTAGAGATAGCAGTCGCGCGCTATACATTAAGACCACGCCATCCTACATTTTTAGCGCAATTTCCATACGGACAATTGCGATTATTAACTCGTCATTTCTGGTGATGAATGAATGGATGTGCGCAGCTTTAAGTCGTATCTCCTCCTCAACGAAGCAATATCGAGGACTAGCTCCAAAAGCAAATATGTTAAGCAAGTTGCAAGGATGATTGTGGGTCAAAAAAATTCCCGGAATTCCTTCCTGGATTTCCCGGAAAAGCCAAAAAAACCCTCGAAAACATGCAGTTTTTTGCCCATATCTCGGCAACCAGACCACTTAGCGACTTGAAACATTTACCAATCGATTACTGTCATAATTTAGAACAATATTGCCGAAGAAAGTTTTCAAAAATATCCTTTTGTTCGATCAAAAAGAATTTTTTAATATATTTTAAACTGAGCATCGTGTAAGCCTATGATGATATTTACTACTTTTTACTGAGCATCGTGTAGGCCTACTCGTTAAAATAAAACTATTTCCGTTGATATAGGTTAATATAGTTGTCTTTTTTTTAGCGCAAAAAAATATCCTTTCGTTCGGTCACAAAAAATAAAAAAATTGTTATGGATAACATAAGGAAATTGCGCTTAAATTGTCACTAGACTTTTTATTATTTATACATAGTGGGGAAAATATTATAAAGATTAATTTGTTCTTTTTCTTTCATTTTTTTTAATTGGTTATTAAGATTATTTTTTTTTATATATATCATCGTTTTTTTTTCTACACAATTTACAAGCGATTAAGAATATATTTTTCAAATAGTTATCTGAAACCCTAACATTTCGTATTTTTCAACGAAAAACTAAGTCGAATATTTTGTCTATATTTGCATCTTGTCCAAAACGGCTTGAAAAGTAAATCTGCTGTACTGGTCTCCATTGTTGATACTCTTCTGGCTCGTGCCTATACTGATAGTTTACACAACCAAGTAAGTGGAAGAATTGTTAGGCTGCTATACAGATCATATGTGATGAGATATCTAGTTATAAATATTTTTTTAAGTTCTTTAATGAATATATATACATATATATATATATATATATATATATATATATATATATATATATATATATATATATATATATATATGTATATATATATATTTATATCCATCTCCGCTTTAACAGTGAGATAGTAATGTAACCATAACAAACACGCCATTGACCAGGTCTATAAGGCGACGGGCGGAGAACAGGTTAGATGAGGTTGGCGAGTCTGGCGAACATGACGACTCTGGCGAACATGGCGACACGGCGAGTCAACGTGACGAAGACAAGAGCACGATTGGTACGGAGACAGGCAGCGAGGCGTCCACACACTTGACACACTTCACACAGTCAACACAGCAGTCCTCGGAAGTACAGTGACAAACTACACACTACACACTCGGCATAGAAATCATGAAATGCACAGTAGCATACTACACACTTGGTACGTCGTCTTTAATAGCACACTACACACTCGGCACAGAAAGCTCCAGATGCAACACAGCACTCTTCAGAAGTACAGCAATCTTTGGATACAGTATAGCACACTTTACTCAATGAACACACTAATAACTTACTTTGGATGTGCAGTCTCCTGTTACACACTCAATGCAAAAGTCGTCGCAAGTCCATTAGCAAAACATACATTTTTTTTCCAGCAAACCAATGTTTACACATAACTATCACACACATCTTCAATTGAAAATATCACATTATAAATAGATACGTTACACACTTAGAATTGCATTCTCTTTATTTAAAACATCGAGCAACATATTAAAGCGATTTAGTCAACCTTGCACAAACTAATTTTATAATCAATTTAACGTAAATTTTTAACCCACAATATGTCTTCATTTTATTTTATTAAAAAAAAAAGAACTTAAAACTCATAATGATTACGTTACATTTTCCATTTAATGGAAAAGTTATTTTTTTTTGTTTGAGGTGTATAATAATTTAGCTTAATCACAAGTAATTATTTCTATCTTTCATACTATCTTAGACAGCTAATAAATATGATATTTTTAGTTAACTGTAATAATTGTGTTTTTAATTTAATGATTAAGTTATACAATTGTCCATTTGATTTAGTGTTAAATATTTTTGAATTACTAAAATATAATTGTATGAAATGTGATTTAAAAATTGTGATATGTGATTGAAGTATTGAAGTATATGACTAAAGTAATCAAACACGTAAGAAGTAACTGATTGTGTTTGCTTTTTGATAAATAAACTACATGTCTTTTAGCTTGTGATTAGTTAATGATACACATTATGTGTTTATGGAGACTGAGCGGTTACATTAACCGGGGCTATACACAAACTGTTTGTTTTCTTAGCTTAAACAATGACTAAATTTAATATCATTAAACAAACCTTAATTTAAACCAATTAGAAAATTCAATGTCTTTGTTTTTTCCTAATTTTCTGTTTTTTCCCATTACTCTTATCTTTATTCATGAGTCCTCTAATCCCAACTTTTTTACTTTTATATCTTTTCGTGAAATACGTCAATACGATTGCTTAACCTAATCAAAACAATCTATGCATGTGGCCTACTTATTATTAAAAAAAAACTTTGTAAATTTAGTAAAATTGTTTCAAAACTTGTATTTTCGAAATATGTAGACCTATACATAAAAAGTTATTAAATATCTTTTGTCTAAAATTCCATCCATATTGAAGCCAATGCAACCGAACGGTTAAATTTTATTTATGATCGAAAACAAAAAATTAACAAATGAAAATAAATATTATTTTAAGAACGTGAAACAATAAAAACCAGCTCGATTCATCAGTGTAGAGTTTGCTTTATTTTTTTAAATATAAGGATACTTGTAACTGACAAGGCTTTTAAGTTGCCCTATTTAGATTAGAAAAAAAGATAATTATAACTAACAAGATTTCTACGTGCCTTTTATAAATTAAAAAAAAAAGAATAAGTAGGCTATAACTTACAATTTTTTTACGTGGCCATTTATTAATTAGAAACATGTAAATAATTATAACTAACATTTTCTATGTTGCCCTTTTATAAATTTGAAGGGTAAAAAAGAATGATTCTTTATTATACCTAAAAAGGATTTTACGTTGCTCTTTATAAATTAGAAGAAAACAAGTTAATTAAAAAGTCTAGTGACAATTTTAGCGCAATTTCCTTATGTTATCTAAAAATAGCTCTGTCGTAGCGTAAATCAAGAGCAGGGTTAGTAAAACCATTGGTTAGTTATTAAAACGTTTTTTATTAAAAATAAATTTCAGTATTTTACATGTTTTATTTACAATAGAGTTACATGACTAAAAACCATTGCGCGCCTAGCTACTGAACGTGATGACGAAGCCATAGAACGTGATGGTGCAGCTATTGAACGTGATGACGCGTGTGGTGTGGTTGGAAAAAATGCCTACTAATTCGGTCCAAATTTTAATTAATTCAAAAAAATTTTTGTGACCGAACGAAAGGATATTTTTGAAAACTTTCTTCGACAATATTGTTCTAAATTATGGCAGGAATCGATTGGTACATGTTTCAAGTCGCTAAGTGGTCTGGTTGCCGAGATATGGGCAAAAAACTGCTTTTTTTCGAGGTTTTTTGGCTTTTCCGGGAAAACCATGAAAGAAACCCGGACTTTTTATAGCCTATGTTCATCCTCGTAACTTGCTTAACATAATTGCTTTTGGAACTAGTCATCGATATTGCTTCGTTGAGGAGGAGATACGACTTAAAGCTGCGGACACACATCCATCCATTCATTCATTCATTCATTCATACATCCAGAAATGACGGGTTAATAAACGCAATTCTCCAGAATGGAAATTGCGCTAAAAAATTATAACTAACAATTTTCTGCGTTTCCTTTCATAAATTAGAAAATATGTATTATTACTAACAATGTTTCTACTGTGGCTTTTATAAATAATAACAAAAGATTATGAGAACTAACAATGTTTTTACAGTGGCCTTTTTGAATTAGAAAATATAAATTATAACTTACAATGTTTATACTGTGGCCTTTATAAATTAGAAAATATAAATTATAACTATCAATGTTTCTACTGAGGCCTTTATAAATTAGATTATGAGAACTTACAATGTTTATACTGTAGCCTTTATCAATTAGAAAATATAAATTATAACTATCAATGTTTATACTGTGGCCTTTATAAATTAGATTATGAGAACTTACAATGTTTATACTGTAGCCTTTATCAATTAGAAAATATAAATTATAACTATCAATGTTTATACTGTGGCCTTTATAATTAGAACAAAAGATTATGAGAACTAACAATGTTTTTACAGTGGTCTTTATATATTAGAAAATGTAAATTATAACTATCAATATTTCTACAGTGGCCTTTATAAATTAGAAAATATAAATTATAACTAACAATGTTTCTACAGTGGCCTTTATAAATTAGAAAATATATATTATAACTAACAATGTTTCTACAGTGGCCTTTATAAATTAGAAAATATAAATTATAACTAACAATGTTTCTACAGTGGCCTTTATAAATTAGAAAATATAAGTTATAACTAACAATGTTTACATAGTGGCTTTTATAAATAAGAAAATATAAATTATAACTAACAATGTTTCTACAGCGGCCTTTATAAATTAAAACAAAGGATTATAACAACTAACAAAGATGTCATGTCTGCCTGTACATCGCACTTCAACACTTAAACTGTACAACACTAATCTTAGGCGAATGTAAACGCCGACGACCCTGAATGCGCCACGTAACTCCTATTGTCTTCCCCGTGTACAAATTTTTGTGAGGGCTCCCTCTGTCTGTGAAATAAAAATCAAAGAACATTTTGATTTTTTTACTTTCCGCAGAAACAGAAACATATGTTAAACAAGGTTCCAGAACTCATATCTCTGATAGCTATCTGGTGCGTAATCTAATTTTCCCTTTAGTGCCCTACACACATGGGTTAAATGAAGTAGAGTTCATCTGTTTCAATGTCTGGGAGATAGTGTGGTCAGTACTATGCTCAGCCGCCTAAGCTTCCCTAAAATGAGTCAGGTATCCATCAGAGCTGGTTGGAATTCCACATACAATAATAAGCTCTAAAAACCAAGCGGTCCCCATCAGTGGCGAGTTGTCCTATAATATAATGTCCCGTGTCTACGTTATAAGACAATTTAAATTTAAACTTTTTGTATTTTTTTTTCACAAAGAAATTGCAAAACTTTTACCATTTTTTGTAACACACGTGTTGGTGAGATTCTAATTTGCTTATTTTATATTAAACTCCAACTTTAGTATATTATGTTATATATTGTTGGGAAAATTTTTGAAAAACAAAAATTCTGCACCGATTAATAATATATTTTAAATTTAGAAATTATCACACGGTGTAAGGAACATATTGGTTTTTTAAAATAAACAATCATAAGTAATAATACTTGAATGATGCGCTAAACAGCTCTAAATAATGTTAAAAAAATGAAACTAACACTTAAAGGACAAAACAACGGCAAACCTTCTATCTAAATAATTGCATAAAGGTATGCAGCGACTCATTGCGGTAGAAAGCAAATCTGCTAACCAAGATGTCTCGAGTTCAAATATGGGTTCAAGTCAGTAGACTATCCCTGAGTCCACCCAGCTCTGATGTGTACCTAACTTACGTTAAGGAAAGTAAAGACGGTTTGGCATAATGCTGAGCATATTATCCCTTCATATTCCTAGGCTTATGAAACAGATGAACCCTACTTCATCTGCCCATTTTTTTGTGTTGGGTACGATTGGGAAACGATGATGACACGAGTTGTCCCCCTTCTGCTAATTTACTTACTGCCACCAGTATATTGAGCCGCCCACGATCGCAAATATCGTCAAAACACCCAAGGCAACCAGCCAGTATCGAGCTGGATTAGAAAGAAAAAGTGTAATTACACACAACATAAATATGGGCGTGTATTTTTTACTTTCTCGTATATACGAAGTATAGAGAAAGTATTGTAATCGTGCACAAAAAAAAATCGAGATGAAATTTCATATATAAGTATTTTATCAAAATCGTAGATCCGTATCAAGTTTTGAGCGATTTTTGATAACCGGAAGTAGTACTTTTTCTACTTTGAATTTTTAAAAAACCTATAACTTGAGTACTATTTCAGACAGATAAATGAAATTTCACATGTAAGTAAAAGATCTAATTCTCTACCTTCTGTCAAATTTTATTTGGCGTTCACTTGGTGTGCAATTCTTTTGTCTACGAGATTTTATTCTATTTTTAAATCTTTAAGTATTTAAAATTGATTAAAAATCATGTCTATAGTCCGAGTTCCCATCCCCTGTTATTTTATATATAAATATTCTAGAAAGTTTAGGGGAGATCACTCCCGGTTTATTTGTAGTACTTCGTGAACACATATGCATGCTGTAATAACGTTTGCGTATACGTCTAAATATATACGGTGGAGGACACACTATCTCAATGATAACTGATCTCAGATAAAATATCCTAGATAAAATATTTCACCGACAAATGATCTCAGGACAAAATATCTCAAGAACAAAATATTTAGGACAATGATATCGTGGGGGAAAAATCTCATACAAAATATATAACGACAAAATATTTTTAGTATTTTGGATGATTATAGTAGATTTGGACATTTTTTGTAAAATTTTCATGTGGTTTTTATTTACGTTTATTTACTTTTTTAACACATAGGCCCTAATACATGTAAGAAAAGTCTCATCGCATAGGTTTGTCACATTACATTCAACATTATAAAATTTCAAATACATTCGATAGACAGTGTAGGTGGGCTTGATGATTATGTGACAATCTTGTCACATTAGGTGCACGAAATTAGATCAAATGGGATATTGCTCATCTAATTAGTAGGCTATGTAAAAACATTATACGCAAAGTGGCGATATGCTTTGTTGGTGGAGGCAGGCCCTAGGGGAGAAGATATCCGCTTTCCGCAGACAAGGGGTCATCCATAAATGACGTCACACTCGTAGGGAGGATAGGGGGGGGGTCTGTAATTTTTTACGGTGTGTGATGAGGGGAGGGGGAGGGGTTCAGATGGTGCGACGTCACACTTTTGCATTATAAAAAAGCAATGTTAGAAAACGAATTTTAGACGTTGTTTCGCATTTTAGAAAACTGTTTTAATAAATTGTAATAGGAATTGATTAAAATACTCTATTTTGACAAAGTTCATACATGATTTTAGAAAAATATCGATGTTAAAAAAAATAATTCAACTGCAATTTTGAGAGGGGGAGGGGGGGTTGTAGGCTGAGGTGTAACGTGATTTTAAGGGAGGGGGGGCCTGGCTTTTTGTGACGACGTGTGACGGACTGGAGGGGGGAGGTACGAATCGTCCAAAAAAGCGTGACGTCATTTATGGATGACCCCCAATACAACCCTCAATTGTTGTATTTCGGTCACACCTTAGTGATCAGATGACAAATGTGTATGTAACTGATAATGGTCATAGCTGAGCCTAGTATTTCTTAGTGCTCATGCAAACAAAGCATTTGTTGTAGTGATTCTCCAGTGGTGGCCCCTCTCTTTCAAAATAAAAAGCTATTTATAAAATAAGTTAATTATTCTTTTAATGGGTTATTAAGCTTTATTATCTCTCTGTATCTCTCTCTCTCTGTATATATATATATATATATATATATATATATATATATATATATATATATATATATATATATATATATATATATATATATACATATATACACAAATATTATATTTGCAAAAATACAATACAATAAGCCTCTAGGATCAAATAAGTTCCATGTGTAGGCTACTTATACTGGAGTCCAACAACTTACGCGGACAAGTTCCTTCCACTGTTTCAGCACAATCTCCCCCACATTTTTCTTCACAACTTTCTTCGCAGTTTTCACCATACCAGCCAGAGTTACAGGCTGGGTTGTAAATAAAACAACTATAAAACTTGCATTAGAATAAAATTTTCAATGTAATGAGAGTTAGAATTTTTTTTTTAAATCATAAAGTGTGTAAACATTTTAAGATATAAGTCCACTAAAATGCATAAATGAATAAAATTTAATGTGAAGATAGCGTTACATTTTTTAACAAATCACTCTCCCCCAATAAATAACATTAAACTCGCAAAAGACACGGGGTACTCACGAATCAAACAAATCTCTTCCAGATCCTGATAACCTTTGACACACGTGCCATTGCACGTGCCGTTGAACTTGTTGCAGTCGGGGAAACAGTTGGCGCAAGACTTGGCGCATTCGAATCCAAATCTCAGTTTAGGGCATGCTGGGAATGTTAAAGTAAAATTTAGGGCACGCTGGGAATGTTAAAGTAAAATTAATGGTAGGCTAGGCATATTAAAAATAAAATTTAGTGCACGCTGGGAATGTTACAAAAAGTAAAATTTAGAACACGCTGGGAATGTTAAAGTAAAATTTTAGGGCACGCTGGGAATGTTACAAGAGTAAAATTTTAGGGCACGCTGAAATGTTACAAAAAGTAAAATCTGAAGAAACGCTACATCGAGGAGAAGATACATTTTTTACAATAAATGTTACTAAAATAAAGCGGGAGGGCTCAAATCAAAACTTTCACCTATTATCATTTTAAATAGTAACTTTGTGTAATACATCCTCAATCCAGCTGTAGATATGTTTTTATTACATTTTTATACGTAATTCAAGAATTATGCACATATGAACTTAAAACAATTTACGCATTGGTTTATCGGTCAATTAAACATTATAAAAGAATTAAATCTTATATAATAATATATTACATTGTGTCTACCGTATAAAACACTACCTAATTTATTGGGTTCATACGGAAATAAAGTATTGTGCCACATCCGGTTTCTGGAAATGGTTGAAAAATTGAAAGAAACCAGCGTAAGAGATGTAGTACGTAAATGTTAAACTACGTCCAATTAAATTAAAAGGTGCTCTATATTGGCTTTTACGAAACCAGAGTTAGATTATATTTCATTTTCGTTTTCCGAAAATCGCTAAAAAGTGGATAGAGTACTACACAATTAATTTGGTAACTAAATATGCTATGTAGACTATCTTAAGTACTTAAGTGTTCGTGCTTTCCGCAGACAGACATACGGGCAGGCAGACAGACGGACATAGAGACAGACAAGCAGGCAATTTTTAAAAAGCACCATATCGCCTTACTTGTGGGGCACCTCGTCTTGATCCAGCACTTTCCTTTACGGGGCTGCCTGTTAAAACCCGGGCAGTTCGCCCCAAAGTTGACCGGTCGGGGGTTGGTGCAACGTCTGGAGAGGATTCAATTTTTAAAAAAAATTAGCTTTCGTATAGTGCGGACGTATTGGACCTGTATTTTTTTTTTTCATCGCTTATAGTAGAGTGATCGCTTGCATTATTGTGATGTATAGCATTTATTTTCTACTTTTTAGTTCAATCAGAAAACGTGGGTTTTTTAAAACTTTTTTAATGATTATTATTTTAGAAATAATTTACTTATGTAAGGACAGCGGCTAAGAAACCAAAGTGAGCTTTGAACTTAGGTCATAGGTCAAGGCTTCGCTTGAAAATAAAGATGGCTGGTATGTCGGAAAAAACACTCGATTCTAGATTTAATATCTAGTCCTATATAACCGCAATAGATAATAGAGTTTGAATGCATTAATAGATTTAGGCTATAGCTTCAATGATATGATTGTTTTTATTTATCTTATTCAAGAATTTAAGCTATAAAAAATATACGTCATTTGTTACATCTGTGTTATGTCAATCGAAGAAAGCCGATACTAGATTACACAACAAAAATATACTTTTTACTGAACTATTTTAGCCCTTAAATATTTTATATTAATCTTTGTTTCTTAACATAGGAATCGGTTAAATTAGAATATAATTTATTCAAACGCAGCATTAGGAAGATGTTAAATTATAATATAATTTAATTAAAACAGAACATGGAATGAGAGAAATATCAAAATAAAATGCGAATGCTTTAAATTATTGCAATTTATTTTACATTTGATTTAATAATTTATATATTTGTTACTAATGGATCGCGCTAGAAAGAAAGCTTGTCGAAATTATTATGATTCTGATTCTGAATAAGTGAATCACCGGTATTGTTTTGAAAGTTTGTTTCCCAATGTAAAAAAATACAAATGGTATGCGCCAATTAAGGGGTCAAGCAAATCAAACGACCGTACCTGAAACGTTCTTCATCAGTTACAGAACAATTCTGGGTACAGCCCCAGGCACGCCATTCAGCCCATCCACCATTAACTGTTACGTGATATATATATATATATATATATATATATATATATATATATATATATATATATATATATATATATATATATATATATATATATATTTAAAGTCATGTTGTATTAGTACATAATCTACCTCTGTCAGGCTTTGCTAAATCCTCGTCAACAGCGCCATCATGGTCGTTATCTGTAAAAATAAAAATCTTTTTTAAAATTACAGCTTTGTTTTTCAGGAGTGGCATAATTTGAAATGCAATTTTTTTCCTTAGTAGAGACATACGTATAGAATTAATCCGTCTAACCTGAAAATGTATCTTACATAAGTGTATGGAATGGCGAAAACAACCTAAATATAAAAACAACAGCCCCACCTACCTCACAAATATAAAAAAAAAACGCCCCAGGTTGCTTACAAATGTAAACGACAGTGCAACCAACCTCACTTAATCTAAACAAGCCCACTTACCCCATCAAGATACACAAACACTCGCAATTATCAAATCAAGGCAAGACACGCCCACTCACACCATTAAGGTACAAGACACGCCCACTCACAACATCACGTACAAGACACGCCCACTCACACCTCCAAGGTACAAGACACGCCCACTCACACCATCAAGGTACAAGACACGCCCACTCACAACATCAAGTACAAGACACGCCACTCACACCATCAAGGTACAAGACACGCCCACTCACAACATCAAGTACAAGACACGCCCACTCACACCATTAAGGTAAAAGACACGCCCACTCACACCATCAAGGTACAAGACACGCCCACTTACAACATCAAGGTACAAGACACGCCCACTTACCGTACCCATCGTACAACTCCTCGTCAACACGACCATCGCAATCATTATCAATGAGGTCTCCCCGTGAACTAGATTTTTGCGTGTTTTCACAATTTTCAATCTATGTAAGTATTGTTGCAGTCTCGACATAAATATTATATGCCATGCATAAATTATATATATATATATATATACGAGAAAAATGGCCCGTTGAGGAAGGATACACCGGGCGCTAGGTTGATAGTGCTGTCTCTTTTCTCTAAACTAAAACCAACCCACCCCCCCCCCCACACACACCACCCCCCCACCCCCCACCCCACACCCACCCCACACACCAGCCCCCCCCCCCCCACCCCACCCACCGCCACCCACCCCCACCCCACCTCCACCCCCCAAAAAACATGTCTACCGTCCCATTCAACGAAATATAATTATATACTTTTTCCAGTGTCCGCCCCCTCCCCGAAAATTTTACCCCCGCCCCCGAAAATTTCAAGTACCCCCCACCGCTCTCCGGGGAGGAAAAAGTCTGAAAGAAACACTGGTGTCGCGCTTAGCCACTACGCGAAGAATTGCATTAAAGAAATTGCGAGAAAACCACTTTTTAGATTAGACACATTAATTAGGCGGTAATTTTATTATAGAGTATCGATGAGGAAACCACCGCCCCACCCACCCCCCCACTCACACCTCCCCCCCCCCCACTCCCCACCCCCCCCCTCCCCCACCCCCCCCCCCCCCCCCCACTCCCAAAAAAAAAACATGTCTACCGTCCCATTCAACGAAATATAATTATATACTTTTTCCAGTGTCCGCCCCCCCTCCCCGAAAATTCTAACCCCGCCCTCGAAAATTTCAATTACCCCCACCCCTCTCCGGGGAGGAAAAAGTCTGAAAGAAACACTGGTGTCGCGCTTAGCCACTACCCGAAGAATTGCATTAAAGAAATTGCGAGAAAACCACTTTTTAGATTAGACACATTAATTAGGCGGTAATTTTATTATAGAGTATCGATGAGGAAACCACCGCCCCACCCACCCCCCCACTCACACCTCCCCCCCCCCCCACTCCCCACCCCCCCCCCCCCCACCCCCCCCACCCCCACTCCCAAAAAAAAACATGTCTACCGTCCCATTCAACGAAATATAATTATATACTTTTTCCAGTGTCCGCCCCCCCTCCCCGAAAATTCTAACCCCGCCCTCGAAAATTTCAATTACCCCCACCCCTCTCCGGGGAGGAAAAAGTCTGAAAGAAACACTGGTGTCGCGCTTAGCCACTACCCGAAGAATTGCATTAAAGAAAACCACTTTTTAGATTAGACACATTAATTAGGCGGTAATTTTATTATAGAGTATCGATGAAGAAATTTCTTTTGAGTTGGGGAGGGGGGGGGGGGCTCAGACGTTCTTACGCGGGGGGTGGGGCTTCGCCCCTACCCGAAGAATTGTATGCAAGAAACTCTTCACGCAAACCATTAAGATTAGACAACATTTCCTTTTTATTCAATGTTAACGCGAAAATCAATGACGTCATATAACTGTGAGCACTCTCTGGGTTTGAGATTATTTTCTACTCTGTGCGCTAAATGTGTCGACGTCATACTTCGTTTTTCGAATTACTGTGCATGTTTTTATTTTCCTTGTGTTTTCTCTAGAGCGTTCTTGTCAGACAGATAGATAGATAGATAGATAGATAGATAGATAGATAGACAGACAGCGAAACTATTATATATATATATATATATATATATATATATATATATATATATATATATATATATATATATATATATATATATATAATATATATATATATATATATATATATATATATATATATATATATATATATATATATATATATATATATATATATATATATATATATATATATATATATATACAAACTTGTCAACATAGCTGAATTTTAGTAGATTACTAGACTACCCGTTATCTAGTTTGATAACTGTGGCTTTCGCGGAGGAGGGGGGTCATCCATAAATGACATCAAGTATGTCACTTATCATCACAAAATAACCAGGCCCCACTTTAAAAAAGACGTAAATTGATAAAAGAAATTAACATTTGACATGATGTATCTAGTACCCGTACCACCCGCATGGATGTCTATTACACTAACAACTTAGCTATCTAGACTCGTGACGTCACTGACATTTTTTGTGCTATATATAAACTTTATTTACGCGAATAGGCCCTAGATATAGAATCTTTCAAATTAAATTAACTTATATTAGACAATTTTATATCTTAACAAACAAAGATTTATATAAAATAATGAAGGTCTTTAATAGTTTAGTATAGAAACTCATTATTATTATCTAGATCTACTTAGAGTTATCTAGATTCTACGGCTAATTTGGTTAAGTCAAGATTTTGCCTTAACACTAGATTGAAGCCGCCATTATTGCTGTAAAGAGTAAATAAATCATGTGACGTCACTATTCACTATAAGTAAAGTTATTGTTCTAAACTTTTATAATTAATGTGGCTAATCTACCAATGAATAAATCAAAAAATTAATTAACGTCCTTAAAAAAAATTGTGATTAACTATCTAAAAACAAGAATTGTTCTCTACTTAATTACTATTTTAGAGCTCTACACAGATTCTCTCCTGTGACCAAACGGACAACCAAAAAAAAAAAAAAATTCAAACATGTAAATAAACTTGAGTGTTAGTAGCATATAGATAGAAGTCTGAAACTTTTCCTTACGTCATCGATTGGTGAAGACATGAATCCCCCGGGGTGCATGTAGCCATAGAACTGGTGGTAGCCGTACAGGTAGCAACCGAAGTAGAACATTCGGGTACCCTGGAGCACATGGGTCCCTGGCTTAGTTTTTATCGACCCAACCACCCACTCGTCCATGCCCATGACTGGTTTCCAGACAACGCTGCCAGTTTCAAATGAGGAAAGTTTGAATATTTTTTTATCTTAGCTAGCACTTCGGCAGGAAGTATTTTTAAAATAGAGTAGTGATAAATGCAACATTGGAGATGTAGGTTAATATTATGTATCAGTTAAGCCGTATTTAGTTTAATAAATAAATAAGTAAGAGACAGCTTGGGGTACCGGTGAAATGAGTGATATCTAGCGTGTGAGTCACGAGTTTAAAGGGGTAGGCTCCAGAAAAAAAGGGGAAAAAACTTCTTAAATAATAAACATTTTTTTAATTTATTTGTTGATATATAAGTTAAGGAACTTAGGGGGAATTATTTGCATGCGTTAGGGACTCTTCTGAAAATCTGGTTGCCGTGGCAACTGTGGCCATCTTAAAAAAAATTAACTTTTGTGGGGTTCTAAAATTTGATCAACTAACATATTTATCGGCCATAGAAACATCGATAGAGTCAGTTGGCTAGTTTATTTAAACAGAAAAACTGCTTGAAATAGTACGGTAAATAGATTTTTTATACAGGAAATTTTAATCAATTATTAAATTTAAAAATACAATTAAGCAACAGATTAAGTTAAATTTAATATCAGATAGGACTGTCATCGAGTCTTTAAACGCGAGCTGAGTTTTAGAGAAAGTGGTCCGTTAGAAGTGATTGAGATTACGATCATCAGTATCAAATGAAGACAAAAAGACAAAGGACGCAAGTATCAAATGAAGACAAAAAGACAAAGGACGCAAGTATCAAATGAAGACAAAAAGACAAAGGACGCAAGTATCAAATGAAGACAAAAAGACAAAGGACGCAAGTATCAAATGAAGACAAAAAGACAAAGGACGCAAGTATCAAATGAAGACAAAAAGACAAAGGACGCAAGTTAAATTAAAGCTTGTAACATCAAACTGTGTACATCCCTCTACGTGATTCGCAAACTCCCTTAAGTCGTTTGAAGACTAACCCCATAAAATATGTTAAAAGCCACTTATAATACTATTTCATCAGTAATGTAGTCAGGAAAGACACCATTTAGCAATATTGTTAAATACTATTTGACTTTAGTCTAACCTCTCATCGCTGGGAAATTTCTGATCGTCAAATTGAAGGATTTCCTTGTTGGGTTCCTCAATGACGATGGTCGCATAGTTCTCTGGTTTAACCTGTTTAGTATTGGGTGTGCTGCAATGACATGTATAGAGGCTTTATCAACACTCAACTGCTAAAAGTATAAAGCAAGTTGGCTAGATATTTTAATGTGTACTAATTAAAAGAAAACTGGTATTATACAGGGAATACAGTTTTAGGAAGAAAGGAGGTGAGACAACGAGAAATTTTAATTTTTAAAAATATATTATACATTAACACAAATGTGTATGATCTTTCAACAGAGACACATGCCTTTATTAAAGAAAGCAAATTCGTTTTGTTTTTAATTAAGGTTTTGAAGGTTTATTTTTCCACTAGTTTCATTTTGCAATTTTATAAATTTTCATTTAGTTGACGATGTTGACGATGTCTGTTTGTTTTCTTTCTGCTGTTGTGTGACAAATCTATTTACTAGATTTTTCGCAATTTTAATGCACCGGTTTCGTCCAAACTTTACATATATAATAGTCTTCAAAGAATTGAAAACAATTTCTACATTTTTTACTTAATGTGACATTAGATTATTTGTTAAAACTCTATGAAAATATCACTAAATTTAAGTATAAATTGTAAGAAAACAAGGTTAAAAACTTGTAAAATCTTTCTACAAATTGTCCATCGATGTGAATTTTTTTTCAAAGGTGAGTGACGTTAACAGCTAAGGGGCAGATAATTGTCTTCCTGAGATTCCTAGCTCCTGACCATATTTTAAAGCAAACATTTTTAGTCGTAGTTTAATCAGATTTACATGTAGGCCTATTGAAAATTAAAATACCTATTATTTGCTTTTTAAATAAAAACTTTGGTGGCTAAAATGTGTAAAAGATCTCAAGAGTGATAGTTAAATTTTGAGAGCATTTTTAATGACAAGCTTATTATGGCCATGATTTATATATTTTTAAATTAGTAATTCGTTCTCACTGAAGTTGACTAAAATATTTAGTCTAAAATAAAACAAGATCTTGCAATCACTAAAAGACAGTATTCTCAATTAGGCAAAATAAAAAAATAAAAATAAAAACGTTATTAAAAAAACGTTAAAAAAGCTGATCTTAGCAATCGCAGTTAATTAATTTAGTTTTTCTTTCCTTTTTTTGTTAAATTTAAAATTCATTTATTATCACCTTTTATGACTAATCTAATATTAAACTGGATTAAAATACAAATATTCTTGCATTGTCATCGGAGACGCGTTTATATATTAACAATTAGTAAGAAAGCGCGGGATTAGAATCGGATAAAAATTGAGTTACAGGAATTGCCATAAATCTACTAATAAATGGGTAGGCATTGTGAACAAAATAAAAGCGTATAAAAATATATAACACGCGGAGATAATTTTGAGAAATATCAAAGTATTTACCTAATTATGTGGATGTTATATAATAATGGAGAAACTAAGTGCGATTTAAAGAATAATTTAAAAAAAAAAGTAATATGCAGACATGTATTATAAAATAATGTCATAAAATAATGGAGATACTAAGTGCGATTTAAAGAATAATTAAACAGAAAGTAATATGCAGACGGTGACAGAACAAATGATCTCAGGACAAATGATCTCAGGACAAATGATCTCAAGGAAAAATGATCTCAGGACAAATGATCACAGGGCAAATGATCCCAAGGACAAATAATCTCACGGACAAAAGATACCAGGAGAAAATATTTCAGGACAAATGATACCATAGACAATTGATCTCAGACAAAATATCTCACACAAAATATCTCACAGCAAAATGTTAATAGTGTGTACAATGGTTTTAGTTTATTTGAACTTTTTAAAAATTGACTGTCAATATGGTTTTGTTTACATTTTTACGCATAATAATTGTGAATAAAATAAATTTGTTAAACTTATCAAAGCTTCAAAAGATTTATTAAACTTAATCTTTGTAATAGCTTTTGATTTGAAAATGTATAATTAAAACAAACTTACTTCTTTAGCCTGAAAGGTATAATATGCAGAAGTACATTATAAAAATAATGTACTTACCTGAAAATGTACATGTCATAAAACAATGCTGTGGGTATGGCTAAACACATTGCGGGGTCCCCGTGTTCACCCGGATTTTCGCCACCGTCGTCGCTGCAAGCGGAACGTTCAAAGAACATAACCTGCACTGGCTTGTCAGTCTCGATTTTCATGACTTTCCCGTACATGTTAACCATATCTTCACGAAACTATTTCAACGGCCATGCAACAAAAAAAAAAAAAAAAATACATACAGATTTTTTTAAAAAGTAAAAACATAAAGAGAGTAGAATGTTTAATTTCATTTTTAATGTAATCCTAAACATATAAGTTTTTGTCTCAGACCAAGAATAGCGGTCAGCCTGGTTTTTTTTTTTTTTTTGGATTTGCTTCCATAGCTTTTGTCAAACCAAGAACAAACTACAAGGCAGCAGTTGTTTGATCTTGGAGTAATCTCTTCTACAAGAGCTTTACCAACTCGACAACGCCGACCCCTATAATGAAGTTGATGTCTTCTTTTTCCGTACAAACTAGAGATAATGGACTCAGCCGCGTCTGACAACTCTATCCATTGTCTTAGCTCTGGACTTTCGGACTAGAAGTCTTGAGATCTATCGCCAGACTATAAAGTTCCATACAACTTTAATATGTAATTCATTATATAAATTAACACCTTTAATATGAAATTTATTATATAAATTAACACCTTTAATATGTAAATTATAAATAAACTGATATAATGAACTGAAATAATTTTAAAATAATTAAATAAAATTTACGTTAAAGTACTCAATTAGAATGTGAGTACACGCACGTTAGTATAAAGATGCATGTAAACATACCTTTATCCAGTCCCTCTCTTTTTGTATCCTGAACGATTCCGTGTTACCCTCGTTGTCTAGGTAGAAAGTGACGACAGTGTTCAACTCTCTGGCAAGTATCATAACATTCAAGGGCAGGCGTCGGTATGCGTTTTGTATGGCGATAAACTCACGCCCGAATGTTTCAGATGGCAGGAGCATTTCTGCATTTTTGACGAAAATAATTAAATAAATATATATTTAACGGTCATTCTTGAGATGTTTTATATCTATTTAGCCACCAAAGTTTTTAATTTAAAAAAAAGGGTATTTTTTTTCGCTACGACTAAAAAATGTTTGCCTAAAACATGATCAGAAGCTTGAAATATCATCGTTGTCTAAATAAATTTAAAAAAAATAAAAAAGAAAAAAGAAAAATGTAAAAAAAAAATAAAAATAAATAAAACAATAAAAATAAAAATAATTAAATAAATATATTAATAAATAAATAAATAATGTTTTCAAAAATTAATACTAATAGTTTCGCTGTCTGTGTATGTATCTATCTATCTGACAAGAACGCTCTAGAGAAAACACAAGCAATTTAAAAACTTTCATAGTGAAACGAAAAACGAAGTATGACGTCGTCACATTTAGCACAGAGTAGAAAATAATCTCAAGCCGGAGAGTGCACACAGTAATATGACGTTTTAATTTAGAGAAAAGAGATAGCACTATCAGCCTAGCGCCCGTTGTATCCTTCCTCAACGGGCCATTTTTCTCGTATATAAATAAATAAATAAATAACAAATAAAATAAAAAAAATAAAAAAAATAAAAAAAATAAAAAAAAATAAAATAAATAAAATAAATAAAATAAATAAAATAAATAAAATAAAAAAAAATAAAAAAAATAAAATAAATAAAATAAATAAAATAAATAAAATAAATAAAATAAATAAAATAAATAAAATAAATAAAATAAATAAAATAAATAAAATAAATAAAATAAATAAAATAAATAAAATAAATAAAATAAATAAAATAAATAAAATAAATAAAATAAATAAAATAAATAACATAAATAACATAAATAAAATAAATAAAATAAATAAAATAAATAAAATAAATAAAATAAATAAAATAAATAAAATAAATAAAATAAATAAAATAAATAAAATAAATAAAATAAATAAAATAAATAAAATAAATAAAATAAATAAAAAAAAATAAAAATAAATAAAATAAATAAAATAAATAAAATAAATAAAATAAATAAAATAAATAAAATAAATAAAATAAATAAAATAAATAAAATAAATAAAATAAATAAAATAAATAAAATAAATAAAATAAATAAAATAAATAAAATAAATAAAATAAATAAAATAAATAAAATAAATAAAATAAATAAAATAAATAAAATAAATAAAATAAATAAAATAAATAAAATAAATAAAATAAATAAAATAAATAAAATAAATAAAATAAATAAAATAAATAAAATAAATAAAATAAATAAAATAAATAAAATAAATAAAATAAATAAAATAAATAAAATAAATAAAATAAATAAAATAAATAAAATAAATAAAATAAATAAAATAAATAAAATAAATAAAATAAATAAAATAAATAAAATAAATAAAATAAATAAAATAAATGAAATAAATGAAATAAATGAAATAAATGAAATAAATGAAATAAATGAAATAAATGAAATAAATGAAAGAAATGAAATAAATGAAATAATTAAAATAATTAAATACATAAAATAAATAAAATAAATAAAATAAATAAAATAAATAAAATAAATAAAATAAATAAAATAAATAAAATAAATAAAATAAATAAAATAAATAAAATAAATAAAATAAATAAAATAAATAAAATAAATAAAATAAATAAAATAAATAAAATAAATAAAATAAATAAAATAAATAAAATAAATAAAATAAATAAAATAAATAAAATAAATAAAATAAATAAAATAAATAAAATAAATAAAATAAATAAAATAAATAAAATAAATAAAATAAATAAAATAAATAAAATAAATAAAATAAATAAAATAAATAAAATAAATAAAATAAATAAAATAAATAAAATAAATAAAATAAATAAAATAAATAAAATAAATAAAATAAATAAAATAAATAAAATAAATAAAATAAATAAAATAAATAAAATAAATAAAATAAATAAAATAAATAAAATAAATAAAATAAATAAAATAAATAAAATAAATAAATAAAATAAATAAAATAAATAAAATAAATAAAATAAATAAATAAAATAAATAAAATAAATAAAACAAATAACATAAATAAAATAAATAAAATAAAATAAATAAAATAAATAAAATAAATAAAATAAATAAAATAAATAAAATAAATAAAATAAATAAAATAAATAAAATAAATAAAATAAATAAAATAAATAAAATAAATAAAATAAATAAAATAAATAAAATAAATAAAATAAATAAAATAAATAAAATAAATAAAATAAATAAAATAAATAAAATAAATAAAATAAATAAAATAAATAAAATAAATAAAATAAATATAATAAATAAAATAAATAAAATAAATAAAATAAATGAAATAAATGAAATAAATGAAATAAATGAAATAAATGAAATAATTAAAATAATTAAATACATAAAATAAATAAAATAAATAAAATAAATAAAATAAATAAAATAAATAAAATAAATAAAATAAATAAAATAAATAAAATAAATAAAATAAATAAAATAAATAAAATAAATAAAATAAATAAAATAAATAAAATAAATAAAATAAATAAAATAAATAAAATAAATAAAATAAATAAAATAAATAAAATAAATAAAATAAATAAAATAAATAAAATAAATAAAATAAATAAAATAAATAAAATAAATGAAATAATTAAAATAATTAAATACATAAAATAAATAAAATAAATAAAATAAATAAAATAAATAAAATAAATAAAATAAATAAAAAAAATAAAATAAATAAAATAAATAAAATAAATAAAATAAATAAAATAAATAAAATAAATAAAATAAATAAAATAAATAAAATAAATAAAATAAATAAAATAAATAAAATAAATAAAATAAATAAAATAAATAAAATAAATAAAGTAAATAAAATAAATAAAATAAATAAAATAAATAAAATAAATAAAATAAATAAAATAAATGAAATAAATAAAATAAATGAAATAAATGAAATAAATGAAATAAATAAAATAAATAAAATAAATAAAATAAATAAAATAATTCTTAACTGCTTTTCAACGGTTTATATTTGGTAAAAAAATAAAAAAAATTAGTATAATCCATGGTTCTCAAATGGCTTTAATTTTTAAAAATGTAACTATAATTTTATCGCTTGCCATATTTTTCAAAAGATGTTTTCAAAAATTTAGTATGACTTTTCATGCCTATTGTGATCTTTAAAATGTTAGTTTGCATAGCAACGATGACAATCTTCATGGTCAACAGTATGTCATGGGCATTTTGCATTATATTTTAACCAAGTTTTAATATACTAAGTATATATGTAAAAATATTAGTGTTGAATCAGTAGCGTACGCAGGGGTGGAGCAGGGGGAGCGGCCGCTCCCCCTCTGGCCATTTTTAGCAAAGTGGCGCCTTTTTGGAAACTTTTTAAACTCAAAGTTTTAAACATTGATATTTGTTAAAAACTTATCTTTGGTCGGCACATCTATGCAAATCACATGATTTATTTCATGCAGCAATTAATTATAACAGTAATAGACTAGTAGAGTCAACGTTTACAACACGTATTAGCAGCTGTATCAGTTTGTCATTCTAAAAATAACCATTACGATGCATTGCACTGTTTAAAAAACCTCTACAGGCAGTACCACTTGGCAAGAGGGGTGTTAAGTTTAAGGCAACTGTATAATGTATTTGCTTACGAATAATTGAATTAGAAAATGTTACATGTAAAACTTCAATCATAATTACTTTATATATACAGTTTAAATCGTGTAATTTATTTTTTTAAAATTACAATACAGACACAAATACAACTAATGTGGCACCATTTACTTATGGTCGAAATGCGTAGCGGTGGGGAAATTTTGACAAGGTCATCGACATCATCACGATGAAGTGGTAGTATTATGACAGTTTGATTACGATTACAAATTAAATGAAACAGTATCAACTTTCTATTAATAATTATTTTAGTTTACTAGATCTAGATCTATATTATATTTGAACAATGCTATATTTTATATATATATAAAAAAAACAACTCAATTTAAACTTACACTGATCGCACAGTTAATTATCCGCTACTTATTTAAATCTACTTTTGAATCAGTATACATGCGTAATTGAATATGTATGGGGTCGTCCATACATGACGTCACACTCGTAGGGGGGTCCGAAATTTTATGACGGTGTGTGATGAGGGGAAGGGGGGGGGGGGGTTCAGATGGTGCGACGTCACACTTTTGCATTATAAAAAAGCAATGTTAGAAAACGAAGTTTAGACGTTATTTTGCGTTTTAGAAAACTGTTTTAATAAATTGTAATAACAATTGATTAAAATATTATATTTTGACAGAGTTCAGACAAGATTTTGGGAAAATATAGCTGTTTAAAAAAATTTAACTGCAATTTTGAGGGGGGTTGTAGGCTGAGGTGTGACGTCATTTTAGGGGGGGGGGGGAGAGGTCTGGCTTTTTGGGACGACGTGTGACGGAGGGGAGGGGGAGGTAAAAATCGTCAAAAAAGCGTGACGTCATTTATGGATGACCCCTATGTTTAGAACAGTCATCTAAAAACTGACGCTATGTTCACTCTGAGTTGGTTATCCACACCCACCTCACCACCACAATTGTGTAGAGCGACATTAATGTCACACCTTGGTATACGCTGGATTGGATAATTGACCTAAAGTGACCGGACAGTGGTGAATGAAGTTGAACCCCTCCTCCCAACCAGCAACGAACTGATCTGTTAAGTACATTTGGAACGCGTAATGATGTACCAAAGTACCATGCCGCCAGAATCATAGCTATTGAAACGTAAATCTCTGTGAATATTGTTTTTGCAATTACCAGTAAAAGGTGTGTGAGCAGTGATCTAACCCATACCTTCTCATAATGTTAAAAAATTATCTTTAAAGAACACATAAAGTCAGTAGCTAATTAAAAAGTGAATGATATGTAATGGATGACCAATATTTTAGTTGTATGTAGACTATTATTCCGAATGTTTAACTTTTTCTTTGTAAAGCTAGTTTTTATACCAACTCTGATTTAAAAAACTTTCATTATGCTGTAATATTTTAGCATTTATGATGACAATATATTTAGATCTGATTGTAGACAAAACACTTTTGTAAAAACAAATAATGTTAAGCTACTTTATTAGATTCATAAGTAATTATTGATTTGTTTTGATATTTATAATAAAATGTGTAGAATATACATATTTATATTACGATATTGATTATTTCCCCTTTTCGCTTGTCCCAGGAATTATAATGTAGTTTTTTTTTTACAAGGGTTACGAAACAGATTATGCTGCGTTCATTGTTTTTGGTTGTAGTGTGTGATGTATATATATATATATATATATATATATATATATATATATATATATATATATATAGGCCCTATATACATATACATATATATATATATATATATATATATATATATATATATATATATATATATATATATATATATATATATATATATATCATATATATATATATATATATATATATATATATATATATATATATATATATATATATATATATATATATATATATATATATATATATATACTTATTTATATAGAAGATATTACAAATTCGGCGCCTTTTTTTGTTATTTTCGCTCCCCCTACACCGAAAACCTGGGTACGCCTCTGTGTTGAATGTTAAAAACAAAAGATATTTTTCTTTGAGGTGATACCCATTCTTAAAAACAAAAACGAACGGCTACTCTTGAAATCTTTAAAGTGTTACTTGTTGAATAAAAGATATTCAAAATTAAATGGTCTCATCTTCTCTTCACTATCCCCGAAGTTTCTCGCAAAAAACTCTGCACACACAACAACTTCTCCAGAAGTTAAACTCAAAGTTTGTAAAGTATTTATCAGACTGTCAGTAAAATAGGTAGGTTGGTTTCTACTGACTTACTTTTTCAGATCCTGCTCGATGGTTTCTCCACCTTTGTATTGTTTTCCCTTGTACTCTATAGAGTGGTCAGTGTTTGGGGACTTGAGGTTGATGCTAATTTTGTTCTCCGTCTCGCCATTTGCGACGTTGATTGCCACCTGTTCTCTGTAAGATAAAACTCGAGTGAGCAACTCGGAAGATTTTAGTAAAGATTTTAAAAGAACATGGAGGAAAGTTGTTGTCAACACCCAGTGTTGTAACTTAAATGGTACATGGGTGTCAATAAAGAGTTGTTTATTGATGAATGTTTGTTTTACACAGTTAAACCAACACGCTTATGAGAAGGAATCTTCACATAGGTGGAGGTACAATAAAAAAAGAAGGTTCGAGAATTTGGGCGATAGTACCATCCATTCACAACGATTTCAAAATTTACTTTCGGTGCGGTGTTTATGTGTGGAAATAAAAAAATAAGTTTTTTTGTGAGGATTAACATATTTTGCTCTTTGCTTTTAAATGATGACATTTTTTATAGAATTGTTCTCTCTATGTCCTAAAATTAATGACGATACTAATTAGCACCTATAATTTTTATTTTTAACAATTTTACGATATTAATCCTTCGGCCTATGATTTTAGTGAGCTAAAAGGTAAATGACAACAATATATTGCTTAATGACAAAAATAAACTAGGTAATTCGTTCAGAAAATAATGGGTTAAACTAAAATGTCTTTGTGGTGTAATAGTCACCTAGTCTGAAATTTAAGTATGCTTTGTTTCAGACATTTTTATACACTACAAAACATAGACAACAAGCCTTTCGAAGCTGAATTAGCAATAATTACTTTATTGCACAATAATGGAGGCTTATTTTAACGCAAACAAGTATAAACATGTTTTACAAAAATAAAGTTTTAAATTGTACTGAATATAGGAATATAAAAGAAATTCGCGTTGTTAAAAAAGTCATTGGTCAATACAATATTCTCATGAACGCACAGAGCTTTGGTTAACGATAGCATGTTTATTTGATTGTCTTAGTTTCAGTGCATTTTATTTTATTTATTTATTATTATTACTTTTTTGGGATGATTTAATTATTAAAGTTGACACCATATACAACTAAAATATTAGCTTTAAAATATATCAGTAGTTCGCAATTTCCGCCACTTCTTACCGCGCTTGGTACGTTCATTTGTGACGGAATTTTAATTATTTGTTTTTACTGATTAAGGAAAGATATTACTCGGTTACACTAAAATATATGCGCGACAGAGGCGTCACCTAGGTGGAAAAAGAAATATGCTATAATTGAGAGATTTGGAGGCACTAAACCCATGGGCAACAAGTCTTATCATGCCGTTAGAGAAATATTTACTTTATTGCAACATTACGTTAACCGGGAGTGATCTACCCTAGACTTTCTCGAATATTCTTATATAAAACAACAGGGGATGGCAACTCGGGATATAGACTTGATTTTTAATCCATTTTAAATATTTAAACTTTAAAAAAATAAACTAGAATTTCGTAGAAAAAAAGAATTGCACACCAAGGGAACGCCAAATAAAATTTGCTTATAGTGCAGAATATGATTAGTACTTTATAAATTCACAAGCGTTTTTTGCGAAATCAAAAAATAGCGTAAATTAGTACTTCCTATCAACAGAAATTACTCAATATTCGACATAAGGTAGATAATTAGATCTTTTACTTACATGTGAAATTTCATTTATCTATCTGTAATAGTACTCAAGTTATAGGCTTTTGAAAAATTCCACTTCTGGTTATCGAAAATCGCTCAAACGCTGATACGGATCTACGATTTTGATATAATACTTATATATGAAATTTCATCAACCTAGCTGTAACGGTAGTCAAGTTATCGTATTTACAGACACACACTCACACACACACACACACAGACATACGGGCACGATTGCAAAACTATGTTTTTCCGACTCAGGGAGATGTAAAACGTCGAGATTTGCAAAAACCTCGATTTTTTTGCACGATTACAAAATTTTCTCTATACTTCGTATATACAAGAAAGTAAAAATGAAGGTAATACATTAATCCTAGTCTTTTGTTTTAAAAAAAAATGTTAATTTAAAAAAAAAAAGGATTCCATCTAAATCAATTAGATAAAATAAAAATTTGGTATATAGTAAAACTTTTAGATGGCTGTTAACGTGCTCTTAAACGTTTGTTATTACTGTGTAAACTATTACACAATTATTGTACCAAACTTACTTGAAAGTCATAGTGTAATACTTCTTTCCCCAGCCAGTAACTGGCACCGCTGTGAACGTGTCCACTGAATACTCGTTCTGCTCCAGTAAAACGTTGATGCCAAAGTCATCGTTACCCTCGAACTTGTACGTGAAACTCGGTCCGCTGTTTTGTGTGATGCTGTTAAAATAGTTGAAATTTAAAAAAAGAAATTCACTGTTATTCTGCAGGAGACTTGTTCATCAGATAACAGGGTTGACTAGTAGCTTATAATTATAATTACATAATAACTAGTTTATGATCGCAGTGCCAAATGCGTTAAATATCTTCTCATCTGTTCTGGTTATTGACAAAATAAAAATTAGATAATTTATTGCAGGCTTACAAGTAATCGCTATGTATTACAGGCTTACAAGTAATCGCTATGTATTGCAGGCTTATAAGTAATCGCTATGTATTGCTGGCTTACAAGTAATCGCTATGTATTGTAGGCTTACAAGTAATCACTATGTATTGCAGGCTTACAAGTAATCACTATGTATTGTAGGCTTACAAGTAATCACAATGTATTGCAGGCTTACAAGTAATCACAATGTATTGTAGGCTTACAAGTAATGACAATGTATTGTAGGCTTACAAGTAATCACTATGTATAGCAGGCTTATAAGTAATCACTATGTATTGCAGGCTTACAAGTAATCGCTATGTATTGTAGGCTTACAAGTAATCGCTATGTATTGCAGGCTTACAAGTAATCGCTATGTATTATAAGGCTGGATGTCCCCATTCTGTCAACATCTACAGTCTGGTGGTCAGGTTGTTTAGAGATGTGCCCTTCTTCACCTTTGTACCAGGGAAAGCTGACTTTAACCTGGTAAAATTAACAGCTGTTTAACATTGAAACAATCTCAATAATATGTGCGTTATTATTTATACATATTATTTTGGTGATCACGACAGAATCTAAATACTATGTGCGCTATTATTTATACATATTATTTTGGTGATTACGACAGAATTTAAATACTACTAGACTATCTGTTATCTAGTTAGATAACAGTGGGTTTCGAGGGTCATCCAAAAATGACATCACGTCTGTGACTTATCACAAAATAACCAGACCCGATATTCAAAAATACTTTTATCTTTTAAAAACACCGATTTCAGCTGAGCATGTCTCTGACCACACTGTCCCTTTAAATACTGACGTCGCAGATGACCTTTTTAAAGTTCTATTAATTTTAATCACACCGACATTAAAATTTAGCCTTCATTCTCCAAAGCAAATTTTAAAATGCTTTTCTGTCATATCTAGCCCTGGCCACCTATAGCATGTTTATAGAACGTGAAAACCCGCCATTTTGCACGGGGTAAACATGGCCTAAAAATGGTCGGAAGTCATGCGTCCGGTCCGGACGCCATACTGTTTTTAGCAAGCGACCACGCCTCCAAGTTAGCGAGTAATCCTACTATATCTAGATCTAGAACCTAGATACATAGATCCCATGCATTCTCGAATAAGATGATCATTGAAGCTAAAAAAAGATTTAAATATAAAATAATTAAGGCTTGAAATAGATTCTAGATGTAGAATTTACATTAACTCTAGATCTAGACTTTACGTTAAGTCTAGTGACCTAGAGTTAGATCTAGATCTCAATCTAGATTAAAAACTTTTTCTTCCTTCGACAGCTGATCTGTAGATCTAGAGAAATGTATTGTAAAACTAAATGAAAAAGACAGTTGAAAATTGATATAAGTGTTGGAACGTAATGAATACAGCAAACGGACGTCTTGTTAAAGTTATAGCCGACAGAAAACTAGCTTTAGAACGTGTTAAACATTGGAATGGGAACACAATCTTCTTCGATAGAAGCCGCCATTTTATTGTACTAAAAAGTAAACAAATAATGTGACGTCACTATTTAGTCAAAATAAAGGTATTGTTTGAAACTTTTAAAATTAATGTGGTTAATCTACCAATGAATAAATCAATAAATTAATTAACGTCTTTAAATAAATGTGTGATTAACAGTCTGTCTGAAAAGAAAAATTGTTCTCTACCTACATACTATTTTACAGGTCTACACATACGGTAGATTCTCTCCAGTAGTAAATCAGACAAACAGATAAATATTCAATCATGTAAACAAAGTTGAGTTTTAGTAGTATAGAGATGTTCGTTATTATTTATACATATTATTTTGGTGATTACAATAGAATCTAAATACTATGTGCGCTATTATTTATACATATTATTTTGGTGATTACGACAATGACTAATTAAAACATTTTTAGACGCTTTGCACTAGACTATGAAAAAAAACATACCAACACTGTGAAGGTGACTACGATAAAAAAAAACATACCAACTATGTGAGTGTGATTAAGATAAAAAAAACATACCAACTATGTGAGTGTGACTAGGGTAAAAAAAAACATACCAACACTTTAAAGGTGACTACGATAAAAAAAAACATACCGACACTGTGAGGGTGATTATGATAAAAAAAACATACCGACACTGTGAAGGTGACTACGATAAAAAAAGCATACCGCCAATGTGAGTGTGACTAAGATAAAAAAAACATACCGACAATGTGAGTGTGACTAAGATAAAAAAAAACATACCGACACTTTGTTATGGGCCATAGTGAAGAAGAAGATTGCAACGTGTTGCGCATCATCGTGCATTTTCACCGGTATGAACACGAAAAGACGTCCCATTTGTGTGCTCACTCCTGAAGAGGGTTTATTTCTGACAATTTTTTTAGGGTTCCATGACAAATGATCTCAGACAAAATATCCAAGGCAAAACTATGTCACGGAAATATGATCTTAGGACAAATGTTTTCAGGACAAATGAGCTCGTGGGTAAAATATCAGGACAAATGTGTTAGTAGTTTTACATCTACAGTTCAATACATGACTATAATCTGCAAAGTTGTGTAGAAGTTTTTTTAGTTTGTACAACTAAACTATTCCGTCCCGACTCTTACATGAACACATTCAGAGGAGCATAATACATAACATGCTTCTAAAGAACACGTTTCTGATATATTTGTCAAACACATCTATATGAAGAACGTATACGACATGAAACGTAAATAATATATCATAGGTTTTAGACATAACATGAGCGTTTTAAAGGGCACTTCAGAATATTAACACTAACGCTCGCTTAACGTATTAGATTACACACATGTTTATCGAATCTCACACGGACAACAACATAATATGTGAATTATAACACACGCACACATACACACACCAACGAGTTCACACACATTCACACTTACTCCAGCATCCCCACCTACACACACACGTACATATGCGTATATGTACTGTTAAATATATTTGTTAAAAACATAAAATATTGTCTTACCGGAAACGGAACAGGGCGTCGCTATCATAACGAATGCCAGAACCAGCGTAATCTTTAAAGTAAATAGCATGTGTTTTTTATACTTGCAGGCACAGTGTGATAAATAGCTACCTAATAATTGTGTACATTATACTAAGTGCAAATAATGCTATGCACTATGTAGATCTTCTTCTTCTGCGTTGTTAATTCTAGTGTTGGAAGAGATTCCCTCCAACAGAATTAAGTATAGGTGAACATTATGGCGTTGTCTTCGATTTCAGCCTGTTTTTTTTATGGATTTGCTTCCATAGCCTTTGTCGAACCAAGAACAAACTACAAGGCAGCAGTTGTTTGATTTAGGAGTTGACACCTAGACCATGTTAAACATGTCACATTTCAGTTAAGAGTAAAGTTCGATTCTTTTTTCTTTGTGTTTGTATAGCTTTTAATTCGTAGTGTCGTTCTAGGTGTGGTACAGGGTAATGTGCTGATAGGTATTAAACGTATATATGTTGGTTTCTATATACTAGTATTGTGTGTGTATGTGTGGTGATCTTTTTTGTGGTATATGGGGGGGGGGGGGGCTCATGTGTATGATGTGGAATAAATGATGGGGTGTAGATCATAGTGTAAGTACTGTTTATATAAAAATGCACAGCAACCAATTGAATATAATTTTGAGCATTTATCTAGTACGTGTGTTTATTGTAAGAAATATATGTTACAGATATCGCAACACTTAACTCATTTATCTATTCTATTCTATCCTGATTCCATTCTTTTCTATTAATGTGAAATAAATAGGTAATCATCATTTCTTTATTTCGAACTTTATTAAAATATTTTTATTCTTTCGTAACGGAAAATTGAAAGAAAAACTGTCAATGGTTACTGTTGTAAGCATTTTAAAATATCGTTTTAGTATATGTATAGTTATTTTTAAAGCAATTAAAAATCAATTATTAATAAGTGCCATCTCTCTTAGTGACATATAAAGTGAGAAAGTTTAGGTGAGATTCCCCCTGCTGTTTTTAAAATGTAGAACGTAAATATATGTGAATAGATTAATTTTAGTTTCAGTTTAAGGGGATATGCGCGGAAAAAAATCACAAAATTTCTTGATTTTCGTCATGATGGGTTTCTTGCACTTTTAGATAATTTGTCCATTTTTGTATATAGAAAATAATAACTTTAAAGAGAAACAAATATTTTATGTGTTTGAATTACGATTTTTATGACCCTATTAATTAAAAAATAATCAATTTTTCCCAATCTTACAAGCTCTCTATGAAAAGTTTTATATCCGTCATTATATTGTATTTGACATCATTGGAAAGCTGGATTTCTCATGTATTTAATAAACTTAATTTCCTACATCTCGGAAACACCCAAAGCTTACAATCGGCTTTGCAGTTTACACAGATATGGTACTTTCCTGACCTAGTTTTCGGTACTTTTGGCTGTTTTTCTCAGTTCGCAGGTTTTTAACACTAAAAAGCCTACTACTTTTTTATTTATTAAACAATGCCAACCATATTTTCAGTAAATGTTCTTGATGCGAAAATACAACTTTTGTCACGAGGGAATCGTGATTGCTTTCATAGAAAAAAAGTATTTGGTAATTAATATGCACATTTTGAAACTTTTGAATACTAAAAAGGGTACGATTTTTTAGACCTTGTAAAATTCTTACTAGTAATTATTTCAAAAAGTTGTCGTGACAAAAGTTTTAATATATACTGAAATATAAGCAGTTTAAATTTGATTGCTATAGATGCATAAATAAAAAAGCCTTAGCATTTTTAAAAGTACCGAAAAATTCAAAATGGCGGAGGTTTTTTGGTTTCCATGACAACCAAATTGTTTTCGACCCTTTTTTTTTGCTGTTTAATACTTACTTTTCTATGCCAAATATGATTAAAGTATTCAAAAAGTTTTAGATCTTAAACTGTAAAAAATAGAAAAAACATAGCATATCCCCTTAAATACTTTTTTGTTAATCATTTGGTATTGCTAATTATTGCTGCTACTAAACATTGTTCAGATCATTTTTAATATTTTCTACATTTTTATTTTTGATACGCCTTGTATATACAATAATGAAGATTGAGAAAAAATGTAGCAAATCTTCTGAATGTTTTCATTTCTGTGTTGTTGTTTATTTAAAGTTAAAAATGATTAATTACTACTTTCAACTATATTATGTATATACTCTGCTTATATCTAGATCTAGATCTACTAGGTGTTGCTAATTTTCTGTCGATTAAACTTAAAATTAAGCTAAAACATTTTAAATTAAGTACACTAGATTTTATATACATTTAAAAAGTCTAATAAAACATTGTTTACGGTAACTAATGTTTACCAAAGTCGACAAACATTACTGTATGCTTTTATCTTGAGTTTATAACTTGTTGCAGTTTAACTTACCATTTTACTTTTAACAAGAAAAATTTGTTTTCAAAAACATCTTTCGAATTTCGTAAAATAAGATAGAGCTTAAACTAGTATTTGTTTTATTACTGTGTGCGAAAGTATGGTGCTTAATGGTGCGTAGGCAAGTGCGACTCAACAAAAGTTGTCAGAGAAGAAAATTATAGTAGATTTGATGTTTAGGCCTACACACACACACACACATACACACACACACATATATATATATATATATATATATATATATATATATATATATATATATATATATATATATATATATATATACATATATAAATATAGGGGTGTGAGTCCATGGGATGGGTTATAACCCCCTAACACCCCTCCCCCCCCCCGCCCCTTTTATACTCCACTGGCTCAACCGGAGTGTTTGTTTTTGTAGTTGTTGCTAGCAATGTGAGAGTGAGGCAGATGAAGCTCTAAGTGTTCGTTGAATTCCAGTTGCTTGAAGTTTGCTTGTTCGTTTTTTTTTCTCCAGCAGTACACATCGTTTAAACGTACCGCCAAGAGTGTTAATCCTCATACCGTTTTGTTTATTTTCAATGCAAGCTGTTTAAGGTAAAATAATTCATGCTACTTTCAAATTATTTCTTAAGTGGTCAATCAAAGATAATCAGAAGGCTGATTTAGATTTTTTTTTCTATATTGGGCAGATGCAGTAGAGTATATGTGTTTCTTGATCTCGGCATATTAAGGAATAACATGATAAGTCCAATGCCCATCCGGCTGAATGTTGTTTTAGAGCGGACGTGGTTTGAAATATTATGATCTAAGCACTGTCGTGTCTTAACTGTCCAATATCGTTAAGACAGAACATTTCTATTTGTTTCGTCTATTTTCTTACTATGTGAAACACACATAAAACAAACTGTGACCGGTAAGACCTCGTCTCCAAAAGTTTTGCAGGAAAAGCCCATTAAAGATACATAGTATTTCAGTATAGGTTGCTAAATCGAAAAGTCCCGAGTTCGAACCATCGGGCAGATGAGGCTCGTTAGCTGGGGACAGCCCCTCTTCTAGGAGAGACAACTCAAAAATCAACCCAACTGCTGCCTTGTAGTTTGTTCTTGATTGGGCAAAGGCTATGGAAGCAAATCCAAAAAAGAAAATCATGCTGAAATCAGAGTCAATGGTTTCAATGGCGCATAATCAATGGACACTTAAATTTAATTGTGTTGGAGTAGATTCCTTGAAACACTAAAATTAGGAACGAAGAAGAAGAAGAAGAAATATTACAGTATACACAAAGAGACATTCCCTTAAATGTTAAGTTTAATAAATATTTACACACTCACATTTTAAATATTCTCTTTAATAAGATAGATCAAATAGATATTGCGTAACATAAATCTCCGCTTATATTTATGTACATATTTACACACAGACTTCGATGCAAATTAACACACAGACTTCGATACAAATTTTCAGTAAAACATAAACCAGTCTATGTGCTTGTCTGTAATGTGCTCAATAACACAGCACGTAGCATGTACCCAGGGACTCTACGCGAATGTAAACGCCGACGATCCTGAATGCGCCACGTAACTCCTGTTGTCTTCCCCGTATACAACTTTTTGTGAGGGCTCCCTCTGTCTGTAAAGTAAAAATGTATATATATATATATATATATATATATATATATATATATATATATATATATATATATATATATATATATATATATATATATATATATATATATATATATATATAAACATAAATCAAAGTGTTTGTAATTAAAAATTTCATATTTTTTAAACAGGATCTTTGTAATCGTGTTGTTTTTTGTTGTTTTGTCTGATAAATCAAACATTGTCTAATCGACACACTATCTTTGTAAAAGTTACTTTTAGTTTAACATTTTACCTACTATAATTGTAATCAATAATCTAAAACGTTAATAAGTGCAAGCGTTCTCCATTTTAAAAGCCATCTAAAAAAAATTGCATAAAATTTTCTGTTAAATCTTGAACTCAAACTTTCTTATCTCTCTACTTACTGCCACCAGTATATTGAGCCGCCCACAATAGCAAATATTGTCAAAACACCCAAGGCAACCAGCCAGTATCGAGCTGGATAAACATACTTACATTATAAATATTATATATATATATATATATATATATATATATATATATACATATGTACAAGATCATTATAATTGATATATATATATATATATATATATATATATATATATATATATATATATATATATATATATATATATATATAATGCCTCTAGGATAAAATTAGTTCCATGTGTAGGCTACTTAAACTTACGCGGACAAGTTCCTTCCACTGTTTCAGCACAATCTCCCCCACATTTTTCTTCACAACTTTCTTCACAGTTTTCACCATACCAGCCGGAGTTACAGGCTGGGTTGTACACACATTTCTCATATTATACACATAAAATAAAGAGGATGGTGTGTATTTTATTTGTTTACTGCATTTTGGTGTGCATGTTAGAAGTGTTATATACAATAAACCTATAAAGCTTGTTTTAAATTGTTGTTTCCAGAAGGCATATTTTTATCAACCAAAATTGATTATTTAGCAACAATTTTGAAATAAGTACAAAATAACTTCCGATTTTATTAAGGTTAGAAATATTCTAACAAATAATAGTAAGCGATATAATAGTAATTTATGAAACAATTTTATTTTCAATTTGGATACTTTAGTCACGGTGTTGTAATGATAGGAGATGTTATATTATTTAATATAAATATACAACTAGGCTAAACCCCCCTGAACACTATTTTATAATGGAAAAAAATTGTTGTGACTTTCATTAATTTACTTTCCCTGGCCAGTCCGTTTGACATGAATAGAGGTAGAGGGCCTTTTAAAAAAAAATAAAATAAATATTAGAATTGATAAAATAATTTAAACGGCTTTGCAATGGATTATATTCAGTACAAAATTATGAAAATAAGTCTAGTCGAAGGTTCCCAAATTATTTTTTTTTTTACAAATATAATTGTATCGCTTGCCAAATACTTTGAGATTATATAAAAAAAAGATTATGATTACTTAGACTTTTCAAGCCTATGTTATGTCTAAAATACAAAGTAAAAAAAACACGCACCAGTCTTTGACGAGTTAATTAATTAACAAGTTTAAACATTTCTTTACCGCTAGTTTTTTTTTCTTTTTTAAGATTTGATTTCCAAGAGACGTACAGTAACGATAGGTTTTCAAAATATTTATTTTGGAGAATAAATGGTAAGAGTTTATTTTGTAAAAACAAACTTTGTCCAAAAACATTTTGTCTTTTCATTGTCCACTAAATGTGTATGTAGTTTATTGCACTCATACACATTATGTATGGTGCTGTTTAGTAGAGTTAAATGTGGTTCGTTATTGGTAAAAAATATTCAATTCCTGTTATTATAAGATACATGACGTACGTAACATTAACATTAATGAAGCAGAAATAATGTAGATCAGTATTCGGTGTGATTGAGTATACAAGCACTGACGATAGGCAATATTCTGCACAGTCATTAAGGTTATCATCTCCGATTATATTAAACACAAAATAATTCAGCAGAATGAAGATACTAAACTAGGCACTGCCTCCTTTGTGGAACTCTAAATATTAATCACGCATTTGACTATAATCAGTTAGGTTTTTAAAAATTTGCCGAAAACACATTTTTTTTCATATTTTGCAATAATGTAATGTCACTTTTTAACTGATGTGTTTAACAAAAATAATTATAGAGCCTTTGGTTAAAAGACTAGTGAACGAAAATAAAGCACCCTGAAAAAATATGGAATGTTTATCTTAAGGTTGCTGGGAATGTTAGAAGAAACTTTATTTTTGAGAGCGTTGGAAAATGTAAAAAAAAAGTATCTTGAGACACAAGAAACTTGTACATCTACTCAAAGTAGATAATAAACAAAAAATACAATCTAAGTCAAAATGAATAAAATGCTTAATTAGTTGTTTTGTTTTAATTAACCTAAACAGCACTAAAATAAAATCGCAAAAGACACGAGGTACTCACGAATCAAACACATCTCTTCCAGATCCTGATAACCTATGACACACGTGCCATTGCACGTGCCGTTGAACTTGTTGCAGTCGGTGAAACAGTTGGCGCAAGACTTAGCGCATTCGAATCCAAATCTCAGTTTAGGGCATGCTGGGAATGTTAAAGTAAAACTTAGGGCACGCTAGGAATGTTACAGGAGCCGAATTTTAAGGCACATTGGAAATGTTACTAAAAGTAAAATTCAGGGCACGTTGGGAATGTTATAGAAAGTAAAATTTTAGGGCACCATGGGAACGCTAAAGTAAAGTTTAGAGCACGCTGGGAATGTTAAAGTTAAATTTTATGGCACGCTGGGAATGTTACAGTAAAGTTTAGGGCACGCTGAGAAACATTTTAAGCCACGCTGGAAATGTTGCGAAAAGTAAAATTTTGGGCACGCCGAAAACGGTCTAAATCCATATTATCTTAAGCACAGTACGTAAGTGAAAGTGGAGGGGGGGGGGGCATTTATATTGTTAAAATAAACTTTTCTTATAATAAAACGTGAAGGTTCTCCTCTAAACTTTTAGGTATGTTTTTAAATAATAAAAGCAGAAAATAAGTACGTAATAAATGAGCAATTGATTAATTTTTCAAACGAATGACAGAATGACAGAAAGGCAGAAAGGCAGAAAGGCAGAAAGGCAGAAAGGCAGAAAGGCAGAAAGGCAGAAAGGCAGAAAGGCAGAAAGGCAGAAAGGCAGAAAGGCAGAAAGGCAGAAAGGCAGAAAGGCAGAAAGGCAGAAAGGCAGAAAGGCAGAAAGGCAGACAGGCAGAAAGGCAGAAAGGCAGAAAGGCAGAGAGGCAGAAAGGCGGAAAGGCGGAAAGGCGGAAAGGCAGAAAGACAGAAAAACAGAAAGATTGAAAAATAGAAAAATAGAAAGACAGAAAGTCAGAAAGTCAGAAAGACAAAAAGACAGACCATCTTACAGTCAGAAAATCGAACAGACAACTTTTAAAAAATCACCATATCGTCTTACTTGTGGGGCACCTCGTCTTGATCCAGCACTTTCCTTTACGGGGCTGTCTGTTAAAACCCGGGCAGTTGGCCCCAAAGTTGACCGGTTGGGGGTTGGTGCAACGTCTGGAGAGGATTCAATAAATAAAATGGGTTTTCGTATTTGAGGACATATTATTGTATTATATGGTGTTGTATTTCATTATAAGAGTCTTTTATATAAAGTATGCATTAACATTAAGAAAATAAAGTATCTGGAATAATGTTAAATCACCGCTTTTAATGTAAATAAAGCGAAATGGGTGTTCCTAGTTCTCCTCTTATATTTATACATGTTAAGTTTTTTTAGATAAGTGGATTTCTGTAAAACATAATTTAATATATATTATAATTCATCGTCTTTTTTGTATTTAATAATTATCAAGTTTTATTAATTTAAAAACCTGTAAAGCAATGTATTATATACGTATATAATTTATATAATTTTATAAATAATTTGTATTTACTTGTTTATTTAACTTAATAATATAGAAGATTGTTTAATAGTTCAAAGTTGATTCTTTTATTTATTTTAAAATTTAAAAAAATATTAATATTTCTTTATTTTAATTTGATTTTAAACAAATGTATAGTAAATAAATTTAAATTGTGGGTTCACAAAAAAATTACAAGGGTAAGTACTGAGTTGCTGGAATACACAAGGAGCTATATTTTTACAAGCTTTTATTTAACTCACTTCCTCGTCAGTCGTCAGTCCGTCTGTCTGTCTAGATCGAAACGCCCGTGTGAAATTGCAGGCACTTCTAACTAAAAGATACGGTTCGTAGTTGGTACGTGGGTCAAGACATGAAGACAATGCATCGTGACATTCAATTTGACTTAATCGGTCGCCTAATTAATTTTTTTATGAATTAATTAAAAAGTGGACCGAATTAGTAGGCAGTTCTATCCACACGCGTCATCACGGCCGTCTTGGGCGTGGAGCGAGAGGCGCGCAATGGTTTTTAGTCGGGTCAGCAGTCAAGTTCTTTACCACTAGACTTCGCCACTCCATAATACTTTACTGAAACTTTAGCTATAAACTTGACAATGGTTTTACTCATGTAACTCTATTGTAAATAAAACATGTAAAGTACTGAAAAAAAATTCATAAAAAACGTTTTGATAACAAGCTTTTATGTATTAATGCACTAAAAAGCAGAAAATAAATTATACACTACTATTTAAATAACTATAAAGAAAAGCGTGTGTCTCTTCTCAAATATTAGTAAACGTATCCAATAGGTACTTAAGTGACCAACGCTTTTTTTATAGTTATTTAAATAGAAGTGTATAATTTATTTTCTACTATTTAGTGCATTATTACATAAAAGCTTGTTATTAAAACGTTTTTTATGATTTTTTTATTCATGCATTGCTTTCAGTTTAAGGTAGAGTTTAACATTTTATAACTGCCAATGTATGCAAGGCTTTTTTAAATTGCAATAGCTAAGTTCATTGGTCATTTGAAGTTTGAATAACTTTAAACTTTTAGGTAATTAATGAATTTAATTTGTTGAAACGAGTCATAGAACATTTCTAGATATTATTATGTCTTATTGCGTTATGTAAAAAATATAATATTTTTTTACAAACAATATGATCATTTTTTAACTTTTTTTCCCTTCAAGAATCCGTTGTTGTTTTTTTCTTCGACTGGCAATAAAAAAAGAGATGGTATATTTAAAAAGAATAACTTGATAAAGCATTTAATCTCATACAGAGAATGTATTCCATATAACATTAGATCAATTGTTAAAGCGGAACATTTTATGGTCAAACAAATCAAACGACCCTACCTGAAACGTTCTTCATCAGTTACAGAACAATTCTGGGTACAGCCCCAGGCACGCCATTCAGCCCATCCACCATTAACTGTTACGAAATATATATATATATATATATATATATATATATATATATATATATATATATATATATATATATATATATATATATAATTTAAGTTGGATTATGTGTATTAAGGTTTTATTTGTTTGTAGAAATATAAAATACATAGCTGAGTAGAGAAACATGTTTAATTTAATAGTTTAACTCAAACAATCTTTTAAAGCTGTCTGTTTCTAAAGTACATTTTAATTAATACATTATCTCTGATATTGTTTGAACAAAATTCCAAACACTCCAATTTTTTAATTGCTCGTTTATAGTTATCCGAATTATATATATATATATATATATATATATATATATATATATATATATATATATATATATATATATATATATATATATATATATATATACATATATATATATATATATATATATATATATATATATATATATATATATATATATATATATATATATATATATATATATATATATATACTAGCTGCATCCCGTGCTCCACCACGGTAAATCTTTTTAAAATGTACCAATCAACTTGGGCACAGAACAAAACTAAACACAACACAAACTACCTCTGTCAGGCTTTGCTAAATCCTCGTCAGCAGCGCCGTCATGGTCGTTGTCTGTAAAGATTTTTTTTTTTTAAATTACAGCTTTTTTTGTCAGGAGTGGATATGTTTGGAATAAAATGTATCTTTCACAATTAAGATTTGGCATTCTGTCTATCTATACGACAGACCAATGTATCAAATCCAATCGTGTAAAAGCAATGAAATTACCATCCTTTACAAAACGTCAAACCCAAACTAACTAACAAATAAAATAAAAAATGATAATCTATGTAAAACAGACGTCCGCATAATCAATGTGCGAGCCACGCCTGCGTACCCCATCGAGGATAAAACACTCCCACCTACCACATCAAAGAACAATACAAGTCCACTTACAACATGAAGGTACAAGACACGCCCACTCACACCATCAAGGTACAAGACACGCCCACTTACCCCACCCATCGTACAACTCCTCGTCAACGCGACCATCGCAATCATTATCAATTAGGTCTCCTCTTGAACTAGATTTTTGCGTGTTTTCACAATTTTCAACCTAGTTACATATTATTGTGGTATACACATAAATGTAACATCTGATAAATATATATATATATATATATATATATATGTATATATATATATATATATATATATATATATATATATATATATATATATATATATATATATATATATATACATATCAATATAATATAATATACTTCATGCATAATGCATAAGCAATATTTACATTTAATAATTCGTTATGTATACAAAAGAAAGTTAGACAAGCTCCCATTAAAAACCTGACGGTATATGGGGCAAGAGAAATACAGTTTGATCAGCACTAACGTGATTTGGGTGGACTCAGGGACGCGTATTCGAACTCGAGACTTAGGTGTTAGCAGCAGTAGCGGATTAAGGGGGAGGGGCTTAGAGTAATGCAGTCAGGGGCCCACGGAATTTTAGGGGCCACCAAATTTACTAATTAATTATTGGTTTTCCTTATATATATATATATATATATATATATATATATATATATATATATATATATATATATATATATATATATATATATATATATATATATATATATATATACATATATATAGGGGCCTCCAAACCCAAAAAAATTTCAGCCGGCTGCCCCGCTCAAGCTTAATTTGCCAATGATTAGCAGTCTAGCTCTCTGCTGCTAGGCCACTCCGTCCGCTGTAATCTCTATAGCCAGTAAAAATAATATTCATATGGGTTTTGTTCCGCGTGTTTGTGTGTGCTTTTGTTTTGGTCAAAATAACCGAAAACGTTCCTTACGTCATCGATGGGTGACGACATGAATCCTGCTGGCTGCATGTAGCCATAGTGCATATGGTAGCCGTACAGGTAGCAGCCAAAGTAGAACATTCGGGTACCCTGAAGTGCATGTGTCCCAGGTTTAGTCTTTATCGACCCGACCACCCATTCCTCCATGCCTAAGACTGGTTTCCACACAACGCTGTCACATTAAAAACAAAAAAAATAAGAAATATGCTTCTATAAGTGATAGCTTGTCTGTAGGAAGTGGTGACCAGACAGAAGCGCAACGGAAAAAAAGCGCAACGGAAAAAAGCGCAAAACAAAAAGCGTAACGGAAAAAAGCGCACACAGAAAAAAAGCGCATACAGAAAAAAGCTGGGAACCGTAGGAAGTATATTTAAAAACTTTGAGTGCTGAGTTGTAGAACAAGATGGAGGTTATAACATTGATATAGGACCAAGATTTTAATGTACCGAAAACAAAATATAAAAATACAAATGAAACTTTAAAATAAATTTCTTCTTCGCCAGTAATTAAGTAAAGTACAGAAAAGTCATTTTAAAAGAAATCACACTACTGCGATTGTTTATGAATATTTAAAAATAAATCAATTCGGTAGGCTTTGATAAAAATTAAAAGAAAGATTATAGATGTTATTTTTTTACAATTTGTATCTTTAAGTATGGAAAGATTCCTCTTTAAACCTAACGATCAGAGTTGGGTGGACTCAAGGACGTTCCACTAACTTGATCCCGGATTCGAACTCGAAACTATTGCGTTAGCACTCTAGCGCTCCACTGCTAGGTCACGCCGTCCCATATTTTTATCTTTATCTTTAAAAAAATGTTATTTATTTCATTATTTACGCAAAGAAAGAACACCTTTACCCACTGTCAATTACTATATGTTATTTCACTTGACACTACATATAACCATGTCGTTACCCCTATTATAAATACAGCCCTTCCCTAACACAGTAGTACAAGACTACCACCCAAAGATCAAGCTCCATATTCATGACTGAATTATTAAAGGCCTCTGAAAATTGCATTAATTTTACTTCTCAATATTGTTCAGCGTTTATTTCAGACATCTCTCCTGGGGTGGGGAGAGGGAGGACACATTACACTTTTGGAGTGCGTGGGGGCGAGATATATTTTTACAGCGGGTCGGACACTGGTAAAAGTATATATTTTTTAAAACAAATTATATTGTTTGGTTGTGATGGGGGATCTGCTCCGTGGGGATGGCGGGGCGGGAGGAGGAATCACCCCGAAGAGACGGCTGAATGAAACAGCTATACAACGCTAGCTCAATTAGAGAACACAAATCGGCTTGACGTCGTCCTAACTGCATTAACCATTGTATACGTTAAGTCTAACCTCTCATCGTGGGGGAATTTCTGATCGTCAAATTGAAGGATTTCCTTGTTGGGTTCCTCAATGACCAGGGTCAGGTAGTTCTCCGGTATCACTTGTTTAGTATTGGGAGTGCTGCATGAAATATAGTATAACTGTATCAATGTAACGTTGGTACTTAACGTATCAAAAGAAATGTGTTATTCTGGAAATTATTTATGCCACGGTCAAATTCCTATATACATATATATATATATATATATATATATACATATATATATATATATATATATATATATATATATATATATATATATATATATATATATATATATATATATATATATATATATATCAATGCATGTGTGTGTGTGTGTGTGTGGCTTTTGTGCATTACCACACCTCTAACGAAATCGCCGTGAAACTTTGGGAAGTTGTTGAGAATACTCCTGGGGAGGTTTCTGTGCAAAAAAGCTTTCAAATTCGCAGGGGTGGCGCCCCAGCAGGGCGCGATTTGTTTTTTCTCAATATGCGGTATATAAAAATAAAAGTCGATTGCGGTTTCACACCATTCATCCGATCAACATCAAACTTTGGTGAATTTATTAGAACACTCTAAGAAAGGGTTCTGTAAAAAATCCTTTTTTTTAATTACGCAAGGGCGGCACCAAGTGATGGTGCGATTTTTTTCTATATACGGTATATAAACATAAAAGTCGATTTCGGTTTCACACCGTTTAATCCGTGTACCATGAAACTTTGGGGAGACGATTAGAACACACAAGGGTGTGGTTCTGCAAAAAAATATTTTTTTGAAATTTTGCAAGGGCGGCGCCCCCCGAGGGAGCGATTTTTTCTCTATACATGGTATATAAAATATAAAACTTGGATGCGGTTCATCCGAGTGCCATGAAACTTTGGAGAGTAGATGAGAATACTCCCGAAAAATTTTCTGCGAAAAAGAAAACCAAAATTTCTTATGGGCGGCGCCATGGAGGGTACAATTTTCGTCAATACACGGTTTGGCGCACAGAGTTATAGAGTGTAGGTAAACCCGTGTCCCAATAATTATTATCCAAACGCAGGCATTGTTTACATTTAAATAACGCACTTTTAGAAAACAAGTTCACGCGTCTAAAAATAGCCCTATAGGATTGGTATCGCATGAATGAAACTCTTCTTATATATTTCGTCATACTTTCTTCTATTCCCACGGTAACGCGCGTGGACGGGTACGCTAGTAAATAATAAGCATTAATTGCATACAGATATAGTCATTCTAAAACGAAGCATGGTTATAGAGAAAAAATAAAGTGTTGATTTTTTTTTTAAAGTAACAAAATATGCACACGTTAAAAAAAAACTCACCTAAAAATGTACATATCGTAAAACAATGCTGTGGGTATGGCTAAACACATTGCGGGATCCCCGGGTTCACCCGGGTTATCCCCACCGTCCTCACTGCAAGAAGAACGTTCCAGAAACATGACTTGTACGGGCTTGTCGGTCTCGAACTTCATGACTTTCCCGTACATTTTAACATCATCAAACTATACGGAGGGTGGGGGGGGGGGGGGGCAGTAAAAAAAGGGGGAATGAGAAAATTACATTTTTTGTTGTTGTAATTCTAAAATTAAAAGTTAGTGGTTTGATTGCAGAAGTAGGGTTCATCTGTTCTCGTTATTTCGACCTTTGGATTAGCAGGCGAGCGCCCTAATAAGCAAATAATTTAGGACGTAGCAATATCAGTAGTAGCAGATTAAGGGGAGGGGGGGGGGGCTGTGGTGGGGGGGGGGGGCTGATTAGGCAGTAGCCAGGGACCCCTGAATTTCTCTTACAAACCAAAGAACATTTCACTTGGCGATGCTATTGTTGTTTTTTAAATATAAAAACCATTTTATTGTTTGGATCGCAAGGTTATTTCAATTTATTTTTTAATCCAGTGTTAGCGTATAGGAATAAAAAAAGATGCGTTTACAGCATCTGAATTCTGACAAATTGGTGCCTGTTTAAAAAAAATGATACTATTTTGAAAGATATTACGTCAAAGATCGTTAGGATAGGTAGTAAATATATTTCTAAATCTCTCTCTCTCTTTCTCTTAAAAGGATAGGATTGCAATTGTACCATCTTATTCCTAACTACTGTTTTTTTTTTAAAATCAAATTAGACAGCAATAAAAAGACAGATTTCTTATAATTATGAAAATCATACATAGTAATTTAAAGGCTGCACTTTAATTCTACCTTTTAAATCATAACATGTTTTTATGGGTTAGTTTGGCGGAATCTGAATAAATATATATTTTTTGTGTATTCGCTTGTGTATCCAACAACTATCAATTTATCCGTTTCAATTTATCACTCACAAATATCCAATCTCTTTCCTTTTGTATCCTGAACGTTTCCGTGTTACCCTGGTCGTCTATGTAGAAAGTGACGACAGTGTTCAACTCTCTGGCAAGTATCATCACAGTCAAGGGCAGGCGTCGGTAGGCGTTTTGTATGGCGATAAACTCTCGCCCGAATGTTTCAGATGGCAGGAGCATTTCTACGTTAAATATTAAGTAGAAATTATATATATATATATATATATATATATATATATATATATATATATATATATATATATATATATATATAAACAGACTTCACATTAAGTACGTAGAAGACTATGCATTTTATACCCCCATAGGTTTGGAAAGTTAAAATAATTTTATCGTTGCTGATTCTTTATCGTTTTTAAGAATAATTTTGGAAGATATTCCACCATTCCCCCCCCCCCCCAACAGAATTAAGTATTAAGTGTCAACTGGTTATGCGCCAAATAGGCTGTTGACTCCGATTTCAACCTACTTTTCTTTCAGGATTCGCTTCCATAGCCTTTGTCGAAACAAAAGTTTAAGACAGCAGTTGAATGATTTTAAAGTTTTCTATCCTAGATGGGCTGCTGTCCCCAGCTGTAGAAGTTCAGTAACCCGAGGGATTGAACTCGAGGCTTTTCAGTTTGACAGACATAAGCATTACCAATTCGACCAGGCTCAACACATACGGTGTAATGAAATTAAAGGATTCTCAAACAAAACACTGGGTTCCATTTTACTCACCAACCAAAACATCCATCGAGGCCTTTTTGTCCCAAGTATCTTTCCCCATGTTCTCGCACTTGGGAATAGAGTTTTGGGACTTGGCAACACAGTTGCCTATAACCACTCCAATGTTCTCCTTTCCTTGAATTTTCGTACCTGCCGGTCAGTCAAAGGAATCTTTGGATGCTTTGTATGGTTAAAAGAGGAAGGGAAAAACTAATGTCACCGTCGTGCAAGTGTGTCACCAATTCATTGAAGGTGTTACCACTGAGCTTATGCCACCATTTTGCTGAATTTGATTGTGTAATTTGTTCTACGCCGGCTATAATTTACATCACACAGCAATTTTAAAATCTTTATTTAAAAGTTTAACATGCTTGTTAATATATTTATCTATTTGTTGGTGGGGTTTTGTAAAATTGTGTAACTTTAACTATTTCTAATGCAGCTATTTCTGTTCAACTTACAAGTTACCTTCGTTTATATTAACATTGCAAGAATATCTCATTAGGGTTTTCGAAAATCTTGTAACTTAATTTTGGATAGTCTAGTTACTAATGGAGCGATTTCATCTAAACCTTAAAGTCTTGTTGGTCTCTTGTCAACACTAATGCCAAATCTACTTGTCTAACACTAATCCCAAATCTACTTGTCCTACACTAATCCCAACTCTTCTTGTCCAACGCTAATCCCAAATCTACTTGTTCAACACTAATCCCAACTCTTCTTGTCCAACACGAATCCCAAATCTACTTGTCCAACACTAATCCCAAATCTACTTGTCAACACTAATCCCAAATCTACTTGTAAACACTAATCCCAAATCTACTTGTTAAACACTAATGCCAAATCTACTTGTCTAACACTAATCCCAAATCTACTTGTCCAACACTAATCCCAACTCTTCTTGTCCAACGCTAATCCCAAATCTACTTGTTCAACGCTAATCCCAACTCTTCTTGTCCAACACGAATCCCAACTCTACTTGTCCAACACTAATCCCAAATCTACTTGTAAACACTAATCCCAAATCTACTTGTTGAACACGAATCCCAACTCTACTTGTCCAACACTAATCCCAAATCTACTTGTCAACACTAATCCCAAATCTACTTGGAACACTAATCCCAAATCTACTTGTTCAACACTAATCCCAAATCTACTTGTCTAACACTAATCCCAAATCTACTTGTCCAACAGTAATCCCAACTCTTCTTGTCCAACGCTAATCCCAAATCTACTTGTCAACACTAATCCCAAATCTACTTGTAAACACTAATCCCAAATCTACTTGTTCAACACTAATCCCAAATCTACTTGTCTAACACTAATCCCAAATCTACTTGTCCAATACTAATCCCAACTCTTCTTGTCCAACGCTAATCCTAAATCTACTTGTCCAATACTAATCCCTAATCTACTTGTCCAACACTAATCCCAAATCTACTTTTCCAACACTAATCCCAATTATTGTTAGACCTACCTGACCCACTGTTCCCGGTTGTCCCAGCACAGCTGAATGGAAAATCCTTCAAACCTGGGAACACAATTTGAACGACAATTTTAATGCACATCAGAGGCGTAGCGAGGGGGGGCTGGGCGGGCCGCACCGGGTGACACCATTTAGGGGGTGACACCAAGGCAAACAATAGCAAAATATATAGAGGAAAACTTGAAGGGGGGGGGGGGGGGGGTTGCAAATCAAAAGTTTGAGGGAGGGGGGTGCAAATCGAAAAATTTGAAAGTTTGTCCCTGGGAAGGGTCGCGACGCCTCTGGGGGGTGACACCATTATGTACCACACCGGGTGACACCCGACCTCGCTACGCCACTTATCATAAACAATAGTGCACCAAGGCTTGTATCTACCTAAACAATCAAAGAAAAAAACAATCAGTAGAAAAAAAGTACGCAAGTGTTATTTTCTAATTTTGAAGTTTTCAAAATGATTTAGATCTTGGAATATATGTTATTTAAAAAAAAAGTTTTATTAAGCGAAAACATTTAGATGCTTTTCCCATGACCCAAATTACATTGATAGTTAATGGGTTGCAATATAATATTATGCAACTTATATAAGCAACTAATTCGACAGGTAATTTATCATATTTTCTTTCGTACACAATTACCAATATATATATATATATAATTATATATATATATATATATATATATATATATAATATATATATATATATATATATATATATATATATATATATTATATAACACAATTATAGATTTTTTAAAATTTTCTACGGCCACCATTACCAAGGTAAAAACTCAAAATATTACATCATGTTCTACTTTATTACAAAATTAATACACAGATAATGGTTGCATTTCCTCTTCTTTTAAGGTGACTAGTATTTAACAAAAAATACTTTATTCTAGTTTTGACCAAGGAGATTTGCGCAAAAAAAAAAAACTCTGCACAAACAGTACATTCTCCAGCAGATAAACTCAAAGTTTGTAAAGTCTTATTTAGACTGTTCGTAGGTTGGTTGGTACTAACTTACTTTTTCAGAATATCTGTAAATTAGGTAGGTTTGTTGTACTAACTTACTTTTTTCAGAATATCTGTAAATTAGGTAGGTTAATTGTTACTAACTTACTTTTCAGAATATCTGTAAATTAGGTAGGTTGGTTGGTACTAACTTACTTTTTCAGAATATCTGTAAATTAGGTAGGTTTGTTGTTACTAACTTACTTTTTCAGAATATCTGTAAATTAGGTAGGTTGGTTGGTACTAACTTACTTTTTCAGAATATCTGTAAATTAGGTAGGTTGGTTGTTACTAACTTACTTTTTCAGAATATCTGTAAATTAGGTAGGTTGCTTGGTACTAACTTACTTTTTCAGAATATCTGTAAATTAGGTAGGTTGGTTGGTACTAACTTACTTTTTCAGAATATCTGTAAATTAAGTAGGTTTGTTGTTACTAACTTACTTTTTCAGATCGACCTCCAGTGTTTCTCCATCTTTGTACTGTTTTCCTTTGTAATCCACTTTGTGGTCTTTGTTTAAGGACTTAAAGGTGACGCTAACTTTGTTCTCCGTCTCGCCATTAGCTACCGTAAAGGCCTGCTGTTCACTAGAAGATATCAAGATATAAAGCTATCAAATTTATTTAAAAATAAGAGACCTCTTTGGCAGTTATTGGCTTTGGTTGGCATAGAGATCGTCAACAACGGAATAGCGTTGTAAAATATTGTAATCTGTTCACTGGGAAATGTACAAGTACTAAACCGCTTAAATAAATATAGTTATTAGTTCACTTAGATATTAAATTACAGAAAAATGCTTACTTCCTTGTAGCAGCAAAAAAAAAAAAAAAGCAGTCGAGGATTATAAATAATCCGATTTAATTGATATAGGCCTATGTACGATAAAAAACAACAATTACTTACGATTTGCACCCCCCCCCCCTAAAACTTTCGATTTGAACCCCCTCAAACTGTTTATCAGGCGAAAATGCAGCTTAAATGACATTTTAATTTGTTTTTCCAACCCAAATTTGGCGCCCCCCCCTCTAAGGTCGGCGCCCCCCCCCCCCCCAAATCGCTACGCCTCTGATGCATTGCACCCTAAAAATCTGACAAAGGCAAAAATCGTGTGATACCTACTCCAGTTGCATGGTGTAATAGGTTTTCCCCCAGCCCGTGATCGGCACGGCTGTGAACGTGTCCACTGAATATTGATTCTGCTCCAGTAAAACGTTGATGCCAAAGTCGTCGGTGGCCTCAAACTTGTACGTGAAACTCGGCCCGCAGTTTTCTCTGATGCTGATAAAATATTTGTAATTTAAAAAATTGAGAAATTTACTGATATTCTATAGGAGAGTAGTTCATAGGATAATAGTGGTGTGAGACTCTGCCCGCAGTTGTCTCTGAGGCTGATAAAATAGTTGCAATTAAAAAATAAAGAAATTTACTGATATTCTATAGAAGGAGAGTAGTTCATCGGAGTAACAGTTTTGTGAAACTCAGTCCGCAGTTATCTCTGATGATGTTAAAATAGTTAAAAATAATATACTTTCTGTTTCCGTTCGTATGACTTTATTCTTGTTGATTTGTTCGTTCTTAGCTATGGAGCTGTTGTAGTGCCGATAACTTTGCATACCAACCGATGTCCATCGGATAACAGGGTTGACTAGCATTATACATTTTTTTTTTACTTACAGCTGAAGCCTAAAAAAAATCGCATTGCTAAAGATTTTTTTAAAGTTCTGGTTATTGAAAATATATCACATAAAATAATTTAAACCTACTAGTAATCTTGATGTAGCATCAAACTAGAAGTCCCCATTCTGTCTACATCTACAGTCTGGTGGTCAGGTTGTTTAGAGATGTGCTCTTCTTCACCTTTATACCAGGGAAAGGTGACTTTAACCTGGTAAAAATAATTTACAAAACCTCTTTTAGATCTGGATGGGACTTCCCAAACGAACGTCGATAAAAAAATGGCAGATAACTATCTTTTTAATCGGGTTTTAAAGCATACATTTTTAGTCGTAGACAAAAATTAGTGCCGATTTCCTTAAAAACGGTTAACTAAACATAAGAAAATAATACTGAAAATAAGAAAATAAAACCAGTTTGCATTCTTTAATAAAATAAATTTTTCACTCTTACATTCTCAAACACGTTAGCAAAGAAGCAAGTCTAAAAAAAATCTAAATTTTAGAGCACTGGTGCATTGTTTCATCACTAGGGAAACAACATTTAATTTAAGGGTGACATGACCAATGTTCTCAGACAAAATATCCCTGAAAAAAGAACATACCGCCCCTTTGTTATGAGCCGAGATGTAAAACATACTGACACTTTGTTATGCGCCAAATAAAAAACCATAACGACACTTTGTTATGGGCCAAATTTAAAAATACAAAACATACCAACACTTTGTTATGGGCCATTTAAAAAAACGACACTATGTTATGAGCGAATTAAAAAAAAACATACTGACACTTTGTTATGGGTCAAATTAAAAATACAAAACATACCGACACTTTGATATGGGCCAATCAAAAAATACAAAACATACCGACACTTTGATATGGGCCAATCAAAAAATACAAAACATACCGACACTTTGATATGGGCCAATCAAAAAGTACAAAACATAACGACACTTTGTTATGGGCCAATTAAAAAATACAAAACATACTGACACTTTGTTATAGGCCAATTAAAAAATACAAAACATACCGACACTTTGTTAAGGGCCATTTAAAAAAAAGACACTTTGATATGGGCCAATAAAAAATACAAACCATACCGACACTTTGTTATGGGCCAATCAAAAAGTACAAAACATAACGACACTTTGTTATGGGCCAATTAAAAAATACAAAACATACTGACACTTTGTTATAGGCCAATTAAAAAATACAAAACATACCGACACTTTGTTAAGGGCCATTTAAAAAAAAGACACTTTGATATGGGCCAATAAAAAAATACAAACCATACCGACACTTTGTTATGGGCCAATCAAAAAGTACAAAACATAACGACACTTTGTTATGGGCCAAATAAAAAATGCAAAACATACCGACACTTTGTTATGGGTTAATTAAAAAATACAAAACATACCGACACTTTGTTATGGGCAAATTAAAAAATACAAAACATACCGACACTTTGTTATGGGCACATTAAAAAATACAAAACATACCGACACTTTGTTATGGCCTAATTAAAAATTACAAAACATACCGACACTTTGTTATGGTCTAATTAAAAAATACAAAACATACCGACACTTTGTTATGGGCCAATTAAAAAATACAAAACATACCGACACTTTGTTATGGGTTAATTAAAAAATACAAAACATACCGACACTTTGTTATGGGCAAATTAAAAAATACAAAACATACTGACACTTTGTTATAGGCCAATTAAAAAAAACATACGGACACTTTGTTATGGGCCAAATAAAAATTATAAAACATACCGACACTTTGTTATGGGCCAAATAAAAAAATATAAAACATACCGACACTTTGTTATTGGCCAATTAAAAAATATAAAACATACCGACACTTTGTTATTGGCCAATTAAAAAATACAAAACATACCGACACTTTGTTATGGGCCAAATAAAAAATATAATTTATACCGACACTTTGTTATGGGCCAATTAAAAAATACAAAACATATGGACACTTTGTTATGGGCCAATTAAAAACTACAAACCATACCGACACTTTGTTATGGGCCATGGTGAAGAAGAAGATCGCAAGGTGTTGTCCTTCATCGTGCATTTTTATCGGAATAAAGAGGAATAGACGTCCCATTTGTGTGCTCACACCTAGAAGAGTGTTACATTTGTAGCAGTTGTATCTGTTATATAACTAAACCCATATACATAAACATTACATTTAAAGCAGCTGTATCTGTTATATAACTAAACCCTTCCAACATTTGTATCAGTTATATCTTTTATATAACTAAACCCATATAGATAAAGAGTACATTTGTAGCATGTATAACTTAACACTTCCGACATTTATAGCAGTTGTATCTGTTATATAACTAAGCTCATATACATGAAGATTACATTTGTAGCAGTTGTATCTGTTATATAACTAAACTGTTCCAACATTTGTAGCAGTTGTATATATATATATATATATATATATATATATATATATATATACATATATATATATATTTATATATATATATATACATATATATATATATATACATATATATATATATATATATATATATATATATATATATATATATATATATATATATATATATATAGACCTATATATAAATTATTAGTTTTCTTAAATCTTAAATCATAATTACTTAGCCTGTACAATTTTAAGCCTTACCTAAAACTGTCAAGGGTGTTGTCATCACACAAAGTAACAGACCGAGTTTAACCTATAAAATAAAACAAAGCATAATACAATAAAAACAACATGAAAAACAATACACGTACACACACGTACACACACTCACACACACACATATATATATATATATATATATATATATATATATATATATATATATATATATATATATATATATATATATATATTATTATATATATATATATATATATATATATATATATATATATATATATATATACATATATATACACACATGTATATGTATATATATACATATATAATATATGTGTGCATATGCTTATTATTGATGTTTGTTGTTTCACGCAGCACACACGTGGACGGTGTGGACCAATTAATTAATTAAGCGATTGACTCATGTCCGTTGGACGTCCTTGAGTCCACCCAGCGCTGATAAGTACCTGGCTCATGGTTGAAGACGTACAGTCGGCTAGACTTAGCGCTGACCACATTATCCGTTCATTACACACCTAAGCCATTAAAACATTATACTTTACCTTCCCCAAGTACCGTAAACCTGCACATGGTTCTAGATCTGTATATTTTTTCAGCACATTGTGAAACTATGCTATGAACTCCTTTAACAAGTTATAATTTAAAAAAACATCTTTATGAAAACTTTGTTTTTGTATTTTACTTTTATGCATGGTCGCATTTCCAGTATTTTGAAATCACAATCCTAGACACCAAAGGCAAACAACTTCAAGTATGGTTGCTCAGTACAAAAGAAATTAACTTACCATTTTGATAATAATTGCTTACGACAAGAAAAACAAATCTATTCGTTCGGAAACAGCTGTAGAATTTTGTAGAACATTGAAGTAATCATTGTTTTGTCACTGAATGGTGCGCTTCGGTGCAAGGGAAAAACCAACTGCATGTTGGCTCTCATTGATTTAGTATACAGTTAAATAAGTACTTTGTATTGGGCGGTTGATACAGTTTACTAAACTATAAATAATTTAACAACAGTAGTTTAATAATTTTAAACATATTATTAAAAGTAAAAATATATATAATGTATGAACAGGAAAAGAAAATACGTTATAAATCAGAAACAATTAAATCGAACTAAAGCACAAATAATTAATATAAAATGTCATTAATTATTACTATTTTTTTTAATAATAAGAACATTAAAATAAAATGTGTTTGAAAATGATGTATACAACATACAACAAACGACCCACGCTATCTTATTTACTTTAATACAATCTAAATAAACATGCTGTTGAGATGCAATATCTAAAGTTATTCTATATTAATTTTAACTAAGATTTTCAAGTAAATGTAGCTTGTTTCAATTTTATTTTACACAAGTTTATTTTTTTTTAATTTACGAAACTTGTTTGGATAAATTTTAAATTTGTAAAGTAATCTATTTAGTAACAATATATTTACTAGCAAACTATTTGGATCGAACATTGAATGATTTTCCATTACAGTTACGCATGCAATTCGAAGCAATAACATTTTCACGAACAATGAAATGAGCTATGAACATGGGGTATATACATATTTTATATCATATATAAAATAAATCACACGAGTCAGTTTCAACATTTTTTTTACATTCATAAATCGTTTAACATATTTGTGAAAAAGTGTAATGAAAAAAAACAGTACATAGGGCCTACACCTCCTAATGTTGCGATTTAAATATTCTAAAAATTTGAATATTCAAATTCATTTATATATTTTATTCATGATTGAATTATAAATAAAATTAAATACATATATATATATACATATATATATATACATATATATATATATATATATATATATATATATATATATATATATATATATATATATATATATATATATATATATATATATATATAGATATAGATATAGATATATATATATATATATATATATATATATATAGATCGGGATCGTGAAATATAGATTTCTCGACATGGATTTATTTCAGCGAAAATCATTCATCAGCTCGTTTCAGAATTCTATGCATAGGTGAACATAGAAGATCCAGAACCCCTATATTCTTGTCTCCATCTAAGTTGGAAAACAAAAGAATTGGTTAATTAATTATGATCTAATTAACGCAATTTTTTTACATCTGTCATATAATTACATTTGGTATTATAGAAATGGTTTCAGTAGAAATGAACGGAATATTCTTAAGGATATTAAAATATTTAAAAAATCATACAAACCTTTATAAATAAATTTAAAGTTTTTGTGAAAAAAAGAGTATTTATAAATGTTAATATTTGTTTAATTGTATCAAATGTAGTTAGTTTATCTTCATCGTTTCGACGTTTGTGCCCCAGACACAGAGGGCAGATGAAGTAGTGTTTATCTACTTTAAAGACTTCGGCATATAAAGGGATAGTTTGTTCAGCATTATGCCCAGCCAACTTTATTTTCCCTATCGTGAGTTAGGTACCCATCTAAGCTCTGCTGACTTGAACCCAGATTTGAACTCGAGACTATGAAAATTCATAGCATATTAGATCTGCACTTCAAATTTTAGATGAGTACCCCAAAATATGGTAGAAGATTATATATTAATTGTTTAACGGGCTTTAAATTTAATATTTTATAAATGGTGGAAATCCTATAAAAACTTTTATTTTTCAAGACGGCCTCCGTTGTCAATGTTACCAAAAAAAATGTACCAAAATTTTTTTAAGCGGATACGCATATTCAGATGTACCTTAAAATTAGGTAGAGAAAATTTTCTTTGCTATCTTGTATTAATTTTTTTTTTACTGGAGCCTACCCCCTTAACGGAAGTCGGGTAGGCACCAGCGTTGGATGGATACAAGGTGTTTTACATACTCGAGCCCGTAGTTTTTTAGTTAGGTTCAATAATTTGCGATATAAATTAGTGTACATTTTATACAATGTATTACTTCAATTATGAAAAGGCAAAAAAAAAGTACTATTAAGTAATGTGATAAAAACTAACTGCTTTTTTATTAAGTTCTAGCGATGATTAGTCTTTTTTGTTTAGGATTTAAATCGCATTATTATTTGCGTGTCGTTGATTAACTTATTGTAAGGATTATTTCAAACCGTTGGTCATAGCATTTTATGATAAGATAAGATAGATTACAAGCTCTAAATACTTGATTAATTTTATAAAGTAAAGTAGTTTAGTAGTATCTATGTTAACTAGCCGTCGGTACTCGTTACACGTGAATTATAGGCCTATATATAATACTTGTTTGAGAAAAATATTTTATGAAATAGTTATTGGTCAAAACGCAATGTTCTTTACTACACGTTGAACGATATTCGCCATTTTTATTTCGTCCCAGTCATGTAATTTACAGCGTCAGTTTGCCTTGCTTGTTCGCTTTAGTATTACAGTTTTCATCATCGGCTTGTGAGGACTGATACAGATTTACAGTAGTAGTATTTCTTTCTTACTTGTAGCCTACTTTCATTCATTTAAGATGGTTTACTTATACATAGATCTAATACAAAATTCGGCATTAGTTGTATTTTTTTCGTAGTTTAAACCTATGACATGTGACGTGATTGTTTATTACGTTCAACAAACGCTTTTCCGGTTGCATAATCAAAAATTGTGCTTCTTCATCTGAAGAAGCCTTATTTTTATTTTCTTTCTTTAAATAAAATTTAGCTTATACACTTATAGAATCCACTATATTATTTTTAACAAAAGTCGGTATCTTTAATTTCTCCATATATCGCTGAACATACTGATCACATCGGCTAAAAAAAAAACTTTCGGGCAGAAAGAGATAGAGAAAAGTTCGCACATGGGCTTTTATATATTAGGATTGATCTGCTTACCTCCAATAGTAATAACCACCGCCAACCACACCAAGGACTGTGACCACAATCATGAGTATCAGCCAGTACCGTACTGCATATCATCAAAACATCGATGATATTAGCTTATATATATATATATATATATATATATATATATATATATATATATATATATACATATATACATATATATATATATATATATATATATATATATATATATATATATATATATATATATATATATATATATATATACAATTATATTGCCTACTTATATTTTGTTAGTTAAATAGTGACAGCAACACATCTATAAAAGAAATCACCCGAATTAAAAAAAAAAAACGAATGCCATGTCATTTATTCTTGTATGGACAACCAACCAGTGTTTCTTCCAGACTTTTTTCTCCGGAGGGGCACTTGAATATTTTTTTTTGGGGGGGGGGGGGGCGGTGAACATTTTTCGGGGGGTCGGACACTAGAAAAAGTGTATGCTTACTATATAAAATCGATCTCGTTCTGGGGGGGGGGGTGGCGGTAGACTTTCTTCGGGGGGGGGGGGGGGGGGGGCGCCCCCAAAGAGATGCCTGGAAGAAACTCTGCAACCAACCCAAAAAAAAAGTAGGCTGCAATCGGAGTCAAGTGGCCATATTGTGCCTATAACATGTTGTCACGTTATACGTTTCTGTGTTGGAGAAAAACACAGCTGATTGTGACGTGTAAGACATAAGAATTCCACTAATGGGATGAGGATCTTACTTGGACAATCGCCTTCCACCGGGTCCGCACATTCGCCCCCACACTTCTCCTCACAGCTTAGTTTACATTGGTCCCCGTACCACCCGGAGCTGCAGGCTGGCGGGAAATTTTAAAATTATTCCAAGGTTTTAATCAGTAAAGAAAAGTTACAATATCCAATGTTTTAATCAGTGAAGAAAAGTTACAATATTCAAAGTTTTAATCAGTAAAGAAAAGTTACAATATACAATGTTTTTATTCAGTACAGATAAGTTACAATATCCAATGTTTTAATCAGTAAAGAAAAGTTACAATATCCAATGTTTTTATTCAGTACAGATAAGTTACAATATCCAATGTTTTAATCAGTAAAGAAAAGTTACAATATCCAATGTTTTAATCAGTGAAGAAAAGTTACAATATTCAAAGTTTTAATCAGTAAAGAAAAGTTACAATATACAATGTTTTTATTCAGTACAGATAAGTTACAATATCCAATGTTTTAATCAGTAAAGAAAAGTTACAATATCCAATGTTTTTATTCAGTACAGATAAGTTACAATATCCAATGTTTTAATCAGTAAAGAAAAATTACAATATACAATGTTTTTATTCAGTACAGATAAGTTACAATATCCAATGTTTTAATCAGTAAAGAAAAGTTACAATATACAATGTTTTTATTCAGTACAGATAAGTTACAATATCCAATGTTTTAATCAGTAAAGAAAAGTTACAATATACAATGTTTTTATTCAGTAAAGAAAAGTTACAATATCCAAAGTTTTAATCAGTAAAGAAAAGTTACAATATCCAATGTTTTTATTCAGTACAGAAAGTTACAATATTCAATGTTTTTATGTGGTACATAAAAGTTAAGTTACAATCTACAACGTTTTATTAGGTAATGTAGAGAAAAAATACAATGAATAACTGGTAATTTTTGGATATTTTCTGACTTTACAAAATGGTTTTGAAAAAGCAAACATATTCACGGTATATATATATATATATATATATATATATATATATATATATATATATATATATATATATATATATATATATATATATATATATATTTATAGTGCAATTTTACACGTGTGTTGTAAGCATATAATACAAATGTGAATAGAAGAGGTATACATGTAAAATCCAGAAGCATCGCAAGGCTGGGCGAGGGGTGCGTACCATACCGGATGATACAAACATAACAAAAAATTGCAAGATATATAGAATAAATATGTTTTTTACCAGTTCAATGAATGGTTAATTTGAGTTTAAAGAAAAAGCATTTTAACTACATATCGATGATCTCGACAAAGAGGTGCAGGGGGAGGGGTGGTAACACCATGACGTAAAAACTATAGAGAAAACAAGGGTACCCCCAGCTGTATTAATAGCCACTATAGATAAATATCATTAGTATTAAATGTGAATACTTTAAAGCTATTACTAATGGGGGGGGGGGGGACTGACACCAACTGCAAAAGAGAAAGAAAGGGGGAGTGGGGGTGACACCATAAGGTCCGGCTCGGGATGACACCCGACCTAGCGACGCCACTGATAAAATCTATGTACACGATACCCTTTAACATGCGTAATGAACTGTTCATTTTAAATCCTAACGTTAAGAAACGAGGAGACACGAAAACTAATTGTAGCAGTAGAGTTCACCAGATTCAAACTATTCAATAACTCACACCACTCTTTAATGCCGTTCAATACATGAAACAACAATCTCACCCTTGGCATTTTTGTCTGACTTATCTGCAGAGGCGTAGCGACCCTTCCCGGCGCCCGCGGACAAACTTTCGATTTGCACCCCCCCTCCCCACCCGAACTTTTTATTTGCACCCCACTCAAACTTTCAATATTTGTTTTTCCAACCCAATTTGTCGCCCCCCCCCTAAGGTCGGCGCCCGGGGACATATGTCCCCCGCCCCCCCCCCCCTCGCTACGCCTCTGACTTATCTGTTCACGTATGGGACGGCGTGGCCTAAAAGGTAGAGTGCTATGTTGTTAACCAGAAGTCTCGAGTTCCCAGTGCAAGTCAATAGAGCGCCCCTTAGCCCACCCAGTCCACATGGTTACCGAAATTATGTTAGGGATAGAAAAGTCGACTAGTCGACTGGGTAAAAAGCCGACCACATGTTCCCTTCATATAAGTTCCCTTTTGAAACCTGACGGTCTATAGGGCAAGTGAAGTTGAGTTCACTTGTTTCTGTGACCTCGGGATATGCCGTGGTAAAAAAAAAATGAATTCTACTTCTGTTGCCCAATGGATCGCTAGGTCTAACGAGGATTATAAACTTTTTCTTTACTTTTCTGTTAGCGTATCCTACACTTTTCTTACTATTCGTTAAAAGCATCTAAGGCAACTTCCCCAAATCCTCAACATTCTCTAACACATTTTCCCTAAATTCTAAAATCCTCTAACACAACTTCCCGAAATCCTAAAATCCTATAACACAAATGCCTCCTTTAAATCCCAAATGCCTCTAACACAACTACCCCAAATCCTACAATCCTCAAACACAAATTCTTCCTTTAAATCATGAAAGCCTCAAACAATAACTCCCCCTTTAAATTACGAATACTTCAAACAAAACATCAACTACTCTCGAACAGAGCACCCCTCATAAAACAAACCCCTCCTTAAAACCACGAATACATCTAAAACAACATAGAACTGCTCACGGGTCGTGCACCCCTCCTCCAGATCCTGATATCCTGGGATGCATCTCTTTAAGCAGGAGCCGTTGAACTTGTTGCAGTCGTTGACGCAGTTGGAGCAGGTGTGGGCACACTCGGCTCCGTAACTCATCTTAGGACATGCTGGTGATGTTTGTAAACATTAGCCTACACAGTTACACAGTTGATGCTAGACAGCTTCAATGTTAACTTTAGACATGACAATTGTTAATGGTGCACAGATAAACTGTTAACTTTAGATAGCTAAACACTTAGCTTTAGAAAGATAAACAGCCAAAGATAGACATTTAACGTTAGACAGCAAAACTGTTACTTAAGACAGCTAAACAACAACGGACTGCTAAAGTGTAAGTTTAGAGATTTAACACTTAACGATAGACAGTTAAACTGTTGACTTTAGACAGCAAAATAGTTAACGGTACACTGATAAACTGTGAACATTAGAAATATATTTAGTTCATTTAAGATCGCTAAAGCGTTAACGTTTGAGAGCAAAACATTTAACTTTAAACAGCTAAACCGTTAACTTGTCTATCGTTAACAGTTTAGCTGTCGTTAACTGTCAAGCTTTAAACAGCTAAACTGTTAACGTTAAACAGCTAATCAGTTAACGTTTAACAGTTAACCTTAAATAACTGAACAGTGTACTTTTGACAGTTAAATTTTAACATTACACGGTTAACATTAGAATCTTCAACTGTTGCAATTGGAATAGCTAAAATTACAATGCTAACATTAAAATCTAAACATCAAACTTTAAACCATAAACTGTTAACTGTTAATATAAAACTGTTACCATGCATTTTGTTTTTGCATTGAACTTTTAAAATTAAACTGTTAACGCTAAACTTTAAACAGAAAACTGTTAACATTAAACTGTTAACATTAAACTGTTAACATTAAACTGTTAACATTAAACTGTTAACATTAAACTGTTATCATTAAACTGTTAACATTAAATTGTTAACATTAAACTGTTATTATTAAACTGTTAACATTAAACTGTTAACATTAAACTGTTAACATTAAACTGTTAACATTAAACTGTTAACGCTAAACTTTAAACAGAAAACTGTTAACATTAAACTGTTAACATTAAACTTTTAACATTAAACTGTTAAAATTAAACTGTTAACATTAAACTGTTAACATTAAACTGTTAACATTAAACTGTTAAAATTAAACTGTTAACATTAAACTGTTAACATTAAACTGTTAACATTAAACTGTTAACATAAGACTTCTAACATGAAACTATTAGCATGCAACTGTTAACAACACACAGTTTAACAGCTATCATGAGCGCTAGTTAACTTCAACTAGTATTTTAACCAACAAAATTTTACTTGTAGGACATCTTTTCCTAACCCAACAATTCGACGACTTAGTTTCGTTCTCCTTCCCTAGACAATTTGACCCAAAGTTGACGGGACGGGGGTTGACGCAGCGCCTGTGGGGGGAACCGATCAACAGTTGCTATGGTTACCACATACCGTAAGTTTAACTACATATAATTTCAACATGTTATGCTGGTACATTTCAATTATCTCTTTAGATTTAGCAGATGAGAATCAAATGTGATTAGCTTCAAGTAACATGATATCTTAATTTGGTTTCTTTGAGTTATTTTTTTATTTAAAAGGGATGACGGTAACTTAACACTTTGTTGGGGGGTTCACTTTAAACTTATTTTCCTGATGGAATGGAAAACTAGTTAGATTATATATTTTCTAATATCAATTATATCTATATATAATTCTCTACGCCGCCCAACCATGCGGGACACCACGCACGCAAGCCGACTCTCTAACCCTCCTCCCTCCCCCTCCCTCGCTCTTCAGGCCACAGTTTCTTCCAGGCATCTCTTCTGGGGGTGCGAAGCCCACCCCCGAAAAAAATCTACCGCCCCCCCCCCCCCCCACACCGAACGAAATGAAATTTATATAATTTATATAGAAAATATATACTTTTAAAAGTGGTCCGCCCCCCCCCCCGAAGAAAGTCTACCGCCCCCACGAAAATTTCAAGTGCCCCCCCCCCCACCCCGGAGAAAAAAGTCTGGAAGAAACACTGCTTCAGGCATGCGCAACAGTGTGTACCCACCCACCCCATTCGGACAACTGTGTCTTTCAGGTAGCCTTCACCCGTCACTAAATAGCGGCAGATTTTCTACTTCGCCTGTGGGTGAGGGGGGGGGGGGTGGATGGAGGGGGATTGATGAACGCAATGCGGCGTGGTACTTCCCCCAGAAGAGAAACCGAAGAGATCGGGGGAGGGTGGGGAGAGGGTAAAAGTTGTGAGGAATTTCTATGGAGGCTGTGACAAAGTGTAGAGCACTCGACTGCTAACTTGAAAGGTTCGAGTTTGAATCCCGTATCACACAGCTCTAAAGGGTACCTGACTTATATTGGGGAAAGTGAAGGCGGTTGTTTTTTTAGTGCTGATCACGCTATATCTTCGTGTACCGAGGTCATAGAAGCAAGGGTACTCTACTTCATCTGCCCCAAGGAGCGCGAGGTTTGACTGAGTAGCTATCACGTGATAAAACGGTTTGGACGGTCATAAAATAGTTGCACGGCTATGAAAAAAAAACGCTACATGACACAAGATAGAAGTTTGGACAGCCATAATACGGAATACGACAATTCGGACACAATGTACAAGAGTTTAGACGGCCATGATACAAGGTACATAACACGAGATTTGACAATTTGGACGGCCATGACACACGATATATAACACGAAATTCGAAAATTTGGACGGCAATGACAGAAGATACAACAATTTTGACGACCATGACACAAGAAACAATTTGGACGGCCATAGCACAAGATACATAACAAATTCGACACTTTGGACGGCCAAAACCTGACACGCTCCATGTCTGTACTCTTGCAGTTCTGTGTACACGTCCAAGCACGCCAGGCTTGCCAGCCGCCATTGACTGCAACAAAACACGCTACATCAGCATTTTATGTCGTGGAAGTACAAGACAAACACGCTACATCAGCATTTTATGTCGTGGTAGTACAAGACAAACACGCTACATCAGCATTTTATGTCGTGGTAGTACAAGAATCATATGATAAACTGATCACACTATTACACTAATAACACAATTACACTAATAAAAAACCACACTAATTACATTAATTACACTAATCACAATATTACACTAATCACATGATTACAATTCTTACACGATTACAATAGTCACACTAATAACACAATTATACTTAATCACACTCTTATGCAAATCGCACTATTAAACAAATCAGAGTATTACACTAATCAGACGCTTACAATAATTACATAATTACACTAATCGCGCTATTACACTAATCACACTAATAACAAATTTATACTTAATCACACTGCTATACTAATCACAATATTACACCAATCACATAATTACACTAATCACACTATTACACTAGGTTTATAATGTAATAGCACTTATAAGTCTCGGTCTTTTTTCATTAAATTCGAAATCACATTAGCCAGGAAGAGATATACATTTTCGAACTAAATTAATTGTTTTGGACATGATAACCGTTTTAAAAAAAACGAACATGACGGCTATTTGTTTCTAGACCTGACTTCAAGAATAAAAAAAATTGTACCCAAATTACAATGATTATGAAAGTATATCTAACAATATAATCAACTAAAATATTTTAGGTCTAAGGCTATTAGTATTTATATTCATATTTTAACTAAGTTTACGACAACTTGTTACGAATTCCATTAAAAAATAAAAAACTGTACGCTTCTATAAGAAAAATTTTTTTTAATGATGCTATATTCTTCTCTAAGCCAGCCATCTTTTAGTCTATAATTATCATTTTTTGCTATTCTAATTATTTTTTAAAATATTAAATTAAAAAATATTCACATTTGGTTTGAAAAATACTAGCTGGCAAGTACGAAAAAGAGAAATAGCTTAGGTGACCTATTTGTAAGCAGAGGCTCTATTAAAAATGTAGTTGATTCTTCTTCTATTTTGTAATTTTAATTTTTTAAATTGTTTGCTTATAGTGTAAGATGTATATTCACTTCACATTCTAAAATGGATATTACAAGTTGTTTTAACATAAAACACTACAACTCTGCTAACTAATTCTGCCATAATTACGGTCTAGTTAGGACGTACCTCTATTTGGTTTAGCGAGGTCCTCATCGATATACCCATCGTGGTCATTGTCTAGAGGAAGAAAACATAGCTTCACTATATTAGAAATCATGCAATTAATGTATAAGAAAGATGTGAAATATTGTACACACGTAATTGATCCACAAATAGAACACGGCAACCTAATCGATCCACTAATAGAACACGCCCACCTAAACGATCCAATAATAGAACACGCCCACCTAATCGATCCACTAAAAGAACACGCCCACCTAATCAATATACTAATAAGCCACGCCCACTTACCCCAGCCATCTAAATATTCTTCATCCACTCGTCCATCACAATCGTTGTCAATGATGTCACCCCGTACCATATCAGCGTTGGTAACTTCACAAGTGTCTACCTGTATAACAATTATATATATATATATATATATATATATATATATATATATATATATATATATATATATATATATATATATATATATATATATATATATATATGTGTATGTATATATATATAAATATATATATATATATTCATATATATATACATATATATATATATATATATATATATATATATATATATATATATATATATATATATATATATATATATATATATATACATATACATGAGACACAACTGTAGTGAAAACACCGTTTACTAACATCTATAGATGACGCCATGAAGCCTGCAGGATGCATGTAGCCATAACCCTGGTTGTAGCCATAGAGGTAGCAGCCGAAGTAGAACAAGCGGATCCCCTGCAGGGAGTGGGTGCCGCTGGTGACTTTCACAGATCCCACTTTCCACGCCATCATACCGAACACGTACTTCCACGGAATGCTGTACCAAAATAAGGGGTTGTTTAAATTGGGTGTAAGGCAGAGGCGTAGAGAGGGGGTGCGGGCCGCACCGGGTGACACCATTTAGGGAGGTGACACTAAGGCAAAAAATAGCAAAATATATAGAGAAAAACTTGAGGGGGGGGGTCAGAATCGAAAGTTTGAGGGGGGGGGGGTGCAAATCGAAAACTTGAAAGTTTGTCCCCGGGAAGGGTCGCTACGCCTCTAGGTGGTGACACCTTTAAGTGCCGCACCGGGTGACACCCGACCTCGCTACGCCGTTGGTGTAAGGTTGTCGTCATCTGGCTCCCGTGGCTATGCTATCGACCTACCCCTCAATTGTGGTTATTCGTCATGGCAAAAAAGCTCCAACCCCCCCCCCCCCTTTTGTTATGAAATTTCCAAGACTATTTTAATAGAGGCTGTGTCTTGAACAGTTCATGTTGGTTTCTCATAAAAGATGTAGAGAATAGTTAAATAAGCCTGCAAAGCCGAATAATGTTCTGATTTCTTAACTTCGCTTGAAAATATATCTTTTAATGCAGCTCAAGATGAGTGTTTTCAATTTTGTTTCTACCTCACAAGGACGAAATTTGAATTGTGCGTTGGACAAAAGGAGTGGGGGGGGGGGGGGGGTTAGAAAAAGAAGAATTGTGCACCAAAATAAACTTAACAATGTTTGCGTAAGTAAAGAAAAAATGCAGATGAAGTAGAGTTCATATGTTTCTTGACCTCGGCTAATTAAGAGAAGGTGTGGTCAGCATTTTGCATAGCCGAGTTTACTTCCCAACATATGAGTTAGGTACCCATCATAACTGAGTGGACTCAGGTGCGTTCTACTGACTTAGACTCGTATTCGAACTCGAGACTTTCGGGATAGCAGCCTAACGCTACAGCCTGCATAATTGAGCGAAATATTAGTACTGATAAGTTGTTTTTTTTAATCACATTAAACCGTGCACTGAGCCACACTTTTTGTCACAGTTAATTGATTCTTTACCTACATGAAACGTTTGAAACAAACACGGGACCTACTTCTCATCTAGCTGTATCGGTTGATCATCGAACCTCAAAATATCCAAGTATGGTTCCTCAATGACTAGTGTCATGTAGTGTGTGGATTTAGTCCTGGTCGTGTCTGGTGTACTTCAGGAGAATACATATATATATATATATATATATATATATATATATATATATATATATATATATATATATATATATATATATATATATATATACACACACACACAAACACACACACACACACATACACACACACACATATATATATATATATATATATATATATATATATATATATATATATATATATATATATATATAGCCTACAAATATCACACTTCGAGTAAGAAATGCCTCTTTTAAAAACTTCTATTGTAATGTTGTAGTACTAATTTTCATTCAATTTATTCATCCTCAATTCCCGTCAATGTATTTGTCCTTTCAATTCAGTACAATTTTACCAACTACAAAAATGTACTATTTTATCTTTTGGTCGCTAAATCTTTTCGAATATTCATAAATTTATCTTAAGATCCGTATTTTTATTTACGCATTTAATTAATTCACCAAACGTTATCCATTACTCTATCCAGTCTTTTACCTGTACACTATAAAACTATTTCGGTTTTATCACCCAATATTTAATTATCCATTATCCATTAATTTATCCACAACACCCGCTTCACGGTATATTAAAAACTTTCGATCCATTTACCCATCATTTCATCCATTTATCAACTCAGCCAATCAGTACCCCCCATCCCCACCAACCCCACCAACCCAGCAACCTACCTGAATACATACATATCGTAAAACAAAGCGTTCGGTATAATCAAACATGTTGCCGGATCTCCGACCTCACCAGCATGTTCATCGTCACCACCAACGAAGCAGGCTGACCTCTCAACGAACATTACCTGGATGGGCCGATCGGACTCAATCTTGTAACATTCCCCATACAGAGCTCGTTGGACTATTTCCCCAAGCTACGGCAGAGGAAATGAAGTTATAACTTACAAGCGTATTTAAAAGCTCTTGTGCGCACTTTTATTTTCTATCTCTCTTTTATCTTTCTCTCTTTATCTCTCTCTCTTTCTCTTCCTCTCTTTTTCTCTGCTTTTCGCTCTCTTTTACTCTTTCTCTTTTCTCTCTCTCTCTCTCTCTTTCTCTCTCTTTCTCTCTTTCTCTCTTTCTCTCTTTCTCTCTCTCTTTCTCTCTTTCTCTCTCTCTGTCTCTCTCTTTCTCTCCCTCTTTCTCTTTCTCTCTCTTTCTCTCTCTCTCTTTCTCTCCCTCTCTCTCTTTCTCTCTCTCTCTTTCTCTCACTCCCTGTCTCTTTTTTTTCTCTCTCTGTCTCTCTCTTTCTCTTCCTCTCTCTCTCTCTCTCTCTCTCTCTCTCTCTCTCTCTCTCTTTCTCTCTCTGTCCGCAACATATTTTTTCGGAGGCTATGAGATCAGTATCTTCAGCAACCTATGGAGAACTTCTAGATACGAATTTTGTTGAAAATAATATACTAGATTCATTAAACGTATACACTTATTTTATTTAAAGCAGGATAATAATAGTAAAGGCCTATTCGAATGTAGAAACACAACGTTCAATATGCAACTGGGACAAGTGTTTATCGTTGTGACATGAACGCTCCAAAGAACATAAAATATATCGGACTATAAATCACACAGAACGGGTCTCGATGGCAAGTGCAATATAAAGTTTAAGACACTAACATGTAACAATTCTTTAAAAAAATAAATAGACCCCCCATTCAGATGTAACCATCGATAGAGCATTAAGTCGAGTTTCTTAATATCGGGATATGAATGTATAGTGAAACCGACACTATGCTGAGCCAGGTTTAATTTCCATAACGGAAGTTAGGTACCCATTAGAGCTGAGTTGACTCAGGAACGTCTTGAGAAAACTCCCACACATCAAATAACCTAGCCACACACTCACACAGCTACAACCACACAGATACAAAATCCTCGCACACATCCACCCACACAAAACCACACACTTACATTGACCCATTCCAAATTACTTGTGAAAAGGAACGTGCCCGCCCCGTCATTCTCGTCCGTGTAATAGGTGAGCGTTGTGTCCTTTTCTTTAGCCATTGCAAATATCAAGGCCGGCAATTTCCGGTTCCAGTTGACAAAAGCAATAAACACACGTCCAAACGTTTCAACCGGTAGTAGCATTTCTAGATAGTTAGATAAATAAATAAAATAAACAAAAAAAAATAAATAAACAAATAACAACCCCACCCCCGCAATATTTTTTGTGCCCCCGTATTATCAGAGGCGTAGCGAACCTTCGATTTGCACCCCCCCCCCTTCAAACTTTCGATTTGCACCCCCCTCAAAACTTTCAATTTGTTTTTCCAACCCATTTTAGCGCCCACTACGGACAGCGCCCTAGGCGACCGCCTTGTTCGCCTTATAGGTAGCGCCGGCCCTGTATACATGCTCCCCCCTACTCCAGAATGTCTTGTATAACCTCACTTGATATAACCATATATATATATATATATATATATATATATATATATATATATATATATATATATATATATATATATATATATATATATATATATATATATATATATATATATATATATATATATATATATATATATATATATATATACATATACATATATAAGCCCCCCCACCCCCACCCACCCGATTCAGAATTTTCTCACCTGAGACAAGGGACATTGTAGTTTCCCCGCCGTGGTACGTTTTCCCCTTGTCCTCACACTTGGGCCGCTTCCAGTAGGAGCCGGTTATACAGTTTCCGGACACCACGCCTATCGGCTGCTTGCCTTTGATCAATGTGCCTGACCATACAGATGATCAAAACGTTAAATTTAAATGTACGAGCCGACCCGCGGCGTATCATACGCCGCTATTTAGTTGTTTTATTTTCTACTTTTCAGTAATTCATAATTTGTAAATTCGACAGTACCAATGCTGCCACTGAATATATTTGCTTTAAAACACAATCAGTAGCTCGTTAAGAACGATACTAACCCCACCCTCCTTTCCCCCAACCCCTACCCTACACCCACCCCCACCCCCACCCCCGTGAAAGCAGCCCCCTCTTAGTTACCTCCCCTAAGTTTAAAATAGTTTCAAACTAAATTCTGCCCATAATAGCCGTCACTAAGCTTACAGCTTGGTGTTTTCTAGGGTCTCCAAGAAGAGAATTTATATATATAGATAGCTTAGCTAACATTACTGGTGGTAAATCAGGTGGAACTCACCGTCAATTATTGTACCATTTCCGGTTACCGGAACTATCTTCAAAGTAACACGCGTATTACAATCTAATAGCTACACGTGATATTTCGCATAAATTAACCTATTTATTCTATTTTGTTCTTTATTTTAGTGTTGGAAGGGATCCCCCAATTAAGTATACGTGTCAACTGGTTATGCGCCATTGAAGCCACTGACTCCGATTTCAGCCTGTTTTCATTTTTGGATTAGCTTCCATAGCCTTTGTCCAACCATGAACAAACTACAAGGCAGCAGTTGTCTCTCCTAGAATAGTGGCTATTCCCAGCTAACGGAACCTCATCTGCCCTAAGGTTCGAACTCGAGAATTTTCATTTAGAAACCATAAGCTTTACCTACTCGACCACGCCGACCCCTATTAACAAACTAACTCCAAACATTTGTTTTCCACGAAAATGGGATGCTGAGAGGGTGCGGCGGGTTGGTAACTTTGTATCGATTAAGGATTCATCGTTAATTAAAAGTACGTCGACCAGAGTTGGTCGTTAAAAACAGTACAATACCTGTTAAATATAGGAGTACTTGTCACCGTCACACATTTGTAGCAAGACTCCCTCGTAACATAAAAATAGACACACATAAAATGTATACCTTCAACAGCAGGTTTAGAAACATACGAAAGTATGTATGCATTGTACCTTTTTTCTCTTTCCAGAGGTGTATCTAGGTGAGAGAGAGAGAGGGGGGGGGCACCTCAGGCGCCGACCATAGGGGTCGAAACTTAAAACTGCGCAAACCAAAAAAAAAATGCGAAAATGCAAACAAATTAAACTAATACACTTAAGTTTTGTCATATTTCGAGGAAAGATGTTTTATTATGCCAAAAGCACAACATAACTCCCCTAACACTAAACATAGTTTTACTCAAGCGTTCCGTGTCAATCTAAATGAATCACTTACAATTCCACCCCTCCACCCTCCCAACCATTCCTCACAACAAATGAATCTACTCATCATTTTACTCATCGATTCCGTAGAAGTAAAGTTTCCCTTTCTAACCTGACGGTCTGTGGGGCAAGTGAAGTAGAGTTCACTTGTTTCTGTGATCTCGACAAATGAAGAGATAGTGTGGTCAGCACTATGCCCAGCCGCCTTTACTTTCCCCAACGTGAGTTAGGTACCCATCAGAGTTGGGTGGACTCAGGGACGGTCTACTGACTTGAACCCGGATTCAAACTCGAGACCTACGGGTTAGTAGTCCAGCTCTCTACCGCTAGACCACTCCGTCCCTACATCCGTTCCTATCTCACCCCCATCCCCAGATAACTACTCACATACAACAATGAACCTACAAATCCCAACACTTACCCCTAATCCCCCCTAAATCTAGAGATAAAACTCTCACCCCCCCCCATGTATCCCCCCTCATCCCCCCTCCCCCATGAAATCAGAAATCACAATACTCACCCCCTCATTCCCCCCTCCCCCATGAGTTTAGAAATCCCAACACTCAACCCTAATTCCCCCCCCCCCATACATTTAGAAATCCGAACAGTCACCCCTAATTTCCCCCCCCCCTCCCCCGCATGAATTCACAAAATCCCAACTCTCACCCATAATTCACAACCCCCCCCTATACAATTAGAAATCCGAAGAGTCACCCCCAAACTCCGCCCCCCCCCCCCCGCATGAATTTACAAAATCGCAACTCTCACCCATAATTCACTTCCCCCCACCCCCGAAAATTGTAGAAATCCCAACACTCACCCCTTTAGGTCAACACTCAGCGTTTCACCATTACCGTAGTCTTTACCGGCGTAGGGAATTTTCTCTTCGGGTACCGCTCTCAGTGTGATTTCTACAGTGTTCTCCTTGACACTGTTTGCTACCGTAATGGATGGCTGCAAACTAGGGTGGGTGGAGTGGGCAAAACGTTAGTTAGGTTTAATATACTCGAAGACACGTACATACAGAGTAACATTGACTCGCAAAAATATATACATACACACACACACACACACACACATATATATATATAGATATATATATATATATATATATATATATATTATATATATATATTATTATATATATATATACTCTATATATATATATATATATATATATATATATATATATATATATATATATATATATATATATATATACATACATATTTGCTAAATATACATAATTATTTGTTAAATATATGCTCATGATATACAAACGTATATATATATATATATATATATATATATATATATATATATATAATACTATATATATATATATCTATACTATCTATATATATAACACTATATTCTATATATATATATATATATATATTTATTTATTATTTATTTATTTATTAGTTACATAAATGCATATATCTTTACACACAATATATTTACATCCATGCAACAATTTATTATAATTATTTATGTTAATAGATGTATATAAATTTTAAAATGATTTTTTAATGAACGTGTTCATCCCTATATCTTTGTGCTAATAAATACATGCAAAAACATATCTATATATACTATAATATATATATATATACTACTATATATATATATATATATATATATATATATCCATCAGATTGAATCCTAACATACTATAGTGTCCTGGCGTAGTATTTGCGGCCCCAGCCATTCCACAGGCACCAAGGTGAAGGTCTCGAGGTTGTTATGACTTAGACTGAGCATCATGACGACGCCAAAGTCGTCTTTGGCCTGAAACTTGAATGAGTGGGTGGTTCCCACGCTCTTGCTGATGCTGAACCCGTTGGATCACGTGGGTTGAGGTGAGAGGAAATTGGTGTTTATTATACGGGACAGACAGACGTGAGCGATGCTCACTAGCAAAACAAACAGAAAACATAGTTGCGCACTGGATAGGGGACGAAACCGTACATTCGCTAAAAGCGTAGGCCCCTATTTATATGTAATTAGTTGGCAATATCTAGGTAGCAATCAGAATAGTTTCTGAATAAATAAACTAATTAATAAGTGAATTGTTAACAAATGATAAAGTTTTTTTAAAAAGGAACGATGCCATGCTTTTTTGACGAATAGCTGTTAAGCTACCACGGAGTGGTCTAGCGGTAGATAGCTGGACTGTTACCTGGTAAGTCTATAGTTCGAATCCGGGTTCAAGTCAGTAGACCGTCCCTGAGTCCACCCAACTCTGATGGGTACCAAACTCACGTTAGGGAAAGAAAGGCGGCTGGGCACAGTGCTTACCACAAAATCACTCCATAAGCCGAGGTCACAGAAACAAGTGAACTCTACTTCACTTGCACTATAGACCGTCAGGTTTAAAAGGGAACTTTATTAGGCTCTAGATGCTAGTCTAACAATACCGGTGTCTACGAGCACAATTTCCTAGCGTACAATGCAGTTATTTTGAACTTATTGTAGGGTACCGAACCCCAACAGTTTAAATGCGCATTCACCGAACCCTTTTACAAGCTTTTATTTAGTTTGCAACGTTTGTTTGGTCCTAATACAATCTTTTATATATTTTGGCGATCAAAGCTTTTTGTGAAAGAACCTAAATTACGTTTTTATTTATTTTTTCCCACGTTTTCTTTAACTTGCTTTCTCTGTGTGTTTATTTATTTATTTGTTTGTCTTTCCAATCCAATCTTGCGATCGAAATTTCTGGCACTTCCCAGTTAGCTAGCGCGCTGAAATTTTCAGGGAAGCTTTCTTTTGGATGACCATTGAATATTCAATTGTTATTATTACTAAATTGATCAATGGAAACATTTTATTGAGCATTTTAGACCGCTATATAATCTATATATATAATTCTCCTCTGCTAGCCATTAGAAAAAAAACCAGCGACGCGTACCTCGCGCGCAGTGAAGCGAACGATCACATGTCGCCACAGGCTTAGGGGCAGAGAATTTAGCTTGAACCGAGTTTAAACTTACAGGAGGTAGGCCAGTTTGGGGGAGACGATATGGTCGAGTGGTTGGGCACACGATTGCTATCCCACTCGACACGGGTTCAAATCTATGTGTTCTAGTCAGTAACGTATTCACACAACGTGTTAAAGACGAGTTGTCTTTTTACGAGTTGTCTTTTTACGAGTTGTCTTCGTTTACCCAAAAAAAGTGAAAAGATAAAATCGATAGCAAGATTTTAATGCAAACAAACAGACAAAGACTAAAAAGTAGAAAATAATAATCATTAAAAAAGTTTTAAAAAACCCACGTTTTCTGATTGAACTAAAAAGTAGAAAATAAATACTATACATCACAATAATGCAAGCGATCACTCTACTATAAGCGATGAAAAACGTGGGGCGCCGAAGTAAAAGTTATATTACTATTGATTAGATAATACTATTGACTTTTATTAGGGAGCTTGTAGAGAGTCAACAGTATTAGAAACTGTAAGAAAATCACGGCGCCCCACGTTTTTGCTCGCTTATAGTAGAGTGATCGCTTGCATTATTGTGATGTATAGTATTTATTTTCTACTTTTTAGTTCAATCAGAAAACGTGGGTTTTTTTAAACTTTTTTAATGATTATTATTTACAGTGCATTTAAAAGCTTGTTGCAATGAAGGTTTTTTTTTAAATATTTGTTTTATTAATAGTTTTATCGTCGACACTTAGAAAATCAAATCGTGAATCATATGAGTTGGGTGTTTGTCTTGACCTCCGCCGAACAATTGAGATTGACTCACCAATTTCCTGGGGTTCGAACGTACCCAGGTTAAGAACCACTGGCCCATATGCTTTACAGATGTATAAGTGTATAGATACTATATCATTTCACTAGTATTTAGATGCTATACCAACTTACTAGTATCTAGATATTATACCAACTTACTAGTATATAGATGCTATACCAACTTACTAGTATATAGATGCTATACCAACTTACTAGTATATAGATGCTATACCAACTTACTAGTATATAGATGCTATACCAACTTACTAGTCTATTGATGCTTTATCAACTTAGTAGTATCTAGATGCTATACCAACTTACTAGTATCTAGATACTATACCAACTTACTAGTATTTAGATGCTATACCAACTTACTTGTATTTAGATGCTATACCAACTTTCTAGTATTTAGATGCTATACCAACTTACTAGTATTTAGATGCTATACCAACTTACTAGTATTTAGATGCTATACCAACTTACTAGTATTTAGATGCTATACCAACTTACTAGTATTTAGATGCTATACCAACTTACTAGTATTTAGATGCTATACCAACTTACTAGTATTTAGATGCTATACCAACTTTCTAGTATTTAGATGCTATACCAACTTACTAGTATTTAGATGCTATACCAACTTACTAGTATTTAGATGCTATACCAACTTACTAGTATTTAGATGCTATACCAACTTACTAGTATTTAGATGCTGTACCAACTTACTAGTATCTAGATACTATATCAACTTGTAATTGTCTAGATCTATATCAACTTATAAGTGTCTAGATGCTATATCAACTTTTAAGTGTCTAGATGCTATATCAACTTTTAAGTGTCTATATGCTTTATCGGTGAAAAAAAGCGCAAACAGAAAAAAGCTTTTTCCGTTTGCGCTTTTTTCCATTGCGCTTTTTGTTTTGCGCTTCTTTCCGTTGCGCATCTTTCTGGGAACCTCTATATCAACTTCTAAGTGTCTAGATACTATATCAACTTGTAATTGTCTAGATGCTATACCAACTTACTAGTAGTCCCCTGGCACTGTTATAGTCGCAGTCACCATCCTCTCCACATAGACGATTTTATCCTTTGCCGGTTCGTGCTCTTCCTGGTTATTGAACCAGGGCATGTTGATTTTAACCTGGTCAACAGAAACAATTCAAAAGTTCACTTTTCTTTACCTACGTTACCAACATAAATAAGTTAAAACTTTACTTTCTTCACCTTCTTTACCAACAGCAATAATTAAAAAATGTACTTTATTCATTTACTTTACCAACAGCAGTAATTCAAAACTTTACTTTTTTTCATCCATTTTACTAACATAAACCATTTTTTTTTAAAAATTAGTTTTTCTCCTACTTTATTAAGTGCAATAATTAAAAATGTTTATTTGTCAATCTACCAACGCAAACAAATCAAAACTTTACTTTTTAACCTAGTTTCCAAACACAAAAAAATAAAAGGTTTACTTTTTCATCTAATTTACGAACGCAAACAAATCAATGTTTTACATTTTCATCAAGTTTACCAATGCAAAACAAACCAGAACTTTACTTTTCCACCCAATTTGCTAACACAAACACATCTAAACTATTATCGTTACTTGGACGAGAGAGTCGCATTAAAACATTTATAAAATCTTCTCATTTATTTATCTTGTTAATTTTGCAGGGAGCTGACCATCCGAAACTTTTGTCAAAAAATATAACTTTAAAATATAAAGGAATAAAGAGGAACAAATTATCTCATTATATATTTATGAAGTATTGTATACCATATACACACTGTGCGTTAAACATTTCTTGTATAGTTTTTTTTTATCAATGTGAAAAATCCCAGTGGAGAAAAAAAACGGAAATTAAGGTGATGATGGATAAGCCATATTTTAAACCCTGCAATAACTGATTATAATAATCTTACACACGAAGTCAAAACCACCTTTACTTACATGACGTACCCACTTTACCCAACAAGACAAAACCACTTTACTCAACAAGACGAAACTAACTTACCCAACATGACAAAACCACCCTGCCCAAAAAGGCAAAACCACTTTACTCAACAAGACAAAACCACTTTACTCAACAAGACAAATTACCCAACAAGACAAAACCACTTTACTCAACAAGACAAAACCACCTTACCCAACAAGACAAAACCACTTTACTCAACAAGACAAAACCACCTTGCCCAAAAAGACAAAACTAACTTACCCAACATGACAACCACAAAACAACTCTACCCACCAAGACCATTTTACTCAACAAGACAAAATCATCTTACCAAACAAGACAAAATCACCTAACCTAAAAAAAACCCACCATACTCAACATGAAAAAAAAACCACTTTATCCAACAAAACAAAACCAGCGTACCAAACAAGACAAAACCACATTACCGCACAACACCAAAAACCACCTTACCTCTACCGTAAAATGCGCCATGGTAAAAAAGAAAATATCCAGCTGTCTGGTGTCGTAGTGCATCCTGTTGGGTACAACCACAAATAGACGTCCTAGGCTGGTACTCACACCTGGGTCAAGTACATTTTCTCACTTACATTTTAGTCATAGAATGTATAAAATACTAAAGTATAAAAGCCGCTTATATATATATATATATATATATATATATATATATATATATATATATAATATGTATAATATAGAATATAATATAATATTATATAATAATATAATATAATAATAATATAATATAATATTATATAATAATATAATATAATAATATATTATATATATATATATATATATATATATATATATATATATATATATATATATGTATATATATATATATATATATATATATATATATATATATATATATATATATATATATATATATATATATATGAGGAGTCCATTAGCGACACCTGCTAAGTAACTTTCGACAGATTCCAAGACTTGTCGTCCCGGGTTTGAACCCTCGTGCCGATGCGGCTTATTTACTAGGTGCGTCAGAAGTTTAGCCCTCTCCTCCAGCAAACCGGTAAATCCCACTGTCCTTATAACACAGAGGGTAGTCCTATATTGCGATGTATCACACTACTTGGGGATGTTTTGTGGCTGGCGTTTATATTTTTATCCGACTCACCCGAAGTTTTTGGTAGGCAAGCGAACAAGACTAGGCTGTATATTAAACCGGTCATCCTTCTGTGGAATAGATTACCGCCAAGCTAAACGTATAGTTCCACAAATTTATTAAAAAAAAATTATGTGAATATAGTGTTCGATTCTGGAAAATAGTGTTTCCGTATTGGTTAAGTATACAGTCAGTAGAATGTCCCTTAATTCATATAAGCTCTGTTGAGTTACTAACTCATTTTGGAAAAAGTCAGCTGGACAAAGTGCTGACCACACTTTCCCTTCATATGACGAGGTCAAGAAATATATAAACTCTACTTCATCGGCCAAATGGCTCTCTAGGTCTAAAGAAGATTCTTTACTTTACTTTATGTATGCAGAACATGTAACAATGTAATGTTACTCACAAAGCTAATCTAAACTTGCACAGAAGCTGATTTTTTTTCTGTTGATATTCCTTTTGTAATGTTAACTCTTACCCAGATTCTAACCGTAATCCTGAACCTAGTGGTGAGACTAGCCTGAACATTCTATATCAAATACAAATAAAAAAATAAATAGTATAGTGAATTATAAAAAAAAAAAAAAACTCGATTCGATTACATATTTCTCAACCAACAATTTTACACGAATTCTTTATTGATAAATCCAATTAGACCTAGATCCAGATCTAAATGAGTTTATATTGTCGTATTTACATTCATAATGTTACAATATAACATTATTATTTCAATTAGTTAGTTAAAACTATAAATCTAAAATATATAAATGTCGTAAGTAAGTCTGGCAAATTTTACCGGACATGTCTCCAAGTATTGATTAGTGTGTCCTAATTTGATTAATTATAACAAAAAAGTTGTTAAGTGGGAGTGATTTAGCTGACATTAAAATTAATGTAAACAAAAAGTGATTTTTTTTAATCGTCAAAAGATGGTGCAAAGCGGTGCAAAAGCATAAAATGTGTGAAAAGTTTTGCATTTTCTATAACATGCACAATGGCGTCATAAAAAACAATATTTGAAAAGCAATAAAATAGAAAGAAAAGGAAAGAAAATAATCTTTTCTTTTTAATTCATTGTTTTGTAAAAAAGTTCGAAATACAAAATTAATTATTTTTTTCAAAAATAAATTAACATTCTTTTTCTGAACATTTTAGAAATTCTGTTCCGCTATTTTAAAGCAATGTCGATATAAGACTATTTCTTCACATCGGTGGAAAACGGTGGAAATAATGAATGTACCTTGCTTAAGTTTGTGTTGATAAGCATTTCTCAATTTTTTATTGAAATGGTCGGGTGGCATGTTAACAAAACCTCAGCCCATTTGTTTATTTGGTGCGCAATTATTTTTATGTGTCTCTGGAAGTGATACTCTTTACAACCAAAGATAAAAAAAAAGAAAAAAAAAAGATTTTAAAAATCAACATATAAAGCGTCAGATTGGTTAAGTCCTCTTAAAATCAAATGATAATTTAATTTCATCTTGTCTTGAATAATTTATTATATTTTTAGCATTTTTCATTCAAGTTACTTATCAAACTATTTATTCTTAGTAATATGATTAGTCTAAATAAAACAGACTAAGAAATAGATATGTTATCATGTTATGTTAGTTACGAAATTAATATAACTCGCAAAGAATGTACTTGTTTTGCTAATATTACTTTCGTAATTAAAACGTAAACACAGATTATTTATTTGTCATGAAATGAGTAGCCAATACTAAGAACTAGACAAAGGTTAGGATCAGAGTTAGATCCCCTGTCACATCCCTTTTTCGACTTGATCATATTCTAACTTTACGTTAAGTCATTCCAGCAATACAAACCCCTAAACTGTAACTTAAATCCTTTCGCTGATTTAGCATACACCACCGCATCACAGAGGCGTAGCGACACCTTCCGGCGCCCGGGGACAAACTTTCAATTTGGCGTCCCCCCCCCCCCGTATCTATTTTTATATATTTGTAATTCAAAATACCAGCTAAAATGAGCTTATTTTGGCGCCCCTAGGGTCAGCGCCCGGGGACATATGTACCCCCCTTGTCGCTACGTCTCTGCCGATTCATAAACTTGAACCTTGTTTAATGAATTCGCCCTTACTAACGTAAATCCTCATTATAAAAGTGATGCTTTGTTATATCGTTTTCCTCATTACAATATCCTTTTGTCCTTACCTCATTCACAGAAATTCTAAATAATGTGAACACCAAATGATATTAAACCCATCAAGGATATAAAGTCTCATTATAAAACATTCAACAAATAAAAAAATGAATTAAATATTCAAAACAGGCAAATTAAAAAAAAAATGACATTTATTTTCTTTCAATAGGACAAACAACATTATGTTCACAAATAAATCCTACTGTTTAATCTTTTATAATCTACATTCAATGGACCTATATAATTACAGATTTTTTTTTTGACGATTCACCTCGCCGATCCAGTAGTCTCTACCTTTTAGTCATATCTATGTGTCAGTCTAAGCGGTTATTCCTATTCACTATCTAATAGAGAAATCTATCAATGTAATCATGCATCAATATATATATATGTAATCATGCATCAGTTTATCTGAGAAAACAAGCACCACTTTATCAAATTAATCACGCAACAGTCTATCAAATTAATCTTGTAATAATATACATTCATCTATTAGATAATTCACCATTTGTATCTATTTAAATATCCGTCAGTTTTATCTATTTAAATTATATTATTTTGTATCTAAAGTGAGTTGCCAAGATTATACATTAGTTTAGCTAATCCTAAGAAATGTGTGTTTTTTATATGTGTCTCGCTATAGTAACATATTCTAAAAACTGTTTAGTCTAAATTTGTAATGTGTCTTTTTTGCATTTTTTAACACCCATCATTACCTCCGCTGGTGTGTCTGTCGGCGGATTATCATTGTTAGTGATCTTTTTTTGTTTAAATACACAAATTTGTTGTTCGACACAACACACTTTGTAATATTAGGTCTTCGCCGATTTGTCTAATGTTATTGGCACGTTTGTTTACACCTTATCCTATCTATATTTCGTTGTTTTGTCTCAGTTTATACGTTTGTCGCCTCCCTATCGTAACTAGTACTTTGTAATTTTGTCTTGGTTTATAGATAAATAACCTCACTATCCTAATTTATATTTCGTCGTTTTGTCTTATCCTAACTAGTCGTGCGTCGATTTGTCTTGATTTATAAGGTTTTCGCCTTACTATCCTAGCAAATCTTTTGTCTTTTAGTCTTTGTTATAAATTTGTCGCTTGCCTAAACTAGCTTGTCCTTTGTCGTATTGTCTTTGTTTATAAGTTTGTAGCCTCCATATCCTAGTATTTTTCTTTCTTGGTTGAAAAGTCAATCTCATTCCTATCCTAATTCTTCTATCGTTTTGTTTTGGTTTATATGTTTATAGCCTCACTATCCTACCAAACCTCATTCGTCATTTACTGTTTTGTCACGGTTTATACGTTATTCCCCCCCCCCCCCCCCACTGTTTTCCAACTAGTCCTTGGTCGTCTTGTCTTGATTTATACGTTTATCACCCGCTATATCCCAGCTAGTCTTTGGTCGTCTTGTCTTAATTTATACGTTTATCACCAGCTATATCCCAGCTAGTCCTTGGTCGTTTTGTCTTGATTTATACGTTTATCCCCCCTGTATCCCAGCTAGTCTTTGGTCGACCTGTCTCGGTTTATACGTTTATCTCCCCTTTATCCGAGCTAGTCTTTGGTGGTCTGGTCTCGGTTTATACGTTTATCCCCCCTGTATCCTAGCTAGTCCGTTGTCGTCTTGTCTTGATTTACACGTTTACCCCCCCCCCCCCCCCCCCTTTCTATATTTCATCTAGTCCTTGGTCGTCTTGTCTTGATTTATACGTTTATCTTCCCTATCCGAGCTAGTCTTTGGTCGTCTTGTCTTGATTTATACGTTTATCCCCCCCCCCCCCCCCAGCTAGTCCTTGGCCGTCTTGTCGCTGGACGCCGCTGTGAAGAGCGTATCCGCGGCTTCCGTCACGGCCGTCGACTCCGTGACGCCAGTTATGGCCGTCTCCAGGGAGTGTCCGCTATGGGAGCCGCTGTCGTCCTTGTCCTTATCGTCCTTGTTCCGGTCACTGCTGGAGGAGTTATATAACAAAAATAAGAAGTTGGTTAGAATGGGGGTAGGGGGGGGGGTGGGGGTGGGGGGGGGTGTTATAGAAGTAGACTCGAACAGTGTTTCTTCCAGACTTTTTTCTCCGCTTCCAGACTTTTTTTTCCGGGTGTGTGTGGGGGGGGGGGGTGGTGGCACTTGAAATTTTCGGGGGAGGGTGGGGGGCGGACACTTTTAAATGTATATATTTTCTATATAAATTTCATTTCGTTCCGGGGCGGGGGAGGGCGGTAGTCTTTCTTCAGCGGGGGGGGGGGGGGGAGGCGGACACTGTTAAAAGTATATATTTTCTATATAAATTTCATTTCGTTCCGGGGCGGGGGGGTGGTAGTCTTTCTTCGGGGGGGGGGGGGGGGAGGGGGGAGGGGGCTCCGCCAAACCGGAGGGATGCCTAGAAAAAACTCTGGACTCGAACTTCGTGAGTTTGATTTCCGGGATTGGAATGATAAGAAAAATGTTGGGGAAAAATTAATAAAATTAAATATTTGCAATAATGGTGCGATTTATGTTTGATTCTATAACTTGCTGTGATATCTCTGGTTAAAGAGCATTAATTAAATTACACCTGTCTAAATATATCATAGCGAAGGAGAGAGAGAGAGAGAGAGAGAGAGAGAGAGAGAGAGAGAGAGAGAGAGAGTAATAGAGAAAGAAGACGAGTGTGTATGTTGAGGATATTAAATTTAAGAGTGACTTGTATAAATACTTTGCAAGTTGAATTTAACCCGCGTAAATATTAATGTAGTTACTTTTTTAAAAAAATGTAAAAGCATGTAATATATTTTGTACATGTATAAATAAAGAATTGTCTTGAATCAGAATGTAGGTACATAAGAGACGCATTGGTTTAAAAATATAATCTCGTTTGCGATAGACAACATCAGTTTGGTGAAAGGCAAAAAGGATTCAAGTACATTCTATGGCAAAAAAGAAACAAACAACCCAGCTGCTGTTGGATTGTTCCAATTCAAACCTTCTTCTTAAAATACGTGTACTTAGTTTTATTATCAAATCTTTTTAATAAATTAAAAAAATATTATAGTGTTTTTAAAACAAAAATCTTTAAAAATAACGTGCATACGTTAAATTTATATGCGAAAGATAAAAAAAACGGTCGTAAAAAATGTATATACTTTTAAACTATTAAGGATATAGTTAAAGACGAAATCATACATGAATAGAGCATGTTTATTTGACAATGAATTGAAATACAGGCCCTACACATACACTTACCAAAATACAAAATACGCGATACACGGTATCAACCAGAAAGAGACTATCAACGGTGCATATTTCAATAGGTTACCTTAAAATGAGAAAGTTTGTTAGTCAATTAGAACATTTCATGTAATTAATGAAAAGTGGAATTGTCTTTAAAAAAATTTTCTTTAAAAATTGGACATTTAAAAAAAATCGCAGTGTATATATTTTCACAACTACAAGCGTCCAGTGATCTCGGCATATGAATGAATAGTGTGGTCAGCACTTCGCCCAGATCCTTTTAATTTACCCATCAGAGCTGGGTGGGCTCATGGATGTCTAACGGGTCTCGAACACAGGGATGATAACTCGAGACATTTGGGTTCGTATTCCAGCGCTCTACCACGCGACCACGCCGTCCCTAATCGAATGACTTAAGTAATTTTTGCGTTCTTAGAAAAGATGCCTTCACTTCTGGGCAAGAGATTTAAAGTTTTAAGACAGAGAAGAAAAGGACTCACAGGCGAACCCACGCCCCACCCCTCGCTACGCCCCTGACTCTACTGATCAGAGTTGTCAGATACAGAACCACAAAACTTACCCCCCCCCCCAGCCCCACTCGTAACGCCTCTGACTCTACTTATCAGAGTGTCACATATAGAACCACCAGACTCACCCCCTCCACTAGCTACGCCCTTGACGCTACTGATCTGTTGGTCACATATAGAACCACAAGACTTACCCTGCCCCCCCCATCACCCCTAGCTACGCCCCTGACTCTACTGATCTCATTTGTCACAAATAGAACCACAAGACTTACCCTGCCCTCCCTCACCCCTATCTACGCCCCTGACTCTACTGATCTCATTTGTCACAAATAGAACCCCAAGATTTACCCTCCCCCCCTCACCCCTAGCTACGCCCCTGACTCTACTGATCTCATTTGTCACAAATAGAGCCCCAAGATTTACCCTGCCCCCCTCACCCCTAGCTACGCCCCTGACTCTACTGATCTCATTTGTCACAAATAGAACCACAAGACTTACCCTGCCCCCCCCCCTCACCCCTAGCTAAGCCCCTAACTCTACTGATCTCATTTGTCACAAATAGAACCACAAGACTTACCCTGCCCCCCACCCCTAGCTACGCCCCTGACTCTACTGATCTCATTTGTCACAAATAGAACCCCAAGATTTACCCTGCCCCCCCCCCCTCACCCCTAGCTACGCCCCTGACTCTACTGATCTCATTTGTCACAAATAGAACCACAAGACTTACCCTGCCCCCCCCCCTCACCCCTAGCTACGCCCCTGACTCTACTGATCTCATTTGTCACAAATAGAACCACAAGACTTACCCTGCCCCCCCCCCTCACCCCTAGCTACGCCCCTGACTCTACTGATCTTATTTGTCACAAATAGAACCACAAGACTTACCCCCCCCCGCCCCAACCCCACTAGCTACGCCCATGACTTTACTGATCAGAGCTGTCAACTATAGAACCACCAGACTCAACCCCCCCCCACTCGCTACACCCCTGACAGTTGTCAGATGTAGAACCACTTGACTCCCGCTACCCCCCCCCCCCCCCCCCCCTCACCCCTAGTTACGCCCCTGACTCTACTTTTTCAGAGTTTTCAGATATAGAACCACAAGACTCAACCTCCCCTCCCCCCCTCCCCCCGCCACTCTCCACGCCCCTGACTCTACTGCTCAGAGTTATCAGCTATAGAACCACAAGACTCACTAGCACACTCCCCGTGACTCCTCTCTATACAGTCCGCCCCACACTTCTCCATACACTTGCCGATACAGTTCGGGCCGAACTCCATAGCCTCACATGCTGGTTAAAAAATAATGCAAGCCGTTATTCTCTTAACTATCTCCTATACTATAGAGCTAAGTACATACAATTGTGCATAGCAGTAACTCTAAATACTAACCCTAAATGGTTGAATATAGAATTTATTTATAATATTTTCTCAAAATACTTCTATTACACTGTAATGCATCTACAACCACATTATTATAATGAAATATGAAACGTTACTTGTATATCGCCATTAACCTTATCAATAAAGAGATAAAATAGTAATTCCAATATAGCGAGTAAACACACTATTTTTGTTTTAAGCATTATTAATATTATAATTTATAATTATTATTAAACTTGTGGTTCTATCAAGTTTATAAACTATATCTACACCATTATCAAACCCAAATAAGTGCTAGCAAACTTCACCTTACATCGTAAATACCTTTCCAATTTAAATCTTATTAAACTTTAACCCTGTATCAACAATGACCCCCACCAACCCCCCCCCCCCCCCCATGTTACCCCACACTTTGACTCACGTTGACTACAGCCCGCCCCCGGGTATTTAAAGCCACTCTGACACTTGGTGCACGTGCCCAGAAACTTGTCGCAGTCGGGGTCACAGTTCACGCATGACTGCTCACAGTTTGACCCCCACCGGAACACCGGACAGTCTGAAAAATGGTGGGTCGGTTAACGGATTTTTAGAAAACTAGATTCAAATAGAGTAAAAAAATTAAACAAAATAACGAGCAGTCTAAAAAAATTATGGTTAGGAGAACGGATTTTTAGAAAACTAAATTGAAGAATAGTCAAATCAAAGGGGGGTCTGAAAAAAAATTAAGCTACTTTTAAGACTATTCTACCTTAAGGAGACATAATATCCCACCTATAAGAAAGATGTTATATTGCCTTTAGGCAATAACTTTCCTTTAGGACAGACACTATGCCACCTTTCAAACAATCATTAAACTACCGTTAAGACGGACGCTACCCAACCTTTATGAGAGAAACTATCCTAATTTTAATACAGACACTATCCTACCTTTAAAAAAGACACTATCCTACCTTTAAAACAGACACTATCCTACCTTTAAAACAGACACTATCCTACCTTTAAAAAGACACTATCCCACCTTTAAAACTGAAGCTATACTACCTTTAAAACAGACACTATCCCACCTTTAAAACAGACACTATCCCACCTTTAAAACAGACACTATCCCACCTTTAAAACAGACACTATCCCACCTTTAAAACAGACACTATCCCACCTTTAAAACAGACACTATCCCACCTTTAAACCAGACACTAACCTACATTTAAAAGAGACACTATCCCACCTTTAAAACAGACACTATCCCACCTTTAAAACAGACACTATCCCACCTTTAAAACAGACACTATCCCACCTTTAAACCAGACACTAACCTACATTTAAAAGAGACACTATCCCACCTTTAAAACAGACACTATCCCACCTTTAAAACAGACACTATCCCACCTTTAAAACAGACACTATCCTACCTTTAAAACAGACACTATCCTAACTTTAAACCAGACACTAACCTACATTTAAAAGAGACACTATCCCACCTTTAAAACATACACTATCCTAACTAAACCAGACACTAACCTACATTTAAAAGAGACACTATCCCACCTTTAAAACAGACAATATCCCACCTTTAAAACAGACACTATCCCACCTTTAAAACAGACACTATCCTACCTTTAAAACAGACACTATCCTACCTTTAAACCAGACACTAACCTACATTTAAAAGAGACACTATCCCACCTTTAAAACAGACACTATCCCGCCTTTAAAACAGACACTATCCCACCTTTAAACCAGACACTAACCTACATTTAAAAGAGACACTATCCCACCTTTAAAACAGACACTATCCCACATTTAAAACAGACACTATCCTACCTTTAAACCAGACACTAACCTACCTTTAAACCAGACACTATCCCACCTTTAAAACAGACACTATCCCACCTTTAAAACAGACACTATCCCACCTTTAAACCAGACACTAACCTACATTTAAAACAGACACTATCCCACCTTTAAAACTGACACTATCCCACCTTTAAAACTGACACTATCCTACCTTTAGGACAAACACCACCGACGTAGCATGTCGACTGTTTGGTTTCGTTACCTTGCTCGGGACAGTACATGCCTTCGTTTTCTGGGAGTGGGTTGTCACAGTTCCTATAAAAGAAGGAAAAATAGGTCAAGTTCCATTTTCAAACATTACATACAATAACTGATCCTAAATTGTAACAGTACTGAATTAGTAATATCTAACTATTGCCCTAAATATTTGTTATGCTAAATTTTAAAATCTATGGCTTTTACAAAATTGTAACAGTATTGAATGGATAAAATCGATGGCTTGTCCTAAACTGTAGTTAAACTTAATTGTTAAATCAAAGGCTAATCCTAAACCATAAATATACTGAACTGATAAAAGTTATGGCTTATCATTAACTGTTGCTATACATAATTGTTAACTCTTATCACTGTAGCTTTACTAAATACAATCGATGGCTTATCACTGTAGCTTTACTAAATACAATCGATGGCTTATCACTGTAGCTTTACTAAATATAATCGATGGCTTATCACTGTAGCTTTACTAAATATAATCGATGGCTTATCACTGTAGCTTTACTAAATACAATCGATGGCTTATCACTGTAGCTTTACTAAATAACAATCTCTGGCTTATCCTAAGCTGTAACTGTCTGCAGGTGATGCAATCTTTACCTTATTCTATACTGTGAGCGCACGTTGCAGTCATTTGAACACGCCCACTGCGACCACTCGCCCCACCCACCATCCACTGTAAAACAACACAACAATAACAACATAAGTTTCCACGCTGTATGATGAAATAGCCAATGAAAACGAAAGTTTTTGTATTATATAAATTATTAACTACGAGCCGGCCCGCGGCAAAACATACGCCGCTATTTAGTTGTTTCTAATTTTCAATAATTCATAATTTGTGAATTCGACAGTACCAACGCTGACACTGAAAATATTTCTTTAAAACACTATAAGTAGCTCGTTAAGGACCATAACCCCCCCCCCCCCTTCCTTCCTTCCCTCCCCCCCCCTCCTCCCCCCCCCCTACGTTTAAAATCGTTGGCTCTGCTTGTAAACATTTAGAGTGAACACAGCTCACTAAAACCATGTAGGGGTGGGGAGGTAGGGAGAGCGTTTGCAGCTTGTTTTCTAACGGCTCGAAGAAGAGAATTATATATATAGATTGTATACTTAACAATAAACGCCTAATTTTTTTTCAAGAAATATAATATATATATATATATATATATATATATATATATATATATATATATATATATATATATATATATATATATATATATATAGAGAGAGAGAGAGAGAGAGAGAGAGAGTGAGAGAGAGAGAGAGAGAGAGATGTATATGTGTGTGTGGTGTGTTTGTATATGTGCATGCGAGATTGAATTCATACAGTTAATTTAAATAATAACCAGCTTTAGTTAAGCACACTGAAACGAAGAGACAATAAACATAATGAGTTCGAACAAGAAAAAGACAACAACAAACAAACCAACCTCTGTTTGGTTTGGCTAGATCTTCATCTACCAGTGTGTCGCCGTCGTTATCTATTGAAGAGTAAAACACATCGTTTCGCCTCGTGCTACACATTTGTTCACAAACCAACACTAGCTCAAAGGACAATGTCAGGTTTTTTTTTTTTTACTGACAATATCTTTTTGTTAGGGGCTTTTGAAGTTGTGGGACCTGTCGCACACTGTTTTAGGTACCTACTTTCTATATAATTGCTATACTTATGTTTTATTTCATTAAAAAAATGCAATTATGTATAAGAGCCACAACCCCCTCTCCGCCATCACTGTCAATCGAGTGAAACAAACTTTCTTACACTGGCGAAAACGAAAGTGCAGTTACACCAACTCAGTGCAAGGACTAGAAGGGGGAGGCAACCAAATAAAAAACGAATCGCCACTAAGAACACACTAGGTGGTTTCCACGAAACCAAACAGGGAGACTACCCAATATATATCAGGTCACACATCGACGTTACCTTTGCCATCCATCATCTCCTCGTCAATTCTTCTATCGCAGTCATTATCTAGCAGATCACCTCGGGCCATTGTTTTCATTGTTTCTTCACACGCCTGATGTTAAAGTATAGGAACACACTAATCACATGGTTCAAACAGTACAGTTTCAGTTTATCGGTTGATTGCTAGCGCAATAGATAATTTGTATACATAAATATATATATATATATATATATATATATATATATATATATATATATATATATATATATATATATATATATATATTTATTTATTTATATATATATATATACTATATGTGTTTTTGTATGTGTGTGCGTTTGCGTGTATATATTAGATAATGAATATGTATTGATGTAAACAATGTAGATGTTAATATGAAAAATAGTATTAATCAAGTGCACCTCAATATAAACTGTATACGCGATTGTATATGTAACAACAGGAATGTCAATGTGTAGTTTTGTCTATGCCCGTGACATGCGTATGCCACACACCACGGGCTGAAGAGATAAGGCTACCTACCCTACCTCATTGATATTCCCCGAGATGTAGCCACCAGGGTGCATGTAGCCGTAGAAGTCGAACATCCCGTAAAGGTAGCAGCCGAAGTAGACCAGGAGCGTGGAGTGGAGCGTGTGGGTGCCCTCCGTCACGGACGTGCTGCCCACCTTCCAGTTCTTCATGCCCGTCACCTCCCGCCACTTGATGCTAGCAGGGGGGCGGGGTTTAGGTGGATAAAGGCGTGGTTTAGTTGGATAAAGGCGTGGTTTAGTTGGATAAAGGCGTGGTTTAGTTGGATAAAGGCGTGGTTTAGGTGGATAAAGGCGTGGTTTAGTTTTAAAAAAGGTGTTGTTGGAAACACGTTTGGTCTAGTTTGAGAAACTCGTGTACTAATGAAACAGAGTTGGGGGTGGGGTATGTTGATAGAGAAATGCGTGTAGTTTTGGAACAGAGTGGGGGTATCTTTGGAGAAATGCATGTAGTTTTGGAACAGAGTGGGGGTAGCTTTGGAGAAATGCATGTATTTTTGGAACAGAGTGGGGGTAGCTTTGGAGAAATGCGTGTATTTCTGGAACAGATTGAGGGTATCTTTAGAGAAATGCGTGTAATTTAGCAACTGAGTAGTGGTCTTGTTGCAGAAAGACGGCAACTTGGAGAGAAAAAAAGGGCTATAGCTAATGGAAGGCGATGTCTATTTAGATAAAAGTGTGGTCTATGTGGAAAGAATTGTAACCTAGTTGTAGAAACGTGTCCAAATTGTAGAAAGGTGATTTCGTTGAAGTAAAGCGTGGTCAAGTTGGAGAAAAGACGATGTATGTTTGGAGTGTAATCTCACTGGAGAATGGTGTTTTCCAAATGTAAAAAAACGTGTGGTCTATCTGAAAAGAGGTGTGTTCTACATGTGGTCTGAGGGTAAAAATGTGTGATCTAGAAGGGGAAAAAAGAGTGATCTAGAAGGGGAAAAAGTGTGGTCTAGAAGGAGAAAAAGTGTGATCTAGAACGAGAAAAAGTGTGATCTAGAACGAGAAAAAGTGTGATCTAGAAGGAAAAAAAGTGTGATCTAGAAGGAGGAAAAGTGTGATCTAGAAGGAGAAAAAGTGTGATCTAGAAGGAGAAAACGTGTGGTCTAGAACGATCAAAAGTGTGATCTAGAAGGAGAAAAAGTGTGGTCTAGAACGATCAAAAGTGTGATCTAGAAGGAGAAAAAGTGTGATCTAGAAGGAGAAAAAGTGTGATCTAGAACGACAAAAAGTGTGATCTAGAACGACAAAAAGTGTGATCTAGAACGACAAAAAGTGTGATCTAGAAGGAGAAAATGTGTGATCTAGTGGGAGAAAAAGTGTGATCTAGAAGGAGAAAGACGTGAAATATTTGACAGCAAACTTACGTGTCAGGCAGCTTCAGATTATCTAGACGTATCAAGTCTATCTTGGTGTAGTCTATAACTATGGTGACGTAGTTCTTTGGTCGAATTACCGTCGTCATGGGCGTACTGTATTGAAAGCATGTTTTTATTTTATGCGGAAACACAAATAAGATTAACACACCGCTTATATGATTCATACTAGAAACTATTCTACATATTCACATTTACAAAAACAACGTGCAGTTGATTATAAAAACCTACATAAAATATATAAACACACGTATATGATTTACTCTTATTTACAAACACCCACGTTCTATTCACCACAAAAATTAACACATGGTATAAAAAAAAGATACCAACATACTATTTCAAACTGTACACACACTATGTAGATTCACTTGATCATGGTATAAATAAACACGCAAATATTTTTACAACCATTTTTACACATTTTTACAACCACCCAGATACTATTTACCGCCAACCACAATAAACAAACGCCTGCTGCTTACATTAACCAAAAAGTATTTACTTCTACTCATAATTTTTTTACAGTTACTTACAAACTACTTACACTAATCACATACTAAGCGTAAACTATTTATAACAAACGACAAATTCTTTAAAGCCACATACCAACTAATGACGCAAATAAACTATATTTAACCACCTAATATAATACTGCGTTTATCTCTGACCCATAAGTCTCGAGATCTAATCCCAGGCTAGGGTCTGTGATAAATCCCTGAGTCCACTCAGCTCTAATGGGTACCTGACTCATATTAGGGAATGTTAAAGAAGCTGGTTATAAAACTGACCATCCTTTCATTCGCCATCATGGGGTCGGCGTGGTCGAGTCGGTAAAGCTCATGGTTGCTAAACCGAAAAGTCTCGAGTTCGAACCCTCGGACAGATGAGGCTCATTAGCTGGGAACAGCCACTCTTCAATGAGAGACAATTTCAAAATCAAACAACTGCTGCCTTGTAGTTTGTTCTTGGTTGAACAAAGGCTATGGAAGCAAATCCAAAAAGAAAAGGCTGAAATCGGAGTCAATGGCCTCAATGGCGCATAACCAGTTGACACGTAATCCTTAATGAGATGGAAGCATGGTCGATTCAGCAAAGCTCATGGCTGATAAATTTGAAAAATGTCTCGAGTTCAAATCCTCTGGCAGATACGGCTCGATCCCTCCCAACACTAAAAATTAAGAATGAAGAATAAGAAGAATATTCGCCATCATCAAAGATACATGTGATTTCCATTACTCATGCCTCATGAACCGTAAGAGTAATTTACTAATATAACATTTTGACAAACACAGAATGACTTAACATTTGATCACAAAGCCTCGACAAACAAATGCAAACTTCCACTGCGGACCTCAATCCTCTAGATATTAAAATCTAACAACTTACCTCCAGATATAGTTATCAAAGAGCTAACCACCCACCTCCAAATATAGCTAACAAAGATCAGCGGACCACTCACCTCAATTTATAGTTATCAAAGAACTAAGAACCCACCTCCAGCTGATGTAGTAATCAAAGAACCCACCTCCAGATGTAGTTATCAAAGAGCTAACCACCCACCTCCAGATGTAGTTATCAAAGAACCCACCTCCAGATGTAGTTATCAAAGAACTAACCACCCACCTCCAGATGTAGTTATCAAAGAACTAACCACCCACCTCCAGATGTAGTTATCAAAGAACCCAACTCCAAATGTAGTTATCAAAGAACCCACCTCCAGATGTAGTTATCAAAGAACCCACCTCCAGATGTAGTTATCAAAGAACCTACCTACAGATGTAGTTATCAAAGACCCCACCTCCAGATGTAGTTATCAAAGAACTAACCACCCACCTCCAGATGTAGTTATCAAAGAACCAACCACCCACATCCAGATGTAGTTATCAAAGAACCCACCTCCAGATGTAGTTATCAAAAAACTAACCACCCACCTCCAGATGTAGTTATCAAAGAACTAACCACCCACCTCCAGATGTAGTTATCAAAGAACCCACTTTCAGATGTAGTTATCAAAGAACTAACCACCCACCTCCAGATGTAGTTATCAAAGAACTAACCACCCACCTCCAGATGTAGTTATCAAAGAACCCACCTCCAGATGTAGTTATCAAAGAACCCACCTCCAGATGTAGTTATCAAAGAACCCACCTCCAGATGTAGTTATCAAAGAACCCACCTCCAGATGTAGTTATCAAAGACCCCACCTCCAGATGTAGTTATCAAAGAACTAACCACCCACCTCCAGATGTAGTTATCAAAGAACCCACCTCCAGATGTAGTTATCAAAAAACTAACCACCCACCTCCAGATGTAGTTATCAAAGAACTAACCACCCACCTCCAGATGTAGTTATCAAAGAACCCACTTTCAGATGTAGTTATCAAAGAACTAACCACCCACCTCCAGATGTAGTTATCAAAGAACTAACCACCCACCTCCAGATGTAGTTATCAAAGAACTAACCACCCACCTCCAGATGTAGTTATCAAAGAACTAACCAGCCACCTCCAGATGTAGTTATCAAAGAACTAACCGTCCACCTCCAGATGTAGTTATCAAAGAACTAACCAGCCACCTCCAGATGTAGTTATCAAAGAACTAACCAGCCACCTCCAGATGTAGTTATCAAAGAACTAACCAGCCACCTCCAGATGTAGTTATCAAAGAACTAACCACCCACCTCCAGATGTAGTTATCAAAGAACTAACCAGCCACCTCCAGATGTAGTTATCAAAGAACTAACCACCCACCTCCAGATGTAGTTATCAAAGAACTAACCACCCACCTCCAGATGTAGTTATCAAAGAACTAACCAGCCACCTCCAGATGTAGTTATCAAAGAACTAACCGTCCACCTCCAGATGTAGTTATCAAAGAACTAACCAGCCACCTCCAGATGTAGTTATCAAAGAACTAACCAGCCACCTCCAGATGTAGTTATCAAAGAACTAACCAGCCACCTCCAGATGTAGTTATCAAAGAGCTAACCACCCACCTCCAAATATAGCTAACAAAGATCAGCGGACCACTCACCTCAATTTATAGTTATCAAAGAACTAAGAACCCACCTCCAGCTGATGTAGTAATCAAAGAACCCACCTCCAGATGTAGTTATCAAAGAGCTAACCACCCACCTCCAGATGTAGTTATCAAAGAACCCACCTCCAGATGTAGTTATCAAAGAACTAACCACCCACCTCCAGATGTAGTTATCAAAGAACTAACCACCCACCTCCAGATGTAGTTATCAAAGAACCCACCTCCAGATGTAGTTATCAAAGAACCCACCTCCAGATGTAGTTATCAAAGAACCCACCTCCAGATGTAGTTATCAAAGAACCTACCTACAGATGTAGTTATCAAAGACCCCACCTCCAGATGTAGTTATCAAAGAACTAACCACCCACCTCCAGATGTAGTTATCAAAGAACCAACCACCCACATCCAGATGTAGTTATCAAAGAACCCACCTCCAGATGTAGTTATCAAAAAACTAACCACCCACCTCCAGATGTAGTTATCAAAGAACTAACCACCCACCTCCAGATGTAGTTATCAAAGAACCCACTTTCAGATGTAGTTATCAAAGAACTAACCACCCACCTCCAGATGTAGTTATCAAAGAACTAACCACCCACCTCCAGATGTAGTTATCAAAGAACCCACCTCCAGATGTAGTTATCAAAGAACCCACCTCCAGATGTAGTTATCAAAGAACCCACCTCCAGATGTAGTTATCAAAGAACCCACCTCCAGATGTAGTTATCAAAGACCCCACCTCCAGATGTAGTTATCAAAGAACTAACCACCCACCTCCAGATGTAGTTATCAAAGAACCCACCTCCAGATGTAGTTATCAAAAAACTAACCACCCACCTCCAGATGTAGTTATCAAAGAACTAACCACCCACCTCCAGATGTAGTTATCAAAGAACCCACTTTCAGATGTAGTTATCAAAGAACTAACCACCCACCTCCAGATGTAGTTATCAAAGAACTAACCACCCACCTCCAGATGTAGTTATCAAAGAACTAACCACCCACCTCCAGATGTAGTTATCAAAGAACTAACCAGCCACCTCCAGATGTAGTTATCAAAGAACTAACCGTCCACCTCCAGATGTAGTTATCAAAGAACTAACCAGCCACCTCCAGATGTAGTTATCAAAGAACTAACCAGCCACCTCCAGATGTAGTTATCAAAGAACTAACCACCCACCTCCAGATGTAGTTATCAAAGAACTAACCAGCCACCTCCAGATGTAGTTATCAAAGAACTAACCGTCCACCTCCAGATGTAGTTATCAAAGAACTAACCAGCCACCTCCAGATGTAGTTATCAAAGAACTAACCAGCCACCTCCAGATGTAGTTATCAAAGAACTAACCAGCCACCTCCAGATGTAGTTATCAAAGAACTAACCACCCACCTCCAGATGTAGTTATCAAAGAACTAACCAGCCACCTCCAGATGTAGTTATCAAAGAACTAACCACCCACCTCCAGATGTAGTTATCAAAGAACAGGTTGTTTGGTATCAGCAGTGAGATGGCCGGGTCCCCCAGCTCCCCTGGTGTGGTTCTAATGTTGTTTTTGATACACGCTGAGTTCTCTACGAGAAGAGCCTGGATGCCTTTGTCGCTGACAAACTTCAACACGACGTCTTTCAAGTCTAGTTCATCGAACTAATTGAAGAGAAAATAAATTTCAAAGTAATATGTTTTTTTTATTATAATTAGCTTTTAAATGAATAAGAAAATAAGGCAGCAAAATAAGCTAGATTTAAAAAAAAATGAAATAAAACAAAACATTCATCGCTAAATTATGGAAGAGATCTTGTTCGACCAAAAGTTTTATTACATAATGCATGATTAAAAAAAAACAAAATAAAAGATTGTTTAAAATTCAACAGTGCAAGTGTAATATATTAGCTAAATCAACGGATCAATAATATTATTTGACATAGATTCGTGGCAATGCATGATGTTATTGAACTTGTTCAATGAAGTATGAAATACGATACATAGCTAAAGGAAGCCGCCGATACGAGTTCCACTATACTAAATTAGCAATTTCAAGTGTCAGTAACCACTATACTAGTTTAGCACATTAAAGTGCCACTAACCACTATACTATTCTAGCACATTAAAGTGCCACTAACCACTATACTATTCTAGCACATTAAAGTGCAACTAACCACTATACTATTCTAGCACATTTAAGTGACACTAACCCCTATACTTTTCTAGCACATCATAGTGCCACTAACCAATATACTATTCTAACACATTAAAGTGCCACTAACCACTATACTATTCTAACACATTAAAGTGCCACTAACCACTATACTATTCTAGCACATTAAAGTGCCACTATGGGTCGGCGTGGTCGAGTTGCGAAACAGAAAAATCTCGAGTTCAAACCCTCGGGCAGATGAGGCTCGTTAGCTGGGGACAGCCACTCTTCTAGGAGAGACAACTCCAAAATCAAACAACTGCTGCCTTGTAGTTTGTTCTTGGTTGGACGAAGTCTTTGGACGCAAATCCAAAAAAGAAAACCAGGCTGAAATCGGAATCAATGGCCTCAATGGCGCATAACCAGTTGACACGTATCCTTAATTGTGTTTAAGGCGTGGTCGAGTCGGCAAAGCTTATGGTTGTTAAATTCGAAAAAAGTCTCGAGTTGAAACCTTCTGACAGATAAGGCACTATCCCTTCCAACAGTGGCGTAGCGAGGTCGGGTGTCACCCGGTGCGGCACTTAATGGTGTCACCCCCCCCCACAGGCGTAGCGACCCTTCCAGGGGACAAACTTTCACATTTTCGATTTGCACCCCACCCCCTCAAATTTTCGATTTGCACAACCCCTCCCCCTCAAGTTTTTCTCTATATATTTTGCTATTTGTCACCCCCCTAAATGGTGTCACCCGGTGCGCTTCGCACCCCCGCGCCCCCTCGCTACGCCTCTGCCTTCCAACACTATAAATTAAGACCGAAGAAGAGGAAAAACGTCACAAAACATCGACTTGCCGATTTCCATTCCCCAGCGTTGACAATCGTCACCTCCTTGGTCCCCCCCTGGTCGTTGATGCTGAAGGTTATCTTGGTGTTGTCTTCAGCGGCCAGGATCATGACGGTCGTCTTAGACAGTCGGCCTTCGTTGACGATGGAGATAAACTCGCGGCCGAACGATGCGATCGGCATCAGCATTTCTGGCAACAAAACAATGGCATGTATTACAGTGAGGTGCCATTTTAGAATCTTAGCTACCATGGAGGGACGGTGTGGTTTAAGCGGTTAACGCTAGGATATAAAAGTCTCAAGTTCAAATCTGGGTACAAGTGAGTAGAACGTCTTTGAGTCCACCATGGTTTGATTGGTACTTAACTTAAGGAAAGTAAAATCGGCTGGGCGTAATTATAATCACACATGCCTTTCATATGACGAGAAACATACGATCACCACTTCTTTAGCCCGATGGTCTAAAGAAGATTATTTACTTTACGTTACCTTCCATAGACCCGGTGAAGTAGAGTTCACCTGTTTCAATGACCTCAGCATATTAAGGGATATCACGGTCAGTAATAGTATCTACAGACAGTTTTACTTCCCCAATGTCAAAAACCCAATACAGATAGGTGTATTATGCAAGCACAGACCCATATTGAAACTCTGGTCTTTCAGGGTAACATTTTAACGGCAAGTATTACAGGTAGATGTTTAGTCAGAGCTTTAGTGTAAGTCTGCACAAGTCTCTCTTACCTGCTATTCAAACACTCACCTGTCAAGACGTCACGTGATGCGGTATATTCACTTTTGGTGAAGTCTTCACATCTCGGGTTCCACCTCATCGTGCCCGATAGACAATTACCACTTACAACCCCGATAGGCTTCAAGCTATTAATGTTCGTTCCTGAACTCAAGATATATTATATATATATATATATATATATATATATATATATATATATATATATATATATATATATATATATATATATATATATATATATATATATATATATATATATATATATATTATACATAAATACATATATATAATAATTATTTTTATATATAATTATAAACAGACATTTTATATCGCTGTATTACTATAATATAGTATCAATATAGATATTAATACCCGTAAAGCTCCCGTGTCGATTGTAGTCAAGAGGACAGTAGGAAAAGACAAAACCTTCCCATCTGGGAAATAAAACATACGTATGGTTTTAAAAAGTATAAAGTACTGTAATTTGAAACAAAGTTATGGTGTTTAAAAAGTCATGGTTTTAAAAATTAGAAAGCACCGAGTTTAGAAAAAGTAAAGAAACATGATTCAATAAGATAGGATAGAGGACCTTTCAGCGGGTAGATTCTAAAAGGTATATTGGTTCTTCTCCTTTGTATTTCGTTCTTAAATGAGGTGATCAAACAAACAATTCAAACAAAAAAATAAGAGTCAGTATTTGTCACAAACTAAGCAATGCATGCCAACGCGTTGTTTTTCATCACATGTGTTGTGAGAGTAAATCATGGGCAACAACAACGATTTGAAAATGCGCAAACACTGAGGCAATACGGTTTGTAAGTCTACGGTCTCGAAATCTACTAGCTGGCAAGTACGTGAACGAGAAGTTGTGACCTACTTACAAGCCCTATTTTGTGGATATGCATCGAATCTTTTTGTTTTTTTTTACGGGAAGACACCAGCGCACAACCAGTGTTTCTTCCAGACTTTTTTTCTCCGGGCGAGGGGAGGGCGGACTTAATTTTCCGTGTGGGGGTGGACACTGATAAAATAATATATTTTCTGTAGAAATTCTATTTCGTTTATAGGGGGGAGGTGGGAGGCATTTTTCTGATTGGGGGTTGGGCTGCTCCGAACGCTGAAGAGATGCAAGGAATAAACTCTACACACAAAACCTCTATAGAATCAGTTGTCCTCGGGTTTTTTTTTTCTCTTGTTTCTTCTTTTTTATTTTGTTCTTAATTGTTATGTTGAATACGATTTCCTCCAACACAATTATGTATAATGTATTCACATTTTATGCGCCATATAGACTGTTGACTCAGATTCCAACATATTTTTTCTTCTTTTGGATTTGCTTCGATAGCCTTTGCCCAACCAAGAACAAAATACATTGCAGCAGTTGTTTGATTTTGGAGTTGTCTCTCCTAGATGGGTTGTGTTCCCCAGCCATCGCGCCTCATTTGCACGGGGGTTTGAACTCAGGACTTTTCAGTTTAGCAACCTGTACATTACCGCCCGACCACGCCGACACAAACATTATTTATCTATACAGTAATTTATAAACTTAAGCTTTTTTTCTAAAATAATTGAATCTATATTTTTGTATTATGTTTAATAGTTGCAAAAGAAATAAGCTAAAGCTCGCCTATCAGGAAGAATGTGTTTATTAATAAAGTGTGCGTTCTGGAAAAGTGTGTTGTTATACACCTAGTTCTTCTTCTTCTTCTTCTTCTTCGTTCTTAATTATTAGTGTTGAAGGGGATCGAGATTTATCTGCCAGTGGGTTTGAACTCGAGACTTTGTTCAAATTTATCAACCATGCACTTTTTGCCGACTCGACCACGCCTCCAACACAATTAAGCGTTACGTGTCAACTGGTTATGCGCCATTGAGGCCATTGACTCCAATTTCAGCCTGCTTTTTTTTTGGATTTGCTTCCATAGCCTTTGTCCAACCAAGAACATACTACAAGGCAGCAGTTGTTTGATTTTGGAGTTGTCTCTCCTAGAAGAGTGGCTGTACCCAGCTAACACGTCTTATCTGCCCGAGGGTTCGAACTCGAGACTGTCATGGTTTAGCAACCATGAGCTATACCGACTCGACCACGCCGAGTGAGTTTACATTAGAGCGGTCGCACTAACCTTCTGAGGTTGACCTCAAGTTTGTCCCCATTTTTGTAGTTGACGTCATTCCATTTGAGTTCTTTAGGCCCATCTGACCACGTGATCTTAATATTCAGCGTCACGGTGTTGACCTCGTCACCATTGACAATATTTATTGTGGGATTTTCACTGTGTTATATATATATATATATATATATATATATATATATATATATATATATATATATATATATATATATATGCATGTAAATGTAATATATATATGATTATGTAATAAATAACCCTATGCATATAATATATTTGTTATATATATTCTCACTGATTGACAAAAAAGCAAACATAAAACATAAAACTGGTAGTAAACTTTCTTGACAAATTTCATTTTTTTTTCATCTAAAATAATTTTGTTTATCTTGATTTGTTTATATCTAGTGAAGGTTGGCATCAAATTTTTTTTTAAATTGAGTAAAAAGCTGTTTTCCCTCATAAAATTATCAAAAATGTCAATAAGTTGTGAGTTTTCTCCGTTTTGTCAATTGTACAGTGTAGATCTTGGGGGATCCAAATTCACTCAAAATGTGCCTATCAGAAATATTTCAAATGGCCACCACTGTATGTTGCAAATGTATGTATCTATAAAGTACTGGAAGGGTTTGGATGTACTTTATTTTTTTTTAATGTGAAAGTTTTAGAATTGTTTTCAAAGGAAATCATATAATAGTATTAGTTTTAAAAATTTCACAAAAAATTCATTTTGTAATATATCAACATTTTCTTCTGGCAGAGTGTCTTTTTCCGCTAGGAATATGCAAGGTTACTTTGCATTGTTTTTAATTTTTTTTATAGTTATGTTGATTTGAATGTGTACCTAAATCATTACAATTTGACCCAAAATTTCGCTAAAAATGTATTCATTGTCCCCAATGAAATACAATATTATAATGTTCGATTTTTTAAAAAATTAATACAATTTCAAAATAACCTTTATTTTATAACTTGCAACAAAGTATGTTTTCACTACCGGTTCCCCCTTAACTATACAAATAATTACAAAAACATAACTAGAAGCTTAATCCCTTGTTTATTCGTTCATCTACGTCCTGTATTTTAATGAATTCCCGTGAACTATTTGAGAATACATGGAATCCGATACATATTTAATACATTATATATATATATATATATATATATATATATATATATATATATATATATATATATATATATATATATATATATATATATATATATATATTTATATATGTATATAAATACATATATTTAGTCAAACTTACTGCAAGGTCATAGCGATATACCGCGTCCCCCAGCCTGCAATAGGTAAAGCTGTGAACGTATCGGCTGAGTACTTGCTATCTGCCATCAAGACACACATACCAAAAAAATCGTCTCCGTCAAACTTGAAGGACCAGGTGGTACCAAGATCAATGTCCAGGCTGTTTTAACAGAGATGAACACGTTCGCTAATTAGGATACTAGATTGGCGGTTCATTAACAAACGATCTCAAGGACAAATGATCTCAGGACAAATGATCTCAGGACAAATGATCTCAGGACAAATGATCTCAGGACAAATGATCTCAGGACAAATGATCTCAAGGACAAATGATCTCAGGACAAATGATCTTAGACAAAATATCTCACGGACAAATGATACCAGGACAAATGATATTATGGACAACTGATCTCAGACACAATATCTCACGACAAAATGTGTATAGTATTAAAGATTATTTTAGTCGAGATCATTTGTCCTGTCACCAGATAGACTATCGTTAGTAGGAGACAGCAAGCTATTTTGGAAAGAAAAAATATACAATCGAACGTTTCCGTGGGGTCGGCGTGTTCAGGTTTTTTGAAACGTGTTATTTAAAATTTGGAGAAAAGCCACTCTAGTTTTGCCATATAGAACGAAGAAGTTTTCACGTTAGGTAAAGTAAAGGCGGATGGGCATATTGTTGACCACACTATCCCTTCATAATTCGAGGTCACAGAAACAGGTGAACTCTACTTCACTTGGATTATAGACTGCCAGGTTTAAAAGGGAACTTTACTTACTTTACTATCGAATTCGGCATACGGGTTTAAGTCTTTAATGTTATGTTAACAACCAGAATATTTTAACGTAAGATAAAAACATGGCGTGGGAACTGGGATTTTTAGAAGCAGAAAGTGTACGATAATCGAGTCGTCGAATGGAAAATACGTCGCTCGAATAAAATTGCCAGAAGTTTAATCAGGCAAATGGCTGGCTTTAATTAGGGTAGTTCATATGGGGCGTCTAAGTGTCTGCAGTTTTCTTATATTTCATTATAAAAATGAAATTAATATATACCAAGCCCATATTAATATATCTCCATATAAATCTTTAAACATCAATGTGTGTGTATTTATATATATATATATATATATATATATATATATATATATATATATATATATATATATATATATATATATATATATATATATATATATATATATATATATATTTATATATATATATATGTACATCCACCCATCTGATACTGAAAAATGACAACACATGTTTAGTTAATCAATCAATCTACTGACTTGTAATCCTTGGACATCTCCACTGAACTGATGCCATTTCTCTCTACGGTCACGTGACGAAGGAAGTAATTTGTGTCTTGATTTGTCCCGTACCACGGCACGCCTATTTTAACCTAAAGATAAGGGGGAAAATTATATATATATATATATATATATATATATATATATATATATATATATATATATGTATATATATATATATATATATATATATATATATATATATATATATATATATATATATATATATATATATATATATATATATATATATATATATGTATATATATATATATATATATATATATATATGTATATATATATATATATATATATATATATATATATATATAGGCCTATATATATATATATATATATATATATATATATATATATATATATGTATATATATATATATATATATATATATATATATATGTATATATATATATATATATATATATATATATATATATAGGCCTATATAAAAAATTGAATATAGTAAACCTTCCAAGAAAACGATCCTGGCTACTTAAATGTGAAACCCTCCTATACATATATATATATATATATATATATATATATATATATATATATATATATATATATATATATATATATATATATATATATATATATATATATATATATATATATATATATATATATATCCATATATATATATATATGTATATTAATTTATATATATATATATATATATATATATATATATATATATATATATATATATATATATATATATATATATATAGGCCTATATTTATAAAATTCAATATAGTAAATAAGCAAATGAAACATATTTTACACAACATCCAATGAAAACAAAATATGAAAAGTGTTAAAAACTTCTCGAACATACCACGACTTTTTTGTTGGACAAAGTAAAGAAGAAACACACGACTTGTTTCGCACTATCCAACATTTTGGGTACAACCAACAAAAATCTCAGTCCTAGCGTGGTACTGGCACCTGTAATATGACGAGGTAATATAGGCAGAACAAATCTTACTATATATATATATATATAAATATATATATATATATATATATATATATATATATATATATATATATATATATATATATATATATATATATATATATATATATATATATATATATATATATATATATATATATATATATAATTATATATATATATATATATATATATATATATATATATATATAGGCCTATATATATATATATATATATATATATATATATATATATATATATATATATATATATGTAACTAGGTGTAGTTACCATACTATGGTTAACAACGTATTACAGTCTGATGCAATAGCGCAGATGTGGGGCTGATAACGATCACGAAGCCAAGGCGTAGTTGGAAAGCGATACGACAAGCCGCTGTCAACTTTGACATGAATTGGCTGACGTCACAATGCAGGTGTTCTATTGATCGGACTGATAACAAGTTTAGTAAAAGACTGGTACGAGACAACTGCGTAGTAATCGGAAGGCGAGATATTCGGATGGAACATAACTATGATAGGACCGAATATGATTACGGATATGAAGGGGATAAATAAGGAAGGCGACGGCAGTCAGACTCGCAGTCAGTCTCTCTCTCTCTCGCTCGCTTTAGGCAGTGAGTCTGTGTGGCAGTATCAAGTTGGTTATATTGTGTTAAGAAGGACGTTAGACATGTGTATTCAGTTAGATGAAGCCTAGTGAGGACTGTTGGGGGTCCGTTGATTCAGACTATTATTGTGAAACATCTCTCTTGATTCATTATATTATTGTGAAGCATTCTTTGATTCATGTAATAAAAGGATCAATAATGAACCTGCATCTTCGAGTATCTATGCTGTGGTCAATGTTGTGTGGAATGAGTGGTTAGACTCGGGAAGGTCACATTTGGCGTTGTCGGCAGGGTAGCCAGAGACTCGTTACATTTGGCGTTGTCGGCAGGATAGACTCGGGGACTCGTTACATTTGGCTCTGCGAGCAGGATAAGTCTCGTAACATTTGGCGCTGCGATCGGGATGAATTCAACGAGACTTGCCGCGTTAGGCACCCATAGTCAACCTAGTTCATAACTGTGTTTAGTGTGTGTGTGAATTCGGACATTCAGGAACAGTGAAAATTGAGGAACGAGGAAAATTTTTTTCATACACACACGGTAAGAAAGAACTCTTTTTTTTTACTAAAGGAATAAAATGTCTACTCTGGACGAGAAGCAGACCCATATTGTGGTCCTGCCCAGAGAGTCCCACATTAACAAATTTTACGGGGACGGTGATCCAACGTTAACCAACAGGTTCAGTGAGGAGGTCAAAGCGGCCTGGGCCTCGAGAAACATGTCACCAGAGGAAAGATTAAGACTGCTGATGGGCAGTATAGGAGAGACGGTTAGGGCAGAGGTCAAATGCCACGATAAAACCGTCCAATCAGATCCAGATAAGGTGTTGGATCTAATTATGGAGACCTTTGGGGAGAGACGGTCGGGATCGCAACTGCTATCGGGGTTCGTAGGCTTAAAGCAGAGAATGGCGGAGAGTGTGATGGAGTATTCACACCGAATAAACAGGGCCTTTGATTCGGTAAAGGGCAAAACACCTGACATTGATGTACGCCTACTGAGGGACCAGTTCATCGAGGGGCTAGCAACCCCGATCTTAAGGAGAGAGTTGAAAGAGGAGGTCCACAAAGACCCGCAGTTGACCTTCCTTCAGGTTAGGAACTCAGCGATCCGCAGGTCCGAGGATGAGGACCAATCGAACTGTTCGGGGGACAAAGTCTCTGTGCCGGAACAGAAACAATCCCCACCCACGGGGACCGGCACGGTGGAAACCATGATGGCTCAACTGTTGGCCCACCTGGATAAGGTTAACCAAAGATTGGAGAGGTTAGAAAGCAGGTCAACAGCTGAGAATCAGGAAAAGAACGGTACAAAACAGAGACAGGTTGGACGGCCGCGACCCGCCGGTCCATCACTCCGGTGGACGGCTGACAGTCGACCAATTTGTTTGTCCTGTTCACAACCCGGACATATGGCACGGTACTGCCAGGGAAACGGTCGTCCTCTGTAAGGCAGGGCCAGGCTACAGAGGGGCGAGGTTATGGCCCAAGAAGCAAAATGATGGGAGTCTGTCCCGAAATGGTGATTACGATTGGGGACATCGCGGTGAAGGCAATTGTGGATACAGGCTCCCAGGTGACGACAATCACGTAAAATTTTTACACCAAATGGATGAAAGGAAAAGACCATAGGTTGAGGTCTGACACATGCATGCGCCTGACGGCAGCTAATGGACTAACCATTCCTTACTGTGGTTATTTTCTGGCGGATGTCGTGGTGGCGGGACATAGGTTGAAGCAGGTTGGGGTGTTCGTTACGAAACACAACCTAGAGACAAATGTGTCAAATATACCTTGCCTGTTGGGCATGAATATTCTTGGCCAGTTGCCAGAATTTCTTACAAATATTGTCGGATCGACCACACCAGGTCGGGGATCCAAGTTGGCCAGGTTTGCCAAGACCAGAGGAAGGATATCAGTCCCGGCAAACACGGTCAAGGCAATCACATTACAAATTGGGGATAGAAGCGTGAATGGTGATGTGATGATAGAACCATGTGGCGCCGCACTGAGGGCAGGCGTCGTGTTACTGCGGACATACACATCAGCGGAAAATGGACTAGTTCAAGGATTAGTGGCAAATGTTTTGGATGAGGAAATTTTTATACCGCCTAATACTCTGGTAGGAGTACCACAGAACGTCGAGGTACAAAGGTCGGCACAGTGCATCGAACTGAGCAATACCAGCAGTAATGAAGTAACAGTTAGGTCGGTCAATGTGACGGCCGAGGTGAAGAAAGAGAATGGCCGATCATATACATTCCCGGAAACTGAGGACCCAAAACTAAATGAATTGTTGAATAAGTACAGGGATATATTTGCCTCGTACGAGGGTGATTTGGGTTACACGGAAGTAATAAAACACCAGATACCCTTACTACAAGACAAGCCGGTGGCGCAACCTTATCGAAGATTACCACCGAGTCACTAGTCTGCGGTGAAGGCACACCTGAACGATCTACTAAAAAAGGGAATTATTACAACCAGCACGAGCCCGTATGCGGCACCGATAGTAGTGGTAAAAAAGAAGTCAGGGGAGATAAGACTGTGTTGTGATTACCGGAAATTGAACAATATCACAAGAAGGGATGCATTCCCCTTGCCTCGTATTGATGAATGTCTTGATGCGTTGGGGGGAGCAAGATTTTTTTCTACCTTGGATTTGGCTAGTGGCTACCACCAAGTGGCCATGGCCATGCACCCCAACGATCAACATAAAACTGCATTTATTTCTCCACTAGGACTGTACGAGTGGACCCGTATGCCGTTTGGTCTAACTAATGCACCTGCTACATTCCAGCGAGTAATGCAGAGTGCTATGAGTGACTTTCTATTTCAAATAATGTTGGTGTACTTGGATGATATACTAGTTTATTCAAAAACTTGGGAGGACCATCTAGAAAGATTAGAACAAGTGTTTCTCCGTCTTAGGGAGATAGGAGTAAAGCTGAACCCAGACAAATGCTGCTTCGGTCTGAAATCAGTACATTTTTTGGGTTACGTGATTTCGTCGGATGGCATCGCCACTGACCCAGATAAAATTGCAGCTGTTAAAGAATGGAAACAGCCAACAACTACGGTAGAGGTCAGATCATTCTTGGGCTTTGCTTCCTATTATAGAAAATTTGTGCCTGGTTTTGCAAAAATTGCCGCACCATTGCATGACTTGGTAAACAAAATGACAAAGAAACACAGTAAGGAGAAAAAGAAAGGTAAAACACAACGGATAGGTGAATTATGGACTGAGGAATGCCTGAACTCGTTTAAGCTATTGAAAAAGGCTTTGACAGAGGCGCCGATATTAGGATACGCAGACTTTGACAAACCATTTCGGCTAGAAATTGACGCCAGCTCTAAAAGTCTGGGAGCTGTGCTATCACAACAACAAAAGCAAGGTTTCAGGGTTATTGCTCATGCCAGTCGAGCTCTGAAGGAATCAGAGAAGAACATGACAAAT